GCTTATTAAGCCACCTCTCCTATCCTGACTCCCTTTTTTTTTCTGTTCTTTCTCTCATTTCTTTTTCTTTGTTAAATCCACCTATACCTACTGTTCCTTAACATTTGATTCTTACATTATACTACAGCCTGTCTCTCATTCCCTATTTCTGTCCCTCATAGAAGGTTCCCACTGTTGACTGGTCTATAGCATAACCCACCTGTATATAGATATTAGCTACTAAGCCCTTCTGCCTAGGTAGTAGGCAGAGCGTGCATAGTCTCTGACTGAAAAACGCTCTCTGAAATGGAAGAATAATAATAATAATAATAATAACACAATATGTATGAGGGTGGCCAGTTAATTTCCAAAAAAAAAATTTTTCAGAAACGCTGAATGTGGAAGCCTTTGGCTGTTCTGGATGGATGGAGAATGTTCCAAAAGAGGGAAGAAATAGGGACACTCTTCACGGCTTCTGCTTTAAGAGAACATCCGGTGGATTCCAAGTGCCATTGGAGTGGTAATCCAAAAAAGGCAATTTGATGTGCAGAATTTAAGAACAAATCCTGCTAAGCTTCCAGAAATGATAAGAAAAAAGAGATTAGAGTCCATAAATGGAAAGGAAGCCAATTGTTGAAGAAGTTGAGTGCCGAAACAAGCATATAGTCCAGCAGCCGAATCGGCTCAGCTGGAATTTTTGCTTGTTTGACAGGTTTTTGAGATGAAATCTCAACTGCTGGAAGGCATCATAAGGAAGCACAAGAGCACAGTTGATAATGGGAGAGGTCATAAAAGCAAGCGCTGGATGGAAAAGGGTAAACAGGATGTTTGGGATGGGGGGCCTGCTTCACTTTTGAGATTGACCACTCCTGTCACATGTTATACAGAGTATGTATCCTAAAATCATGTGACCTTCAAGTCTCAAAGCAATGATTAAAATAACATTAATATTATATACTACCCTTTTGTACAGAGTACATGCCTAGGTGGCTGAATATGTATATAGCTTATTGACAATTGTAAGGTAGAAACAACTAAGCAGTCTAGGTAGTAGTGCCATTGTGAGCTAGTAAGTAGTAGTATTAGTAGTAGTAATCTTAGGAGGTACCTACCTACAGTAATATGGAGTACAGTGTGCCTAGGTACTACTAGGGAGTAATGCCTACCAACTGTACGGAGTACCTACCCTGGTAGGTATGCATGTACATACGGAGTACTACCTAAGGTACCTACCCATCTGACATACTGCGCCACATTCCGCTAACCGCTAGTTGTCCTCTACCCGCTTCCTCATATTATTATTCCCTCCGCAACATCTTCATGCTGATGCAGCCAAGACAAGAGCACCTCAACTCCCATTCTCTGCTGATTTGGTGGTGACCAAATTCAGGCAATCCTAGTCTTCCTTATTACTAGAAAATAGCCCGATTTCACACTCTATACCTTGGAATCAGTGACGGTGAGCTACGGGTCGCATCCATCCATAGTTGCCTAGTACATGGGTTTGCAGATTTGACTTTCATGTCAGCATAAGCTGCTGACTTTTCCAATGGTCTACTGGTTTTGAACGATTCTTACTAACTAATGACCTAGAGTCTTCAATACCAACATTGATGTAAAAGGCGGTTGTCGCATTGTTTTGACGGTGACAATCATATCTCTTCTGCATCGTCTTGAGAGCTTTCTTACATCATGGCTTCTCTGAACCTTTCCTCCAATGGACCTTCCATATCGAGGAGCTATCAATCGATTGTGAACGCTCCTGCTCCGAGCGGGCCGGCAGCATCGTCTTCTACATATGGTCAATGGGTCGTTTTTTCAGTGTCTACCCCACTTGTGAATGCTTTTCAACCGGATTCTGGCGGTAAAGAAAGCGTGTTGAAAGTTCAGAGTACTGGAGGTTTGTTAAACACACTATTATAAGCATCATCTATTATCGTTCAGCTGGTTAGCTAATACATTTGGGTTAGAGGGTGAATTAACTGATCTCATTGAGGAATTTTCTGAGGGTAAAATACAATTTGCCTTTGTCAAAGTCAAGGATCCAAACACGAGTCTTCCTAAGAATGTTCTCATCGGGTGGTGCGGGGAGGGAGTTCCTGAACGGACGAAAGGCTATTTCACCAGTCACTTGGCTGCAGTCTCCAAGTTTCTCCATGTTCGCCTCCTCCCTCCATTTCATGTCAAATTTCCACCAGTTATACTGATTTACGGTACGAATATAGGGTTACCACGTTCAAATAACGGCTCGGTCTGAGGGAGACTTAACCCCGGAAGGCATCCTCCAAAAAGTCGCCGATGCCTCTGGCGCCAAATATGCATCTGAAGAGACCGTTTCGTCGGGAAATGCCGCTTCCAAGCCACCAGTCGCGACAAAGCCCGTGTTTACACCAAGTCGGTCTGCTGGGATTGTTTCTAAACCCACGACAAGTGCTCGGCGAACAGTTGCTCCCAAAAACGACGAGGTTGATGAAGACGGATGGGGTCCTGATGCGCCACCAGTAACTAGGACTCAGCTTGAAAAAGTGCCATCTGCTTACCAGCCAACGAAAGTGGATATACACCAGCTTACTTCTCAGAAGCCAGCTGAGTCCACATTCAAGAGCACCCAGCCCGACAACAATGCTCGAAGTGATATTGTTAAAGGGGGATATCAACCTGTGGGAAAGGTGGATATTGCAGCTATAAGGAGACAGGCGCGAGAAGCTGGCGAGCAAGTGGATGACAGACCAGAACCTGTGAAAGGTGCATATGAGCCCGTTGGCAAGGTCGATATTGCTGCACTTCGAGCCAAAGCCCAATCTACAGATGTCCCTTCCCCTGGGACGGATGATTCGCAGAGAGTTAGCGAGCCAAAGACTTTGTCCGAACGTTCGGCAGCATTTCAAACGTCGGAGCGTCTAACCACTTTGCCAAAGCCTAAAGTATCCAATCGGTTTGCTGTTAGCTCGACCTTCACTGGAACTAAGCCTCCTCTTCCTGGTGATTTCGGAGCCAAAGTTACACCCGCTGTGGCTCCTGTCGGTGGCGCGAGCAGGACTTTTGCAGATGAAGGTGGAAAGACTCCGGCCCAGTTATGGGCGGAGAGGAAGGCCAAAGAACGCGGCTCAAGTGGTGCTGGCGATGTTCCGATTTCGCGCCCCTCGGCTCCCACACAATCTAGTGAGCGAGAATGGAAGAGCTCGTACACTGGAAGGACTTGGGCTCCTGTGCAGACAACTCACACAGGTTTGTCCACTGGCAGCAATGCATCTCAGCAACCTGCTGGTCATGGTGATGAACTGTCACAGGAGTCCGAGTCTAAACCTCCATCAGGGGCGGTAAGCTCTGTCCGCGATCGGTTTGCCCCTTCGCCTTCCGTGGGAGCAAGCGTCTCGAATGTTGGGGAACGTGCACCCTCTCCGCCACCTTTGGATAATAGCACCAAACCAAATGCCGGTCGTGGAATTCCAATTCCAGGCTTGTCAACAGGTCCTGTCGAGTCACAGGAAGCATATGAGACTGAGACTAAACAGGATGTTCCGAACCCGCCACCGCAACCTCGTTCCCCTACTCCACCTACGCCTTCACACAAAGAGAGCTCCCCCATCCGAGTTGCAATGCCGGTCAGTCGCAATGCGCCTGAGGAGATCGTTCGAGGTGCCCCTGAGGAACAGCATTCGCCACCCCAAGTCTTACCCATTCGCAGCCTTGAACAGGCCGTCCCCAAAGAGGAGGAGCTTGAGGAGCCAACTCATGACACGGCTCGTGCGACTGCTGAGGCTACCGTGCATGATACAGCTCACCCTAACTCTATCCGCGCTCTTGTCCAGTATGATTACGAGAAAGCAGAGGACAATGAAATTGATCTGAAAGAAGGGGAGTATGTCACAGAAATTGAGATGGTTGACAAGGATTGGTGGCTGGGAGTTAATGCTAGGGGTGAACGGGGGCTCTTCCCAAGTAATTATGTTGAAGTTGTCGAGGCTGGCGATGCAACTCAAGGAGCGACTTCGGACTTACCTGGGCATGAAAAACGCGAGACCGATATCGAGGCGTCAAGGCCCGTTGGGGAGCCCCCTGCAACTGGTCTTCATTCTGAAAGCAGAGGTCCTACTGCGACAGCACTTTATGACTACGAGGCTGCCGAAGACAACGAGATTAGCTTTCCTGAGGGGGCCAAAATCATCAATATTGTAAGTATATGTACACCCTTTTGTTCCACATAATGTTGAAGCATCAATTTCACTGCTTTGCAGTTCTGACGGGCTTCGACAACACTCTGTTATATCTGTGATATACAGCTTGGCTTACTGTATAATTAGGAATTCCCTGACGAGGACTGGTGGTCTGGCGAATACGATGGCAAGATTGGTCTCTTCCCAGCAAATTACGTGCAATTGGATGAGTGATCGATTTTGCTCCGAAAACTCCTTGCTGCTATGCGCTTTCTTTTAATGTATTAGATCGGTCTGTGTACAGTGTCATCTTAACAAACTGTGAACTCCCTGGATATAGTACAAAATTAAAGGCATTCGAATGACTGACTCTGCATTGATGTGTGGTAGCAACTTTGCAATTTCTATTGACTTACGGACAGTAAGATCACAGGAACATACAACACATTACCCTATTTGAATACAGGAATCCTTACTACTTAAGACATTCAGTATTGAAAGGAATGATTTACGATGCCACAATTCAGCTGGCTATCTATAAAGGGAGTCGCCAAATCATGGAGAAAAGGCGTTAAAACACTCTGTATATATCAGATGGATACACAATGAAGATTGTATTCTTGCTAATTGAATGAAATAAATAAGAGTAGGTTCATCATAAAAGACAGAAAGAACATGAACAGTACGATACGTAACCTGGGTTGCCATTGTAGATGTAGACTGGTGGTACGGTCCAGTTCATGGATTGTTCAACGTTGGAGAACAGGGCAATGACTTGTTATTTCCATTGGGCAGAAAATAAAAGATAACTCTTCCATCTATCAATATAATGCATGACACTGCACCTGCATCCGATTCCGTCATATATGTCTTAGCCTCAAATCTGGTTGGTGAGTTTCTATTCAGTGTTGGATGTATCATTTCCACTCATGGAATAGAAAAAGTTAGCACTCAATATCTTCAGCTTATTATCTTGCGCCCAGTCTCTGATGCCATGCCGTACGCGACCATAACCCCAGTGCTTCCGGTCCTTTGGAGCCTGCAAGTTTCTTGCCTCGTTTGCATCGCCTGCCAGCAGAACGAATACGTATCTATGCCAGCCTGTTCCTTTCGGAGGGCCAGGAGGAAGGTACGTCTTCAGAACTGCAGGAGTGGGTGATCGGTCTGGATTACCAGGCATCACAAGCTCTGGGCTAGTTATGTTCGTAACGATCCAGTGGCACATCTCACTCCAGTCTGGGTTCTTACGACTTCTAGCATCAGGATCCGTCAGGATCAAGGTGAAGGTCTTGTTATTCGTGTCCGCCGACAGAGATGATGACCCGAGGGGCCGAAAATCAAAGACAGGAGTACTGTGGACCTGAGATGGCTGAACTTGATTACCCAGTTGAACAGTGGTATGGGTCGCCGGATACGTAATTTGAAGGGAATATTGCGGCAAAAAATCATCAAGGACTGCTTATCGATGTCATTATTCGTCCACAAAGACTGATGCAGGTTGATATCCAGTATCTTTGATGATGTGATAAAACATCGCAAAAGGGGAAGACGAGCTGACCATCAGGAATGATTAAGCTAGCTAGCAGCCTGCCAATAAAAAAACAGTTAGTCATGTGGCATGTCCTGTCCATGACGGGAATTATCAACAAGAAACAGCGAGGACTAATAAAAAATAGAAATCAATAAATAAAGGTTCAAGCCTACGCATTCCGTGTTTCAGACTGTACTGATATATCCTTGTTGATCATCACTTGAGTAGGGCCACGAGTTGCAGCTACCTCGCAGGGTTGTTGTAGAGCAAAAAACCCAAAGACAATAAGCAAGGATAGTATTGTAGTCATACTGTTCTTAATGGAATTTCACCTTATTGTCTTGGATAGATTCAATGATATGTTTCTTATTCTTATCTTCCCCCCTGATTGTATCTACAAGGAGGAGGAATATATCGACGTCATGATTATCCCCTATTGTACTCTGTAATCGTTTGATCTTCATAAAAGTGCTTATTTCAGCTTATGTCAGCTATGAAGGCACGGAGATTAAAGTTGATGCGGCAACTTGACATATCACGTGAATTTCTGTTCCGGTTGTCCACCTTTAGATGCTCAAATCCAAGATTCTTGTGCTGGTAAACAAGGTCTGAATGTCACAGGGGCTGTTGCACTAACTTCTACACCGTGAATCCATCTCACTGGTTAAAAGGGAGTTTCTCGACTGCAGTGCTGTCAGTCTTTGCTCCCTACCGGACGCTTTTTCTCAACTGGATAAATTAAGAAGGCCCCTGAGGCCTTCGCTGGGGATCGAAGCGGTCGCCTGTGTTCTTCAAGCTGATAATTCCAAGTGTAGTGCGTTAGTGCTGGATTTCAGCTCTTCTGTACAATGGCCTCACTCGGAGATGATTTGCTTGTCACCGTCAACAAGCTTCAAGATCTGGTTTTCAACACCATCGGCAATGACTCCCTCGACCTGCCTCAGATTGTAAGTCCTTTTTTCCCTGTCTTCGAGATATCTCTAAATGGGACAAGATGCATATAATATTGCTTATTTCAACAAATTTTTACTAACTTGGATGGGTAGGTTGTTGTAGGCTCCCAATCTTCCGGCAAATCGTCTGTACTTGAAAATATTGTCGGTCGAGATTTTTTACCGAGAGGCAGCGGGATTGTTACAAGACGACCGTTAATCCTGCAGCTGATAAATATCCCTGGTGAACGCGATTCCAGATCAGAGACTGATCCGGTTCATGGCCCGCATCCGGCACCCGGCGTTGCAGCTCAGGGTGAGTGGGCCGAGTTCCATCATCTACCTGGACGCAAGTTCGAGGATTTTGCTCTAGTCAAACAGGAGATCGAGAATGAAACGGCTAGAATTGCAGGAAATAATAAGGGTATCAATCGGCAGCCCATCAACCTGAAAATCTTCTCCCCTCACGTCCTAAATTTAACTCTCGTGGACCTCCCCGGTTTGACAAAAGTTCCAATTGGGGACCAACCTTCTGACATTGAGAAACAAACTCGTACACTGATTTCCGAATATATTGCGAAGCCGAACAGCATTATCCTTGCGGTGTCTCCGGCCAACGTTGATCTTGTCAACTCCGAGGCTTTGAAACTCGCCCGCCAAGTAGATCCCATGGGACGGAGGACGATTGGTGTGCTGACCAAATTGGACCTCATGGACCATGGTACAAATGCTCTGGATATTCTCACTGGTCGGGTTTACCCCTTGAAGTTGGGCTTCATTGGCGTTGTCAATCGGTCTCAACAAGACATTCAAAGTGGCAAGTCATTGGCTGAGGCCCTGAAGTCTGAAGAGGAGTTTTTCAGGCACCATCCCGCTTATCGGAATATGGCGAACCGCTGTGGAACGCAGTTTCTGGCAAAGACTCTCAATTCTACTTTGATGGCTCATATTCGCGACCGTTTGCCCGATATTAAGGCTCGGCTCAACACTCTGATGGGGCAGACACAGCAGGAACTTGCCAGCTATGGCAACAAACAATTCAGTGGCAAGGAACACCGGGGATCATTGATCCTGCAACTAATGACACGTTTCGCCTCTTCTTTCATTGCCTCTATCGACGGAACCTCTTCGGACATCTCGACTAAGGAACTGTGTGGAGGGGCGAGAATCTACTATATTTTCAATTCCGTCTTTGGCCAGTCACTTGAGAGCATCGACCCGACCCAAAATCTCACGGCCTACGACATTCGAACTGCGATACGTAATTCGACTGGACCCCGTCCAAGCCTGTTTGTGCCGGAACTTGCGTTTGACCTTTTAGTCAAGCCTCAGATCAAGCTCTTGGAAGTCCCCAGTCAGAGATGTGTTGAATTGGTATACGAAGAGCTGATCAAAATTTGTCACACCTGTGGTTCTCAAGAGCTTTCACGGTTCCCCCGCCTTCAAGCCAAACTGATCGAGGTGGTGTCAGATCTTCTCCGTGAACGGTTGGGCCCGTGTTCCAGTTACGTTGAGTCTCTTATTGCCATACAAAGGGCATATATCAACACTAATCATCCAAATTTCCTGGGTGCCGCTGCCGCCATGTCTTCTGTCATCCAGAGCAAGCAAGAGCAGGAAAAGAAGGCACTACTAGCCGAAGAAAAGAAGAAGCGTGAGAAGCGACGGCTGAAGGAACTTGGGGGAGTGAATGGCACTGCAGTTGCCGAGGAAGATGAAGAACAGCAGGCTGATCAGAAGACACAAGCTATTCCTGTCCGAGGTTCCAACGGGACTGGTCCTCGAAACCTGTCCCCACACGTGGGCAGGGGAGCGGAGAATAACGTTTCTACAACGCTAAACGGAGCACAGCAATCAACGTCCCCTCCGAGATTTGGGTCCACGAATACAGCCCGTGATTCATTCCTCAATTACTTCTTTGGCAAAGAGGGAGGTATCCAGTCAGCTGGGCCTCTCCCTCAGCCAACATCGTCTCAAGCTAGGCGTGTTGGCCACTCTACTGAGCCCAGTATCAGCCACAGTATCCGCAGAGCGGAGACAAAGTCACCGGTCCTGCCACATGATGAATATAACGCTCCCACCTCTGAATATGGAGGTGACGGTTCGCAATTTGTAAGTATCAACACAGGTCATTGCATATTTTCTAAGTCCTGTACTAACTAAAATCAATTCATGAAGCCCGATGATAATGCTGAGCCAACCCTCACTGAGCGGGAGCTTATGGAGACTGAGTTGATACGGAAATTGATATCGTCATACTTCAATATTGTGCGGGAGACCATCGCGGATCAAGTTCCTAAGGCTATTATGCACCTTCTTGTCAACCACAGTAAGGATGTGGTTCAGAATCGACTTGTCAGTGAGTTATACAAGGAGGAGCTTTTTTCTGAGCTTCTTTATGAAGATGACGGGATCAAGGCGGAGCGTGAAAAGTGTGAGAAGCTTTTGGAAACTTACAAGGAAGCGGCAAAGATTGTGGGTGAAGTCTTGTAAACTGTCTTCGTTTCTTCTAGCTGTGGACTCTTCTTTGGCCACGAGTGGGATAGCAGGCTGCGGCCATTTGTATAAAATATGTGAAGAGAGCAATTGGATGGCGCATGAGGTATGTGAAAATATATCTTCTAGCATTCTCCAATATTCTTCCCTTTGCATCGGTGGCTCCTTTTGTATATTGTGTCTTATAAACCATGTTGTCGTATGATATTCTGAAATCCTTCATCCTCCGAACCAAATGTTTTTGTCCGCACGTCTGTATCAACTAGCCTACAGTAGAGTATAGCATCTATACTGTGTATAATAAGCCTTCCAGGTCTTGCTTTGCCGTTTTAGGATAAAATTAAAAAAAAATACCTGGTCTATGTCTAGGACTTCTTTGGCCTTCAAGCCTACCCACTTAAAGGTAATATAGTCTACTTTCCAGGCGGGCTCCTTATCCATACACCTTTAACCTTAGGCCATAATTGTGCAAGAACGGAAGTTCATGTTTTTATATGTAGAGATGTAGAGATGAGGATCACATATATGATAATAATACATATATGTAATCGAGTTGCGACAACTGCGGTCTGGCGGTTGCTATGATGCCGTGAGTTGTATGCATACACAAGGCATTATCGCTTCAGGCAGGAGAGGTTTCTTGCAGTAGAATGCTTGTTGGTAGAAGATGTATCACTGGCGCAGTACATTCATCCATTCATTGATCTTGAACGGGCCCCGGCTGCGTTATTCCATTCGAATATTAACTCACGTAATAATACCAATCACGAGGCATGGGGTACAATTAACTTATTATTAGCCCCCAACAAATTGATCGTCCTCACGACATGAACAGCCCCCTCAGCCCCGCTGGCACTGCCAGGCTGCAGGCAATTTATAGTTAGCACCATCTGGCGAGTCAGTTGCTACCTACTAAATATACTACAAACCGGCCAATGATTTTGATGCGCAAGAGAGACACCTAACATAAGCAGTTCAGCTTTTCGATAAGAAATGAAAGTTTAACATGGGCTGATCGTTATTTATACAAGCGAGCCATTCCTGTTTTGAAAAGGATCTTTCTGCTTTTTAATTTATATATTAATCAAACTACTGCTTGCTTTGCCAAAGTCTTTCCATTCTTGTCTTCTAGCGCATCAGTTTGACAAAACCTAGTCTATCTCGCAAGTATTATTATAATACTATATACAACATTGGTGATTTCTTTTCTCCTTTGAAAGGCTGTGATTCCCTACAATACGCCAATTACGAGGGAAATCCCTTTTGCTTTTACTTAAAAGAAAAGTAAGGCAAAATTCAGAAAAGAAAAAGAAGATACCAACTACATCTTGAGGGGAGTCTTCTACCATGAACGGACCACGCCGGCTTCATGTCTACAGTAAAGGATGGGGTTCGAACTCTTACTACGTCCTCGATTCCGATGAACAGACGTGCCTGTACACCCTTCGAGAGAAGCGCATGCATTGGACCTCCGGACCGGACATCGAGGTCGTCCGCACCAGCTACCGTCCGGAGCTGAAAGACCGTCCGGTCGAGTTCGTGGTCGGCGCAGTTCACCGGCACACGCTCTCGACGACTTTAGACGTGTACATTCGAAATCAACATGTCACGCTGTCGTCCGACGGCATCTTGTCCGGCGGAGCTATGTCCTATGTGTCTCCGCGCCCCGGAGTCGGCAGACTCACCTGGGACAGAGAGGGCATGTTTACAAGTTCCATGCGGTTGATCCAACAGCACGGCGGGGGACGTGCCACGATCGCTCGGCTGGAAACCGTTCGCTGGTCCATGTCGAAGATCGGTCGGCTCGAAGTCTGGGATCAGCAGGCAGGTGATGATGTCCTGGACGAAATCGTCGTTACCGGTCTTGCAATTCTGTTAGTGAACCGCCGGAAAAGAAGCTCGACTGCTGGTGTGGGAGGAGCAGGAGCAGCGGCAGGGGCAGGTGCGTGAGCATATATATCAAAGAAGGAGAGTGAAATCGGACCTCAGCAGGCGTGAGTTTTTAAGTCAGTTCGAGCTTGGATGGAATGAGAATTATGGCTGGGATGTTGATGGAGTTCATTCATGACCAATTTCTTACCATGTCAGCAGTTCAAAGGTAAGGGAAAGTAAAGAATTGGGGCCAGTGGGAGGCAAGCAAAGTACTGTACTCCAGTTTTCTAGGTCGTTATCTGCTATATGTGATATCACAGCAATCTTGTATGCATATGTCCCATTTCCATTTGTTTTGACAAGTAGTATATGGCACTAGACCACTAGCTGTTGTTCTGAGCAGTCCTGACAGTGACTGAGCTGGTTGAATGAGATTGTACAGGTAACTGAGTGGTTTGAATATAGGTAGGTTATCTTAAGTATTAATATCAAAGCGTATAAATAAGATGTATTCATGCTGTATACACATCACAACCGCTGTCTTTGTCACATCTATGCGCATAATAAGAAAAGATAGAACTAGCAGCATACAGTTCCCAAAGAACTCAGGACAAGAGATTAATATACATATACTGCACACAGATCGAGTTTTGCCTCGTTTAAATTGATATAATCTTATCAGACTATCTCTTTATCTATCCATCATTCACTCTTACCAGCTGGACGCATCTTCTTCTTCTGCCGTGCACTTTCAATACCGTATAATGCGCCACCGAGAAACACAAGCCCAGCACCTACCGATACACCCATGGCAAGCGAATTGCCGAAAAGGTAAATAGACAATAATAGAGACACTAACTTGCGGATATTCAAGACAATTGTAACAGTCAGAGAAGACGATTTGGCTGCCAATAAATAAACGCCGCGGATGCACAAATATTGCGTGATGGCGTTGAGTAGAAGATAAAAGACCTTGATGGGGGTCTGCGCGAGAATAGATCGGATCAGAGGATGTCTGGGGACGGCAGAGAGAATTGACGCGGTAGCACCGCTTTGTCGTATCCTGCCCGCAAGGTCGCCTGCTGTGGCGGGAGCGATGGTCGAGGATGCGAAAGATGCGGAGACAGTGGAAGCGGTCGCGTTGCTTGAAAATAAACGGTCATCGCCGAGTACAGCAGACAGAGAAGACAGCATGGAAGGAGATGACAGTAAAGCACGGAATTGAGAAGACATTTGTGGGTAGGTCGGCAAGAAGAATGGCAACGAAAGCACATGCGAGTAGAGCAGCGCCTCGCGCCAGTGGTTGGTACCGTGTACCGCGTAGAGGCGATCGGCGTAGACACCTTGAAAAGCGGACAGAACCATCGCTAAAGCGAGAATGGTGAACCCGGTCAAGAACGTGATCACCGAACTGCCACTGTTGCCGTCGTCATCCAAACTGATACTGATCTCCATCGATCGTCCCTGCGCGGCAGCATCTGTCAGTGCGGCCCCCACCACACCCAATGTCAGCAATATGACAGCAAGGACCTGTATCCGGGAATATCTCCTGGAATTATAAAGATATCCAATAATCATGGATGCCACCGGCCCACCAGACCGAAGGATAATGTGTAGTGGTACGGAGATCCGGTATGCGAACGCCCAATTGTTCAACAGATTGACGGTAACGAAGAACAATGTGTATGCCCACCAAGACTTGAGGGGGATAGCTCGCGGGCTGAGGAAGAAGGCTCGAGGCCCCGCAGACCAGGAGAGGAAGTTGGGAATCGTAAATAACGCCACTGTCACAAATTGGACAAAGGTTATAAGAGGGCCTGTAGACGAGATGAGTACTTGATTCCGGACACTTGAACGCCAGAGTTTCTCACCAGAACTTGGTTCATCTCTGCATAGAAGCATCAGTGACGCATCCTGTGAGATTCTGATTCACTGCATGACTTACTTGATTATAGCCTCAAGAGCGAACACCTAGGTCACCAGTTTAGAGATTACGAATCTTTGAAATGAAGGATATTTTTCTCTTTCAGGGCCAACAAATCGCTTACATTCCCACAGCAACCTCCAAATATCAACAAGCCGATTATTCCCACGTCTATCCACTTAGGTAGGGTAGTATAAGCGATTGCGCTTATGATATTTCGCCAACTTGTCTTTGTCTCCTCGTCAATTTCGCTCTGGTTGTTTTCCTTTCCCCTGCCGGCTTTCGTGTTCGGAGCCAAGGAGACATTCTTATTGCCTCTCTGTCGAACTGGAGCTGCCTCGAGTGCGCCATTGCGTGAATTGGGATCCTAGATCAGATTATTGCATTATTAACCGGCCGAAGCGCGCAAGATGAAGTTGGACAGGAAATAGAATACATATCTCGCTGGGAGATGGAACTTACCGTGCTTGGCATTGTTGACTACCGCACAGCCGGCCTCCTTCACTTCACAATTGTCTTGCGCATAACCAGACGGTTCCAATCGACAATGGCGATTAATTCCTGGTTGACATATGGGGCATTTGCGGAAGGAAATGAAAGCGTGCCGCTGGCAATTGAGCCGGCGTTAGGCGTTAAGCTTAGGCTTGCTCCGTACAGAGTACGGAGTAGTACGGAGTAATTAAGGAACGTGGCACAAAAGGGACCCACCTACCTAAGCCAAGATAACTAGTGGATAACCTTACCTTACATACGGAGTATAATTATACTCCGTAAGGAATAATAATGACAATAATACGGAGTACTTAAATTTCACTAACACAACTTCCAATTATCAACGTTATCCGCCGGTTTACGCTGCCCCATTGAATATGCGCTAGAATTTACCGCGTACGAAATTCATGTCCTGGTACCATAGATGTCTGCTCCGAAGTGTCATGATGGTTAAACCGGAATCCACCGGATTCAGAAATTACCTGATAAACCGCATCTCAAACTAGTATACAGTCACCATGTATTATTCTGTCCGCCCATATAGAAACGCCAAAGGTGACCTCCCTAGGTTGACTGCCCCCAAAAAACTAGACCGCGAAATTTAGCATGAAATTTCATTATTAACAATCACAAGTCAAGTATTCAATCATCTTCAATATCATCATCACTCAAAATCAACTTCTCAACTGCCTCTTCGACAGGCGGTGGCAGCTTTGGTCCAAAGGCGCTGCTGCTAGAAGAAGCCTGCTGGCGCCCTAATGGCCGACGACGTTCTTCGGGAATCGAAACCTCGGGATCGGTTGCCCAGTCAGTGACGGATGAGGGCTCAAAGTCGTCGAGCTCATCGCTTGGGATCTCATCGTTTGGAAACCCAATACCCCGGAACTGAGTGATCCTATCCAGTTCTCCGGTTTCGGCCCTGTTAGACCAAATCTTCGCCATGTATGGAAGATGGTGAAGCAGAATGTCGTCACGAGACATCATGGTTGCGACCATTTCTTGGGAATGGTGGTTTTCGCTACCAGGAAAGGGAGTCTGGTTGATCTCGGCAGCTTTCCAAGATTCCACGCCTGTTCGTCCAGATATTGGGCCTCTAACATTCTTCGGTGCAGCCGCTGGATCCAACAGTCGTCGTTCCCAGACATCTATCAAACCTTCCAATGCCTCGGTCTCCTTCCATAGCCGCAGTGAGGTCGGAAAGTACATCTTGTATGCATCAACGATGCGGCCGCCAGAGGCTGATTGACCTACTCGTCTCCTGACAGGATCAGGAAGGTAAAAGAGAAGTCCTCGTACGGCAACGTGAAAGCTGATCTCGTCCTGTCGCAACGTATCAATGCTTGCACCGTAGCCCTGATGATGGCTGCGAGCAACCCCGACTCCTGTCCGGCTTGCTTGTAAGCCACTGCGACTATTGGACCCTAGGACATCACTGTCAGATAGAGACTGGATGCACCCTTCGAGGCAGTCGGTAAAGGATGGCCCATCACAAGACGGCACATAATTCTCGTGCAGAGCCGAGATGAAGGTCTGGATATCGGTCCCTGTCTCGTTGATAAGATCTTCGATAGAGACCTGCGATATTCTCGGACGTTCAAACTGACGCAAATGTTCGGGAGGCGCACCGTGCTCGGCTCTGCCTTGTTGTGTTGAGCCTAGATCTTCGCGCTTATTGTAGACTACCTTCCCTACTGCGTGGAACAAACCAAGACTGGCTTCCCTCTGTGTCACCATCTCAAGTGACTCCTTCTCCATTGGAGTTAGTGCAGCGCTCTCACGACTGGGATTTTTCAGTTTGGCAGCTACTCTGCCTCCCCAATCTCCATTTTCATCCCCTCGGAGACATAAAAATTCCAGAGAGGATATAGCGCTTCGGATGTCACCCAACTCTGAGAATTTCTTGAGAACGGCGGGGCTAGGAATCCTTTTCCGCATTGAGTGCCGAGCCTCCTTCTTGAGGACAAGATCAAGTGCTTTGTACATAAATGTAGGCGCAATCCGGTTGAACTCGATAATGCTGGTCCCCGGATGATTGCATATTTCTGGTCCGAGCAGTCGATGTACAGTAAAGTTGTCCGATATCACAGCGGTCGTGCTCAAGAGCGTCTCCGAAATTATAATTACTATCGGAGGTGCCATGTTCGCCGAGTTCCTGTTTGATAGACTTGCCGCCAAATATCGATGTAGGGAAGATCTGAACGCAGAAAGAGCAGACGAACTTCGGGCTAGCACACTGGGGAACTCTTCGATCAAAATGACTCGCTGCATCGGGGATTTTTGAGAATCTTGCGCTGTCGTATCAAGACCAGCACTATCATCCAAATCAAGGCCACCGAATATATTGCTCCGCCCGAGAAATTCATCGAACTGCGCACTCAAGGACGTATACCCCTGACTGGATTGTTCGGCACCCAATGGATTCTTCCACTCCACGATATCGAATCCTAAGACCTTCGACAACAACGACACAGTTGTTGTCTTACCGCTGCCTGCCGGACCATGCAGGACAAGCATTCTCTGTGACAAGACAAGTTAGAACCGACCTGAGATGTTGCTACACACCCGGGCTTCCGGATGAGATTTTAGGGAGGATACACACACACGTCTATTTTTCCCGGCAAAAACATCAGCCAGCCAATTTCGCACATCAGCCACTTTCTTCTTGTGAACTGCTAGTTCATCAAGATTAGAAGGAGCATAGCGCTCCGGCCAAGGACGCCCATCAGCCTCCTTCGATTTTGCTCCTGCATTGACGTGCTCACGAGGACCCTGGATGTTCGGACTCGCGGGCAAAAGGAAGCGTTTCTTGGGGCGAGAGAACTTGTTGTTGGTATGGTCACTTTGGGAGGACGAACGCGATGCTTGTTTCCTTGGACCTTGACTCGAAGCATTGCCACCATTTCCGGCACTTGTTTCCTTGGCCAGCTGGTCTGCGAAGATCTCTTCGCAAGAGCTATAGTCATCCTCAATCAGATCTTCCTTGTCTTCAACCTCGTCTAACGCCTGCTCTGGTAAAGATTTGGTCTCCGATTTTCGTGATGACCAACGCTGCTCCTCGGTGGCAGGTTGGAAAAAACTATGTAGCGACTTCGACGAAGTCTCATGCTGTTTCGTGTCTGCAAGCCTCTTCTTTCCTTTCTTAGTCGGGGAAGCTGATGTTGTCCGGGAGGTGTTGCGAACGCCAGAGGGAGATGTAGTAGAGGTCCGAGTCGCTTTCGATCGCGAAGGAAGGGACGGTGCAGCGGTGGACTTCGAAGAAGTGCTCTGGCAGAAAGACAATAAGTCAATGCGCGAATGTCTCAATCAGCTCCTTTATCACTTTACCAATTTCAATGGCCTCGTAAGCCCAGAATCCTTATCGGTCGCTGTCTGGAACTCGGCCTCCTCGTCCGATGAAAGGACGACCAATTTGCGCTGCCTCTTGGCGGGACGGGCAGCCATGGCGTTTCAGATGAAGATTCTTGGAATATCATTGTCCGCTGAATTTGGAATCATGGGCAAGAGACGATCGAGGCATATTACTGTCGTTGAAGAAGCCTACCTAGACTGCGAGGTACCTCCGAGCACTAATAATTTGTTATCGGACGGCGAGATGGGCCCAGACAACGAACTAACTGCTTTCGGGTAGACTCTCCAGTTCCAGCTGGAGGAGCTCTTTTTCAATGCGGGGAAAAGGGATGGAAAATAGCATGCATTCAAAAGCATGATGATCTGAAATTTTTTGAAATGAATTTTGTTTCACAGAAAGCTGCTAAAAGGGGTATTTAGGTCACAAAACTCCAAAAAAAAAGCTTGTATACAGAATCCGCCGTATTATACAACATGGCTTCCCGTATTGAATTCATTATATCTCCCCACCCAGATATGGAAGAAAGTGTGAGGAAACTCATATACACACAAAATCGTTCCAAGTCTCCCAAATAATGTACACGTACATATATTCGAAGTAGGACGCTCGTGCCGAGAACAGATCGACCAAACGACGATGAGAAGGTCGACCGATCAGACACGCAGCATAGGATTGAGGGCCTGAGAGCGAGTCTAAGCGCCCCCGAAGATATCGTAATAATAGTCTTCATCGAGTCCCTCTCGGCTGGGAACCTTTGGAGGCTCTCCAACGAAGGCGGCTTCGTCGAATCGTACGTTAAGGAGGCGAATCTTCAGTCCATAGTTGCTGATTAGATTCACCAGCTTGTTGGTCTCTGCGGTAATTGGCTGTTGGTTAAGGAGCATAAGCAGACCGTCCAGCCATTCCGAGGCAACGGCGTGTGATTGCGGGCGAAGCGTCAGGAGAGGGATTTCTTTCTGGGTCGACCTGCTGCCCGAGCGATTATGGCCTTGACCCTTTTGTGGAGCGCCGGAATGAGAGCCTGATGACGGGGCATAACCGTGAATCGTAATTTTGGTGGATGACGATTGATGGGGAAGCGTTTTGATTGTCGAGCCTGAAGAATCATCCGGCGAAGCGGTGACATTAGATACTACAGACGAGACAATGGACAAGTCGACTGGTTCGGCGGTTAGTACACGCAATTCACAGCATTACCCAATACGCCGAGAAATTTGAGGAAGAAAGCATACTCTTGTTAGGAAGAGCGTCCAAGGACGGAGGAGTGTCTTGAATAGAGTCAAAATCAGCAAAATGGAGGTATCTGCGATTATGGGACAGTTGCACGTATTTGTACGACCCAGGCGCCGAACGCTTCGAGTCCGGTTTAGCTCCAGCTCCTTCCGACTTGTGGTTCGTTTCATTCGGAACCAAGCGCCTTGGAGCAAACATCGGATTCGTTGTTCTTTGACAAACTGCAGGGCCTCGTGCTCCAGCTCGTCGCGTACTTGGCGTAAATGCTGTCCCCAAGCGTCTTCGTACGTGAGCTCCAGAAGCTCCATCTGGAGTTCCCGCAGGCGCTGGTACTCAAAGTCTGCTAATTCCTCCTCCACATCTTGAATATCCTTTGTGCGAGATGCACCTCCAACGACCGATTCAATGAGAATGCGCACCAGCTCGACGATCTTATCAAAGTCATTCACATCTGCCCCGGTGGCTTTCCACAGGCGAAAGAAGGCATGAAGTCCAGCAACGTGGAGTCGGGACCAGTGCAGCAGTAAGGGCTTAAACACTTTGTCTAAATTGGATCGGGACTCGAGGACGAGGTAGCTTTTGGCATCTTCCGTAACACACTTGTCTACCTCGAAATGCTCGTAGAGAACGGAGGTGATGGCCAACGACGCTCGTGCAATGGGACATCGCTGCTCCGGCGGTTTGGTGGAGTGTTCAAGAAGCATCTTCTGGAACTCATCCTGGTGCTTCCTCACGTAGTCTGTCAGGTCCATCATCCCGAGAAAGCCCATCTCCTGGAATTCGGTGGCAGGAGTTTCCGTCTCAAACCCGAGTCGCCTCCATTTCTCCGGATTATGCCTTCGAGACCGCCGTGTGTCGTCGCCATTCTCCGAGCTTTTATCCGTAGCCTTCTCAGGGTTACTCGCCAGGTGGATTCCTTTCAGCGCTCTTCTGTGATCCGGCTTCTCCAGATCTACGGGAACGTTCCTCCACTTTCTCAGCAGTAGTTTGGTGAGGGATTGGAACTCGATCAGAGGGTGTGCATGATCTTGCAGCGCGGTCCCCTGCATCAGAACGTAAACGGCTCGGATCACACCCAGGTCTTGCAATCGCTTGATGAACTTGGGCCATTCCGTCTCGTCTTCGTTGGTGATCGAGTCTCGCATCAGCGAATTGATCAATTGCAAGGCGTTAGCGCACAGTGCATGGTCGGCAGAAGAAAGCCTGCTGACAAGCATTTCGAGGAATTGCGGGTAGATCGCGATCGCCGGTTTCAGAGCCCGGAAACCGAATAGCCCAGGCTGTGACGATCGACCAGAGGTATGAGGGCGGGAGACTATAGAGACGAGTATCGACATGGCTCCACGAAGGATGTTGACCAGGGGGTGAGTGACAATTAGCTCGACGATCTGGGGAGCACAGTTCGGCCATCAGCAATCACGCATCCTCGAGGCCGAGCAGCAGAAAGTTCCCAAAGAGAACAACTGATCGGATCTGTAAGAGATGAGCGGCATTGGCGCTCAGCTTACCCTCTCGACCAATTCCTGATCAACGTATTCCCATCCCTTATCTACCTCCAGCAGGCGCGCAAAGCTCGTCAGAGTGTATGCCAATGTGTTTCCCGTCGCGTGGAGGGTAAGGTAGCGCAACTTGGCAAGTCCACCTTCGGCGATGAAGATGTCTGCAAAGGATGGATCGCCAATGCTTCCTTGCAGCTTAAAGACTGCCATCTTGCGCACAGCATCTTCCTCGCTTCCGAGCCTTTCGACCAGCTCGGAGATGTTGAGGCCCTCCATGGCTGGCAGCCTTGGGTCGCGCACCGTGGCCGTGATCAGTACCGGATGATTTCGTCCAACTGTGGTGAGTTGGAGAAGGCGCACGGGTGTCGCTTTCGTGTCTTTATGCAAGTACAATGGAGTGGTGCCAAATACACTCGTCGGTCGTGGTGGACGGAATTCTAACAGAATCAGGGGCAGCGGCCGCCAGCGCGGGAACCCGTTCCCGCCGGACGGTTGGATGCTCAGGCCGCAGCAGCAGCCGGAAACTACTTTACGGCACAGGACCAGCAACGTGCATCTGCATTCAGCCTTTCTAGGATAAAGGTGGACAAGTTCCAAACAGGCATCTGGCAGCTGGCATTTTCTAGAGTCGTGAGACGTTTCCCGAGGGCATGTAAGTATCATGCTCAATAAGAATCATTCAAGACAACACCAGAAAAGCCGTCTAGGCTAGGTAGGAGTACTCCAACGCCAGATCTAGCGGAAGTCTGTCCAGTAATTGTATTATATGTATATATACGGCCCTATGTAGAAGTTATAGTCAAACGCTCCAATAGATCACGCTGTTAAGCCGTGGGGACGATCAGAAACCAGACGAAGAAGCCGATATCTATGCACAAGTCCTTTAAGGCCCATGTCAGGAACAACGAGAACCGTTCAAGCTGCGCGCCGTAACCAGACCACAACACCAAACTCCGAAGGCCACTCAACTCCATCATTTTTTGATCTTTTCTCATCATTCATAGATGGGTCATGTTCGAGGTGGACGATGTCTTCACTCAATAATGATCAGAAACTGGAACTGAAAACTGTACAAGAGAATTGTGATATGTCGGGGACGGTCCTCAAACGGTGAGAACGTATCATACTGCGGAGAAAAAGAACGACTAATTGGCGAATGCAGGTGGCAGTCGACAGGGCTCGATCATCGTCGCCAGCCTACGTTCCATATAACGTGCGCAATATCTCGGGCTGTGTTGATCGTATCCGCAATTCGGCCAAAAAGACCAGTGTACTGAGACTCCCCTTCTTCAGAGGAGAAAAACATGTCCGACGACGGGAAGTGGAGATCACCATTCTCCAGCTCGTCTTCATCTTCTGGGTTCACGAACCACGGACGATCGCGGGAAGAGTCGTACCCGGCTCGATCGGGTTGCCAATCTGGGTCCAGATCGTTTTCCTCGTCATCGAGGAGAAAGTTGGCCTCGGGCCTCGGAGGCCGCAGGGTCTCCACCGAAGGTGACGGGGACAACTCGCCCGTTGTGGTCGGGGAAGAGCGTGAATGCTGGGGTGGTTCAGGGGTATCTCCACGGTATTTTAACGTGGTCGAAGGCAAAGGGGCAATTGTCTTGCTCTCACTGCTGAAGCTGTTCCGAGGAGTGCTTCGACTGCTGATCGGTGCTTTGGAAGGAAATTGTTTCATCATCACGACACCGTCATCCGATTCGTCATCGTCTTCTTGGTCGAAATGGAAAAGAGAAGGATCGTCGTCATCATCCTCGCCGTCTTTCGCTTCGACGGCAATACATTGCACGACCTCATTGTTGAAGTGGATGTGGCGTTTCTCGCTCGGTGAAACCAGACCGGAAGACGTCGAATTCGTCCCAGTGGAACCAAAGGAGTAGTCCGATCTGCGACCCAGCGAAATGTCAAAGTTAGGTTGTCCCCTAGTATGTTCTGCTTTCTGCGCCTGAAGAATGGCCCCAGCATGCTTAAGAAGCGTGTGTTGAGACAGCGAACGCTGAAGAATGGCTTCGGACGCGGTTTTCTTCTTTAGGATAGACTTTCTGTCTAGGAACGAGTTTGCAGAAGACAATCTACTGGAAGAAGGGGTGGTGTTGGATATGGGCGGCCGCTTGCTGTCAGTCTGCAAGGGACCGTATAGCCAGGTCACATCACAGTCCTTCAACCAGTTCAGCGTCTCTGGAGAGACCGTTCGTAAGTTGTATTTCGCTTTTGCCCACGTCCTCCATGAAGCGTTTTCCAGTCGGACAGCATTGCTATAGCGATTTCTTCGTGAGACCACATAGCGCCAGGATGCCCAGATGTCTTCCTCCCGCCATTCATGGGATAAATAGTCGACATGCCTCTCGGGTTCCTCTTCTATGGACGAATCGTCGCCGGCCGTCCGACAAGCGGTTGTAAAATTGGTCTCTATCCGGTCCGGATGGGATGTGTCTTTGTCGGAAGTTGAATGAGGTGCAATGCCACTGTTCGAAGAGGCCTTCGCGGCATGCGTCTCTGGACTGGAGTAGTCACTGGCATCATAGGACGGCAGCACGATCTCGTCCTCCTCTCTTTCGGGAGTTGCGCTCAAGGACAGACTGCTGGTGGTAGGCGTGTAAGATGAAGGGCTCGGAGAAGGAGGAAATTCCGGAGACGAGGGAATGGTTGAGGAGGTCGATGAAGGTAGGGGGCTGGGATATTCCGTCTCGTCGTATTCGGGCATAGAGGATTTGAAGAAGACCCCTTGGTCTTCCAGGAAGTATGTCTGAGCCGTCGGAGGGCGCAGCCGGTTCGGAGAGAGGCGGGCGTCCCGTTCATGGGGAGCCGGGAGCACGGTAGCCATCGTGGTGAACGACGCAAGCAGGACGCGACTTAGCGAGTTGACGCCATCATCGCTTGGGTTTTTAGCAGCTGGCCAGGGGCGATTCGATCAAAACAAGCTCTGTTCGAGAAATATAAGGAGATGCAGTAGCGATCTGGTTGACCGTAGTGGAGGTAGTGATCAGAGTCAAGGCGCAGTTCTAACAAGACTGCGGCGATAGACAGCAGGATTGTTGCTGAAGAATATGAGCACTGCGAGGAACTCGAGAACAAGGGCAGGGAGACGTTGGCGGATGGGGGAAAGAGGGCGACACAGCAAAACGTCAAGCGCAGATAATGAACAGCAGCATCCAGTCGGAACAAAAATCTAATCAGAATCCAACGAGGATTGGCGGAGGAGGATCTACTCGGAGATCTCGACCGTGGGGCTGTATCGGACGCAGCAGGCAATCCGGTCTGTTCTGAAGACAGGGGAAGCGGTGGAGGAGCTGTCTTGTCCCAGTAGCTTCACGCTTGGGCGGGATTAGGGTTAGGGACAAGGGACCAGCGACGACGCCAAAGATGCCGGTCACGCGGTGACAGGCTGCATCGTCGCTGCGGACCACCGAATGAGGGCGCGAGACTGTCGACGATGCTTGGTGGCTGCAGTGGAAGATCACGGTGGTGGTTGGTGCGGGGGAGGAGAATTCGCAACTGGGCTGGCGAGGGGAAAGCCACAAGGTTCGCCGGCATGGCGATAGCATTAACAAGCGTCTCTTCGTGCCGCACGCGGCCTGCGGAGAACGGGTCGAGGAGCTCAGGCCTCCCCCAAGACCCGGTACGCACCGTACATATGACACCAGAAGAATGGGAAATCCAGACAGCTGCCAGGTATACTTCGCAATCGGCCTGTGCAGTAGCATCCGTATGGTGCTGACGGCTCTGGGGCTCCACGGGCCTCCAGATTCCATGGAGAGATCGAGCGTCGGAACTCGACCCCGCTGGCGAAAGACGCTGCGCAGGAAATTTTCTTGGACACGCCGCGTCGACGCGATCCATGGCGCGCTAGCCAGCATGCAAGCAATCTTGCATCTTGAACAAACTTGCCCAATGTAAATCATTCTTCCGTTTTGTCTAACCCTGGCCTGGTCGAATCTAGACTGGTCTGATCTAGACTTTGAAGCTATTATTACCAGCAGCCTTCGCATCGCTTAAGAGCTGTACGCCCGTTGATGGATCCATCCACCAAGTTTCATTACTTGCAGGGTTCCAAGTTGAGAAGAATATCTGAGTGCTGTCTGCATGCCGTTTGCCTTCAACTCTGGCCAATTGCTAGACACGGATAAATCGTCATATAGTCCCTGTCTGCCCTCACAGACCCCTCATTGACTTTATCCCTTGTAAACGGGGTAGTACAATGTCCTCGAACAGCAGTCTGAAGCGAGGATCGGGGCTCTTGTCTGCATTACCGAATCGTGCCGGCCAAGGATCCCGAGACGGGCCAGACTGCGGCAATCTCGCCTCGTATAATGAGTAGGTAACTAATTGGGATAATCACTTAGTCATCATGTTTCCTACGATATTATTTGTCGAATGCCTTAGGCAGTATCCAAAGAAAAAATGATACGGGTATGTCTCTGAGCTGTCTCCTACAGATTGTCATCCGATTCTCCCACACGACTTCCTATAGAAAACTGAATATGGGGTGTTTCATGTGTAGAGTAGGCATTTTAAGTATTCCACGGTCCATCACAAAATTAATTCGTCAGACGAATAAAAAAAACGGAAAAAAGCAACCGCTCCGCTCGACCGGATTCGAACCGGTGACTCTTCGGTCACAATGGAGTCCATTACAGCCGAATGCCATAACCAACTAGACCACGAGCGGCTTCTTGTGATCCGGTCTACAGAGCAGTAATATTTCTTCTTACTCCATACGTAGCCCGACTTCGCCGTCGACAAGGCATGAGCTACCGATCATTGATATCTTGATTTACTCCGCATAAATGGGATTCGCTTTCCCCCTCCAGGTGTCGCGCATAAGGAAAACTTTGAATCAGCCAAAGACACGTTGTGCATTGGAAATGATGAATCGATCTATACATCTATTGGTTCGAGTATTGTAGCTAATGCATACGCATGCACTCTCTTATCTGCCTGCCCCTCTGGGCAACAGGATGAAACAACAAACAGAGAGAGGTGATCTGCAATGTCCACCACAGCCCAACTGCGCTTGGAGCACACTAAATAACTCAGAATACAGCCTGGGTTTTTTTTCACTGTTCACTTGGCCAGGATAATAATGGATAAAGAAGATCCGAAATCCCACTGAAACTGGACTTTAGCATTTCAGGGATGTTGAGAGCCTTTGCCACATGCAAGATACAGGGAGACCCATGAATGTTTGCGCTTCTGGGCGTATTAGATGGCTCTGTATCTCAACGGGATCTCCACTTTCGTACTGTACATTGCATGAAAGCGTGATGCACTAACTGCCTCATACCTGCAGCAACAATGCAATCACCGAGTCTGTGCTCTGCTTGATGACTTGACAAGTGTATGCAACTTTGCATGTTTCTATTCAGGCATGCTGAATCGTTTCTATTGCAGGGTTCCGGGTTCCACTTTGCAACAATAACGGAAGTTGCGCCGAGCCCAGCAGCAGCATGCTCTTGAGAAAAGCACTGGGTAGGATACCAGACTGACCCTTGCTTATGACTGAAAAAAAAAAAATCACCATCAGGGGCGCATCATACAGTTGTCAATTCCATCACTCTAATTCTCATTTCTGCAGGGATGCGGAGATTTGAAAGTTGACCGAACCTGGTTCACATCACACCTGGTAGACGAGACCAAGGCGTTGACTAAACTCCTGGACCTTGTTATCCATTTCGCGACATTGATGTGGTTGTCGATACATGACCAGAGATTTTGTAGCAAACAATGCGAATGATAGGTACTATTTCAGCTCTCTTCTAGACGAGGTTGCCTAGGGTAGCCATCTCCCAAGGTAACCAACTTCTGGATTGCCCTGATTAATAGTGATCGATCGAGCTGCAATTCTCCTGCTGCTGGACTGTCTACTACTCTGGCGTACGATACGGAGCAGCGGTGCACTAACCACTGCCACCACCATGGATAGGTTGGTCTTCTCGGAATTTCCTTTGCTTTCCTACCTTTGATATCAACATGGACCAATAGATTAGTCCACGGGCTATATCCTGCAGTCTAGGATAATAATGCCGATTGCCAAAGTCAATTTCCCGTTTATGCTGTACGCCAATTGCATTATTGGAGGCTTGCCACCACACAAACTGCTTGCAGCTGCATGAGCATGTCAGTCTTGCATGCATTGGCTGGCAGCATAGATAAATGGATTGGATGGACAACTTGCAGGCATGCATCAGCTGTTATCTGTAGAGTTCATTACCATCTATCCTCAGTAAACGCTCCTTGACTGTCCTTCAAATGACACTTTCTTGCATATACATGCATATACACATGCACCTTCTAGTACTGCTTATCAATTTCCGCCGCATCGTTGCCGGCATTAGCCACACCCGACGAACTAGTTCAAGCAGTAGATACCTGCAGTACTGTGCAGCAGTAGTTCCGAAAGTACCGCACCGAGACGCAGGCCTGGGAGTCTGGACCATATTTTTAACTTGGCTGATTCACTCATCTTGACTCTAGCCCAAGCGACAGTTTTATTAGAAATCACCTCACAACAAGTGAGGAGCAAATCATGCTATGCTATACGTAGCTAAAGAGACCTAAAAGTCATCATTCGCTTTGAATCTTGGTAGGATGCTTGCCTGCTTGCTGGCTTTCTTGTATACTTGTTTGTATGAACTAGAATACATACCTAGAATGAAGATGCTGGTAAAACCTATCTGATTGACATGGACTTAGTTATGACCTCCTCCGACAAGTAGGGAGAAACGAGCCGACAACGGATGATTACCGGTACCAAAAAAAAAAGAGAAAAAAAAAGATCCTTGCAAGCAATTACAATTTGCCTTGCGACACTGTTGACTTGACTACTTTACCAATGTCAGGAAAATCCTGTGTTGCAAACTCTACCGAAGGACAAAAAAAGAGCGAATGCTATGACGTTCGCTGAGAAGCAAATTTGCAATTATGTTGTCCTCCGACAGATCCTGTCCATTTTTGTCTAGGAATATCATGGTCTGGACCATCTGAGATACATTTGGACTGTGTTGTATGTATGTACAGTACATTAGAAGCAGGGGGGAGAAGAGAACCCTCTTTACGATTTCTGCTTGAACATATATAAATCCGCAATGGCATAGTAACAACTTCTGGACGGTATCGGGTATATATTTGTATGTATGTACCACCAGACCATAACGTAATGAGCGATATATAATCCAGATGAAAAAAAGAATCCAATGACCCTATTTAGTGCCAAGAGAAAAAAAGACAATAACACTGGAACAAACTTGGGGAAGTTCGAACTGTTGTTGGCAACCGCCCGCAATGGCAGTAATGCAATGCAAACACTGACAACATTGCATACAGGAACCCCGCGTACCGTACCGCTATCGATAGCTTAAGAGTACCTATTACACCAACCCGTTTAGAACAGACTCTTGTGCTCTGCCGTTTAATTTGAGCTTCAGATTAATTAACAAACCCCCAAAAATGGCGGATGCAGCAGCCGATTCTGGAGCTGCTCCCCAGGAGCCTCGAGCGAGGCGTATTGTATATTGTGGAGGTAAAGTTGACTTCTTTATATCATTCATTCATTATACTTGATTGATGATGACCCCGCTTCCCCTCTCCCTCCCTCCCTTCCTATACAGATATATTTTTTTCAACGATGACGACAATGATGAATTTGCGATTAACATGAGAGATAAAAAAAAAAGTGTGCAGTTTACCGCCTGAGGTATGTATGAATATCCGTCAATCAATCCTGCCCCGACGATACGATTTATATTCGTTGTTGCGGAGGCTCGGCCATACATAGCCAGTTCTCAATTTCCCCGACGTGATCACCACCTTCAAGTACTAGAATGCGGGTTATTGACTTGTGGCAATGGTTTCTTCTAGTATTGCGAATTCGGCGGGACTACCAAGAAGTGCGAAGAATGGCTGAAACAACACCATCCTGACATGCATGAGCGGTTATACTCGGAAGGTGCGTGTTTGCTTGTCGCCTGAAGCAACGGTCGTCGCTGATAGAAGTTTTTTCTCTCCGGTTTGTAATCTACAGAAGCCATCAGCGCCAGCCTTTCCAGTCTCTCTGTCGAAGCCCGTGAAAGAGCAGCCAAAGACGCCGCGAAGAAGGAGGCCAAGGCGGCCCTAGCCGAGGCACGAAATGCGGAACGCAAGGCCGCGGCCAAAGTTCAGATTAAGCGAGTCGAGAGGAACAAGCGAAAATTTGTCACCGTGGTCACCGGTCTGGAGGCTCATGGGCTAGATCTGAAGAAGGTCGCAAAAGAGCTGGGCAAGAAATTCGCCACTGGTTCTTCAGTCACGAAATCGGCTGCTGGCGCCGAAGAGATTACGGTGCAGGGTGATGTGGGCGATGACCTGTACGACTGGCTGATCGAGGTCCACGGTAAAGACATTCCTGAGGAAAATATCGAACTTGTCGAAGATAAAAAGAAGGGAGGTGGCTAGTCAACCAGTCAATTTAGACATTAGTGGACAAACACTGGGATTGGGGTTTTCATGTCTACACTGGGCGATTATAACGGCGAAACAAAAATGGATGAAGAGCAACAGACGCAAGAAAAAAAATGTGCATGAAATTGCATGCGGGGGTATCACAATCTAATTAAGACAGGTAAGAAATATAATGTATGTATGTACATCCATTAACAATGGAGGAGTCTGAGCTCGCATGGATAAACTGGCGATGTTCCAATTTCTTCAATTAATCCTTACAGTTCGTCGAATATTCGTAGAGGATCGTCGTCATCGGATTGGTTCTCCTTTGTCTCCGTTGCAGCTGCTAGAGAGTGAGTTGAAACCGTGCCACGGTTGCCTGCCTCAGTGGTTTCGGAACGGAGAGGAGACATCCACGAGAGTGCCCTCTCATCTCCTTGAGGTATTTTAAGAGAGGGGATTCCAGTCATATCTTGACTATGCGGATCCACGGCATTCAACGGTTGCCGCAAAGACATCTCTACACGGGAGAGAGCGTTCGCGTCAGAGGGGGCATCGGGAGTCGGCCAGCTTTGAACAATGATCGCAATGATCAACACCACGATGGCGGTTCCCATGACAGCCCACATGATGCGGAGTCTCCTACTGACGCGGGCCTGCCATTCGCCTTCACGACGTTCCCAGCCCTCGATTTCTTCTCTGACGGCGTTAAGGCGATTGCCGAGCTCCTCGAACTTTGCCCGACCCGCGTTCATCCGTTTCTCAAGGGCCTCGATCTTGCGCACTTGGGGCTCAAACCCCTTGAATTCCTCGAGTTGTTTGCGGTAATCGTGATCCATGTTTCTTGTTTCTCGCTGAAAGTCATCATACAACGCTGAGCCGGAGTTAACCAGCTCCTGGAACGAATCTATTATCGCATGGAGAGTCGAAAACCTCTCCAGGAGGTTGTAGTAGGTGTAATCAAGCCGACGGGTGATATCGGTTGCCAAAGTACCTATAGAGGATAGTGTCGCTCGTAGGGACCTAGGTAGTAGGAATAGTCAGCCCATGCTGCAAGTCTCGCAAGTCTCGCAAGGGGACGAGGAACGTACTCTTCTGCCCTTTCCCTCTTCTGCCTCTCCTTTTCCAGATCTTCCATCGTCTTAACTTCCTTCCGCCTGATCAGACCCAGCCTTTCATTCAGGTCATTTTCCTCCACGAAGCTGCCCTTCCTGCTTCCGGTGCTGAGAACACTGCTAGGCCTCGAACTCCATTGCGACCGAGACGATTCATTGGTCGTTGAGGGCTTCAATAAGCCGTTATCGCCATCTTTGTCTTTCTCCCTGCCGAAGGTCTTGCTGGGTAACAAGCTCCTGGCACCGCCAGCGGAGGCTAATTGGTTCATGGTTCGCGGAAGACGGCCATCCCGGGACTTGCTGTGTTTGTGCTTGCTTCTGGGCTTATCAGAATCGAGGTCAGACGTATCTATAAACAAACGGCGGGGCCAATGCTGCCGCTCCTCCGCATGACCGTTGCGCGTTGCGTGTGTCTGACGTCCATCATGCCGGTGACGATGATGTAAGTTGGAGAGGCGAGAACCGAGCTGACTGTCACTGCCTCTAGGTGACTCCTCTTCTACGCCGGAGGGACGATGGGCATTTTGGGAATTTTGGGAAACGGCGTGATTAAGACTGGGGTCGTGAGATGGTGCGGACTGCTTCGAAGACGATAGAGACGATCGGGGAGACACTGAGGCTACATGCGACGGTTCCATAACATCTCCTGCCTGTATAGGCAGTGCTTAAAAGCCTGCGATGGTCATAGAAGGGTGCTCTTGCGTGGGACGGTGGGATAGGTGGGATGTCAATATGGCAGGAGATATTCTCGCATGTCATGATGCGCGGAGGTAGGCAGTACGGAGTAGTCTCCGCATAACGCTAATGCCCTTCCGGAATCACGAGCTTGGTCGAACAGCATTATCGATCCCAGGCCACAACGCAACATTCAGCAGTTTTACAAAGCAACAATACAAAGGCCTTGCTTGACGTGTCCCGGTCCATCTCTTGATTCTGATTCTTTGAGATAAATCTCTAACTTTTCCATACTATCCTTAAAAGAAAACATTCCACCCAAAAGACCTTATTGAAAAGCGAAAAACGAAGTATTAACCCCCAACGCCGTAGAACATGCACTGGTGCAATCGATCATGATATAGAGACAGGGTAGCCATGATATAGAGACAAGGTAGCAACGAAACGTAACGTAAATCATGAGTTGAGCAATTTGTTGCGCTTCTCTCTGCGTCTCCGTCGCTCAACTCGCTTGCGGTGCATCTTCTCAGCCATTTTCTCATAGCGTTCCTTTTCCTCCTTGGCAGCCCTCCGCGCTTTGATGGCTTGAATATGGCGCTGTTTATGGTGAGCAAGTTTCGGACCGAAGAAGCGCAAGGGCATATCTCTGGCGTACCTGTCGCTCTGCCTCCTTCTCCTCCTTCATTTCCCTCTCTTTTTCCTTTAAAGCCTCCATATGTTTCCGTTGCTCGAGTCGCTTCTCGTAGGAAGTCAGACCCGAGCCGGGACGAAATGGTTTCTTGGGCGCATGCCAATTTTTGCCTGGAAAACAGTCAACAACAGGGTCAACGACACAACGCTCGGAGGATCCGTACCATTTTTTCTCATGCCCAAAGTTGCGGCCGCCATGGTGGATGGGAAGTAATTTGTAGATAGACAAGCGGCCTCTCTGCTGTCAATTGTCAATTCTTGTCTCCAGCATTTTTCTCAGCCTGCTTTGGTCTTGGCGGCGAAAAAGGGCAGGAAAAGTTATCTTAGCGCCATCAGATAACCGGATCTCGGCTGCCCTGAAATTCCGGCATCCCACTTTGACATGGAAGCCGATTCCGCGGTAGTCAGAATTCAGACAAGTGATTGAATGCACATCGGCATTCATTTTTATTTTCAACAATTCTCTTCCATTCTGGGGATTTTTTAGCCCCCGTGTGCAACATTGATTGCTGCCTAGTGTGATCTTGCATGGGATGACGCCCCGGGGTGTAGGTGCGAAGCAGGTCGGGCACCTCACCTAAAATCTCTCTCGAGTCACACCATCCACATAAATCCCTCTTAATATATATCCACCCCCCTGCCCCACCTCGCAATTGAGAAGATCTCTCTTCCTTCTGCCTCTTCCAAGTGACTATACGATGTTCTGGCGATAGTACACTGTCCCCTTGTCACCATTCTTTTTCTTTGACCTGGAGTCTGGACGGGAATACGAGGTTCCCCCGATCTTGATGGCGGCTGCTCCAATTGGTTCCTATAAGGATGAAATGCCGGTAGAACTCTCGCCCCTCCCTCCGAGTCAGGGCATGGAGGCTTTGAAGGACATAGCTTTTGGATCGGTACGAGACCCAAGTTGTTCAATAATTACCGTGCACAGCTGACCGTCCTGTTAGATTGCGGGCATTGCTGGCAAATACATCGAGTACCCGTTCGATACGGTGAAGGTGCGACTTCAATCACAGCCCGATGTCTCTCCGCCCCGGTACAGTGGTCCCCTGGATTGCTTTCGGCAGTCCATCCAGGCTGAGGGGGTGAGGGGTCTTTATCGCGGTATCAGCGCCCCGCTCGCCGGTGCTGCGATCGAGAACAGCAGTCTGTTCTTCAGCTACCGCATCACACAAGAGTTGTTGCAGTTGACGGTGTACTCTCCAACGGAACCATTGCCGTTCTCTGGTCTGTTGGTCAGCGGCGCGACATCTGGCGCGTTCACTTCTCTCCTACTCACTCCCATAGAGCTGGTCAAATGCAAGATGCAAGTTCCGAGCTCCACAGCTGGGAAAAAGCCCGGTCCTCTAAGTATTATCGGGTCTGTCTTGCGTAACCAGGGGATCCTTGGTCTTTGGCGTGGACAGATGGGTACTCTGATTCGGGAGACCGGGGGCTCTGCGGCCTGGTTTGGGAGTTACGAAGGAGTGTCTGCTCTCTTCAGGAGGCGTCGTTCATCAGGGCTGCCGGAATCCACGAGCACATCGGAGCCGGCCCCCCTCCCTCTCTACCAGCAGATGCTAGCTGGGGCAGCTGCCGGAATCAGTTACAACTTTATCTTCTATCCTGCCGATACCATCAAATCCCGGATGCAGACGGAAGATCTTTTGCATACCGGGCGACGGTCTTTCTGGAGCGTTGGTCAGACACTGTGGCAGCAGCAAGGTCTGAAGGGGATGTATCGAGGGTGTGGTATCACCGTGGCACGCTCTGCTCCCAGCTCCGCTTTCATTTTTTCGATTTACGAAGGATTACGATATTATCTTGGATAGAGGTTTCTTCGGACAGATTTATCCAGTCTACATTTCACTGATCTTGTTCTTTTCGGGTACACATTTTCTTTCTTATTATTTTCGTTTTCATTTTCATTTCTTTCTTTCTTTTTTTTGTTTCTCGATACAAAAGAATTAAGACTTTTCGGTCGTAATGGGCATGAGGCATGAGAAACTGGAGTTCTGGTGTTATTGCTGGGATACCTTGAGCAGACAAAACTGATAGATGGAAAGTGTGAGAACTTTGTTTTAGACGATAGAATATTATACAAAATACAGTATATTTCCTTGTACCCCACGTATCTTTCCGACTGTCAACTATCACGATAAGGCTCACGACGTGCCCCGCCCCGTTTGTCTCGTTTGGGTGGTTCCGCTGCAACTTAAAAACAAACATGCGAGCTCTCTTCGATGTCATCATTCCCTTTGTTGAATATTGAACTGTCTACAAAATGACCACGACCCTCACTGCCGCCGAATTGGAAATCCTCTCCACCAAGGCCATTGCTGCAAAGGCCACTGCGTACTGTGAGTTCTCGCTTGTTTGATTATGATTATGAATGAAACGCTTCACTGTCCGTTCTAAATAAATAAATAGTCAGCCCCCACTAACCAAAGCTCCTGGTCTAGGTCCCTATTCAAAATTCCGGGTCGGTGCCTGTCTTCTCACTGCGCAGGGCGAATACATCTCCGGCGCCAATGTCGAGAATGCGAGTTATCCAGTAGGCACCTGTGCGGAGCGAGTAGCTTTTGGCACGGCTGTGGTAGGTCGATTTCTATTCATTTCGTGAAATGAATTAGTTGAAATTTTCCCTGTCGTTGTTGTATTCAGGAATAAATAAGGTCTTTGGTCCATCTCCCTTGGCAGGCATCTTATTACCTTTGGACGCTTGAAGAATCGCCCATGTTAATCGCTCATGTTGATTGCATGCAAGAACAGAAAAAAAAACGAGATTTTCATAAATTATACCACCTGTTCATATATGCTTAAGCAACAATTGTCATGTCATGTCATGCATTTCATTCGAGTTCCATTCGCCAGATACAGCAGAGACTAACAATGCTATCCTCTTTTCCTTCCTTCCTGTTTACCATTCTCCCATCCATTATGTAACAGACCTGACCATAATGTTTAAACAGGTGGCCGGCCACAGGGATTTCAAAGCGATTGCCATCGCGTCGGACATAAAACCTGGAGCAACGCCCTGTGGGATGTGCAGACAGTTGTACGTAGTTCTCTCCCCCCACCACCCCGACATTACTTTTTTTTTAACTTTCTCTTTATATCGATTCGATTCTGACAGTATGAGTTGACAGCATGCGCGAATTCATCACTCCTAGCTTTCCTGTTTACATGTATGATGTTGATGGGAACTACACCGTCAAGACCATCGGAGAGGTGAGTATACATACATACAGGTCGATCTGGCGTTATAGAATATACCAGATTCTTTTTATTTCCCCCTTTATATTTCCTTGATACGATATGATATGACCATTTAATTTAAAGAGCTGAGGCTAACAGCTTCCGTTTAAAGCTTCTTCCTGACTCCTTTGGCCCTGATGATCTGTCAAAAGAATGAATGAGTCTGTGGAAAAATAGGTAAAGGGAGATACAGAAAAGAGAATTAAAAGAAAATCGAAGAGTGTATATGATACTGTCTCATTTATTTCATCTTGTTTCTTGTTTAAATTTCGATGATTCCACTATCTTTCTTTTCTAGAGAGAAAGATTGAATGATTGAATGATCGAAAAAAGAAAGAAAGAAAGAAATCTCAAAACGTGAATCGAACAAGAAAGAAATAAGAGAGAATACTTCTATACAGAGTAGAAGAACACATTTGTATTTGCTTAACTTACCTGGCTAAATACCTAGGTAGTAGTTAGTAGTTAGTAGTCACTGAGCTCTCTCTCTCGTACCCAATTTCGTACTCAATATACACTTTTTTTTTTCCACCATCATCGAAGTCATCAACTAATTTCACCTTTTTCTTGTTCTATATCTTTGCTTAATGTAATGTAACGTCCGTATAATGAGTAAAACTCAAGTTCAGTCGAGTTGGCTTCGCAGCTTTAAAAGACACTGCCTTTTTTATAGATGTGCATGCAAATCATGTATGTTCATATGTTCATGATAATGCCATCCATCAATCCTATTATTCATTCATTCTGTTATTCTACTGCTGTTCTGCTTACTACCAACCAGTTAATATATTCCCGTACTAAACAAGTGTCATACATACGAACTGGCTATATTTGAACCTGTCTGTGACATTTGAAAACTCTACATAATATAATAGACGAGTGCTTAAAAAAGAGCAGCCAGCCAGCCAGACAGACAAATCAGTGGACCAGCAATGTCTAACATCTATCTGTCATCTATCTATCTAGAGAAGTCTTAGGAAGAAGATGATGATGACGCCGAGGACGATGATGGACCTGAAGTTGTACAGTACAGTACAGTACATCACAGCACAACACAGAAATCTAAGAGTGTATATCTAGGTCTAGCTAGGCAGGTAGGCAGACAAGCAAGCAAGCAAGCAAACATCAAATCCATCATGTTGGTTGGTCACAATACTCCGTACATTGAACCCCTTGCTAGCAAGACGAGATAGATCAGATAAAACATAAAAAAAAAGTCTCAACAGCGCTATTCCAAAAAAAAGAAATTCGTATTCATCCATGCCATGCCATGCAAAAAATATCATCAATCAATCAAGCCTCCTCTTCCTCCTCGTCAATATCGTCAGCACCAAGTAGCTCGTCTTCATCGTCGACGACACTGGTGTAGTCGCCTCGTCGCGCTGCGAAAGCGCCTCTCGTCGCATACGGTCTCGGCCCGCTCCTTCCAGGCAGGCGGATATATCCGCGGGCGCTGCGCCACAGGCTCGAGGCCAACAGGGGCAGCGCTTGGATCACAGCAACTGTTCCGGCAATGATGGCAACAGGAACCGTGATGAGCGGTGAATTACGCGAGAACAGACCCTCGGGTTCACCAACGTTCTCCCCAAGTCGGATCTGCCCAAATTTGCCATCCCATCGGCTGTACACGTAATACCCTACTGCGGCAGCCAGTCCAATGGGAATAACAATGGCGAAGAACAGTCCAACGCCGCTGATGCCATGCTTCTCTTGGTACTCCTTCTCCTTGTTCGGACACGGCTTGGAGACGATATGGTCCAGGTTTAGACCACCCTCACAAGTTGTCAGCGGAATTCGGCGATATCCGGTGGGTTCCCAGTATTCGATTGCATCGGGATTCTCTCGACAAACTGCCATCGCATCTGGCTTTGGAAGCCCTGGCACAAGGGCGCAGCTTCCATCACTTTGCGGCTCGTAGTTATAATCACTAGAAGTAAAAGTGAGTAAATGTTTCCGACAGATCGAAATATCAAGGGGATGCCTACCACTCGTAATCCGCTCTCGTGCAAGTGCAATTGCGCGCAATGCGGTGGACATGCGGCTCAGACCAGGCGTTCCAGCAGTGCGATGTAGGCTTCTTGCGATGGTACTGCTCCACATGGCCAAAAAGACAGTTCCCTTCCTGAAGAGGGTGCTTGGGTTCCCACAGATAATAATCCTCGCCTTCTCCGGTCTCCTCGTCCAAGTTGCATGTCCGGTCACGCAAGCCACTAAAGTCCAGGTTTACCGTTGCCAGCTTGTGGGAACCCACTTCCTTGCCCCAAAGGAGGAAATTCTTCGAAGTATCAGAAGGTAAAGTGGAAATACTGTCGATGATCATCTCTTCATCCGTGAATTGGAATTCCTCCCAGGTGTCTCCTTCATCCACACTGTAGTAGACAACTTTTGTCGGCTTCATCTCCTCGACAATGACCAGAACAGAGCCCTGATCACCAAATTCCCATTTGTATCTGCCCTTCTTAACGGCCGTCCATGTAATACCTCCATCACGCGTGAAAAACGTATCGGCGTCATCCTTAGACGTCAGATATTCGCCAACGTTTCCGACACCAAACATCAGACCGACTGCAGATGCCGACCCGAACGTATCCCGGGGATCTTTTCTCTCGGTGTATCCGTGAAGATGCAGAGAGCACTTATCTGTGGGCTTGCCATCTTTTACGGAGCAGCCGAAATCGTTGCCCTCCGCATCCTTCGCAGGAGGAGGAAGTAGGGTCCACTGGGCACCATCGTTATGGGTGATCATGGTCTTCAGCTTCTTCTCCTTTCCTTTCTCCACGTCTTGGATGTTACCGACGACGTTGACAATGGCGACACCTTCCAATCCTTGCATCTTCTCAAAGTCTACGTATCCTTCGTTATCCCGATTGACGCCCTCGATGCTCAGAACATACGACGTGCCATTGCTGTTGCTCTTGATGATCGACCCATAAGCGCGGTCTCGCTCATTATTCACGGTCACATGCAGGAAAACCGCATGAGTCGAGCTGTCCAGCACGGTATAAGCCTTCTGCACGGGAACGTCGAAATTGGGAGGGAATTGCGCATCGGCGAAAATCTTCCCATCGACACTCGTGTCGACCTTGAGAGAGCCTTGCTTTTCGGGATCCAGAGAGGCCACGATGATAAACTCGGCCATCGTGGCGAATTCGACAACGTCCTTAAAGTGGACAGTGCTCTCCGAAAACCAATTCGTACTGGAGACGAGCTGCCGACTTGCTTTCGGATTCTCGTCCTCATATTGATCACAGAATACGAGATCTTCGCTGTCCGGGCGGTCTTCCCTCATCATGAACTCGCATTTCTCGACAGAGCGCAGGAGCAGCTCCCACTGATCTCCTCGGTTTTTAGTTAAGTAAGCCATCTTCTGACAAGAAGAATCGCTTAGGCCGTCACATTTGGAGATTCCGGTCCATATCAGCCATTCCTTATACTTCGGGTGGAAGGCCAGTGTCGATCTTGGATTCCTGTGCAACGGCGCGTCGAATGATTCGATCGTTTGCGCACGATTGATAGTCAAAAATTGCTCGTCGCCGTCTGTAAGGAAAAAGGCGCGATCGTTGAGATATCGATGCGGTATAATCTCCCGCACCTTCTCCCCCTTTAGCTTTCTCTCCCATGTCTTCCCGTGATCATGCGTGACGAACAGCTCATCATTAATGGTTCGCAAAACGATCGTCTCATCATCGCCTCGGCCACTATTAGCCCGTTCGAGATAGTAATACTCGCCAAATGACCTGGCATCGAAATACTGCTTGGTCGCAGTAATCGCATCCTTGTTACCTGACGGCACCTTGGCCGCCTCCTTGCACGGTCGTTCAATTTCTTTATCCAGATTCTCACCACCATCTCGAATACAGGCATTGCCCGGAATAAGCCGCCAACCCGAGGGGCCCTTGAATGTGTCGTCAGGATTCTTGCATTCTCCTTCTGGAATTGGAAGAGGAGCTGCGGGGACACATTTCTTGCCATCCTCGCTGCGGACAAAATTGTAATCGCATTCGAAGTCTTCCGCCGTGCATTTGCACGGCTCAAAGATAGGAGCAGGATCCTTGAATTCTTCGTCGACAAAGCAATCCGCATCGGATTTCCGGCGACGGTAGAATTGTTTGTGCCCCATCAGACAATCCGGCTCGCCTTTCTCATCAAGACGGGCTGGCCATTTCTCAAAGTCGTCTTCTTTGCATTTCCGCTCGTGCAAACCGCTGAAATCAACAGAGTACACAACGTATCCATCGTTAACAGCACCGACGAGGAGGAATTTCAGGCTCGTGGAGTCCGATGTAGTAGTGAGCAAGGTTGGAACGATGCTGTCCTCCAATTCCGCAGACTCCCAGTCTTTCCCATGATTGATGGAGTATTGAATCTTGTTGGTTTTTCCGTGATCTGGAACCGCCATGATGACAGCACCCTGGTCACCAAACTCGTATTTGTGCGGTTTGTCCAGACCCTTGCGCCAGGTCACTCCCGCGTCGTCCGAAACGTAGAGATCCCCATCGTCGTAATCTTTGAGGTAGTCGCCAGTGTTCCCCACGCCCATGACCAACCCTGGAGCTGGGCTCGAATACACGCGGCCAATGTTCTTGAAGGCGGTGACTGAATGAAGATGCAAATCCTTGTCCTTTACCTTGAGAGGTTGCCAGGTCCGCCCATCGTCGAAACTGATCCTACTGACGATCTTCTTGTCGGCTCCCTTTTCCTCAACAGCCTGCCAGTTGTCGACGACATTCACCAGCACGATACCCTGAACGTTTGCGATCTTCTCGAAGTCCACCATGCCCTCTATATTGCGGTTTGTATGTTCGATATTGCGGGTGAAGTAGGTTCCGTTGGAATTTGACGTGAAGAGAACGCCCATGTTGGTCATTCGGCTCGTGTTCATCACGTCCACTTGAATGCTGTAATTCGTACTCTCTAGCACCGTGTAGGCATCTTCCTCCAGTTTATGATCCCCGAACTCTGCGCGGTGCCAGATTTTGGCGTCGTCGGACACATAGAGGGCCAGTTCGTCGGTGCCTTGCGACTTGGCCGCCGTAACGATGTACTTCTTTACGGCAGCGGTATTGATGATTCCCGACACGGGGCGCCCTTGATGCAACTTCACCTCGACCCCGTCCTCATCGTCACGGAAGAAATTATCTGAGGACACAAGACGATACGCGTATGCGAAAGGAACCTTCAACCCGGGTACGACGCAGAAAATCCGATCGAAGACCTCATCAACGACACCCGGCAAACCTTCCCCGAACTCAGGTGTTCCCACGGCCCACGAACAGCCGCGGCTGTGGTCGCGTAAGGGTTCGATGGTCTCGAAATCATCGGTGGTGTAGAAGGCCCTCTCGGCGCAACGGAACTGGAAGCACTGCTCCCCGTGGAAGATGACTCTGCGGGAATCGCGTCCGTGAAAGGCAAGAGGCCGATTCAAGAAGGAGGGGCTGGCGCGGAGTTCGAAACGACGCCATGTTTTTGCCTGATCGGTGGTGATCCAATGCTGTCCATGTTTTCCCAAGATATATGCCTTCAGGTTGTCGTAAGGATGCGGTTGGATCGAAAACACGTTACCCCTCATGCGTCCATCTTCGTCATCAATCACGTCCCATGTCACACCGCCGTCAAATGACCGGTACACTTCTGCTGTGCTTGCATCCTGGAAGAGGATGGTTTCAGAATTGTCAAAGTAGAACAGGTAGTCCGGCTCATGGGCGATTGGAGTAGCTGTGATCTTGGGGCCATCCGATTTCTTAGCCGAGCAGAGCTGTGAAACCACCGCCAGCAGGAGGATGCTGGAGAGGAGAAGCCAGCGGCGGATCATGGTGATGATCGTGATTGCTGGACCGGCATCTGAAGGCAAAGCTGTTAAGACACCTAAGCTCGCCGAGCGGATGCTACCTAGAAAGGACGACGGCCGGCGATCGACCCTTGAATCTAAGCTAACTTGGGAAGAGAGAACCCTAGCGAAGAATGGGAACTTGGCACCAGTCGCGTTTCTGCCGCTACAAAACGAAAGAACCTAGAGGTTTTCTTCTGGACGTGGGAAATGGTGAAGGAAGGGATGATATTGGAGCTTTGGGGCGTCGTGGCAGCTGCGTGGCCTCAGACGGAGCTCGGCCATGTTTGGTCACGTGCATACCAGCTGCTGACGATAACAATCAACATGCCAGGACCGCAGGCACCAGGAACAGTGGTCTATCCAACTCCTTACATGTCTTGACAGTGCATTCACCTGCTGGTGAATTTCTTTAAGAGGTAGACATGCCTGCTTGACCCCCAACATATGGATTGGTTTGTTTCCGCCTTATTTACATACCTAGGGGCAAATACTATTTCTACGTCCATATGTAACCTCATACTGATATCATAGAACTGTGTTATCTCATGCTGTACGAAAGATTTGTATTGATCCATGTTAGAACATCTGGCGTTACTGAAAGAAGTCAATTTTTTGTCTCGTTCTCTAATTACAAACGTTAGAATGTTGTTCATTGTGGGCTGATGCCACAAGACAATTGTAAGAATATCTGCAGTCATGAAAGAGAAGAGGTATAAAGAGGATATCTGTCTAGAAATCGAACTCCGCGTCCCAGCCAGAGCACATCACCAATCAGTATCGTGAGAAAACAAGGCCAATGGAAACAGAAGTTGGCCCCCAGGTATTGCAAAAGAAATGTATTCACATAGAAAAAAAAATTCGGCCACAAAACAATGCGGACCTGCGCAGAGAAAGGAAGAAAAAGTAGTAGAGAAGCTGGAGACAACTTTTCTAGTCTTTTCGCCTGCGAAATTTGCGCCACATCTTCTTTACCACGCCTTGACGTTCTGGGTAATCATCCCACAAATTGGCGTGTTCATCCACCGGAGGCAGCTCAGCCAACTTCAATGGGTCATCCGCGTCGTTGTAGCTGGAATCGAGCGTTCGCAAATCCGGCCGTGTCAAGGTCATTTTCAAAGTCATCTCGCGATGTCGACCAACCGGAGGGTTCCGAGACGGCAGAGGCTGCGGTCTGCGGTTGCCTGCAGAATCCTTGTAGATTTCAAAAGATTCACTTTCTTCCTTCCGGTCGTTGGCGGGATCGCCCGCGACGTCCCCATCTGCGGACGCGGTGTCATCGTCCAAGAAAGTGCCAGCAGAATCCTGGTGGCTGGATCGAGGGGACCGCTTCCATTCATGGGATGGAGGTTTGGGTCGAAGGTTCTCCTTGTCATCCAGAGAGGGAAATCCGAACTCCACGGCCTCATCAAACTTCTGCGGGGATGCCAAGTAGACACGCAGCTTCAGTCGGGCTTCGGGATCTTGGTAGTACTGGGCAGACGGATCAATCGAAGAGGAGGAACGATGGCAGGTGTGGCGACGGGCTGCGGGTTGGCTGGACGCTGGCCGCCCGTTGGCGCTGCGGGAACGAGCGGTTTGGCCCAGGATCGGGAAGGGAATAGTGGATGATTGACTCGAGTTCAGCGATCGTTGGCTGGCGTTGGAGGTCGACGCGCGAGCTTTATGGGTAAAGGACAAGGTCCGCCGAAAGGAGGGCTTTCGACGCTGCGACGCAGACGTTGCAGGCGGCGAGACTGCGGCGCTTTCTGCGACATGGGCATGATAGGGATCCAAGGTCAGATCGAGGTCACCATCCTCGTCAAGCCAGCGGAAACTGTCGTAAAACGAGTCCTCCATATCGATGGCGGAGTCGACGGGTTCTGAGGACGTGGAAGCCGACGCAATTGAACCTCTCGAGCTGCTTCGGGGGGTCCTCTCCGTCTCGGAAGGAGACTGTCTCTGGAGTAACGCTCGTCGTCGTTGTTCAAACTTATAGACGGCTAGATCGGCTGCGTCAATGATATCAGCGTCCGGCAGACTCTGCAGCAGAAGCCGCTCTTCCTTCGAAAAGTGTGTCTGTTGGATCTTCGGCGGGAGAGAATGGAAGTACTGCCAGTCTTCGGGCGTGGGCAGGAAGGCGGGTTGCTCGCGCTTGCGCAGCCGGCGGGTGGTCTGTTTCTGGAAACTGGAGTACGTGGAGGAGAACGGACTGTCGATAGCGATAGTGCGAGCCCGGCCTCGACGAGAACGGACGGGGCTTGATGGGCCTGCTGGGCCGGACGAGCCGGATGGACTGGAGCGATAGTGTTGGCCATAGTATCGGTGGTGGTGCTGGGCTAGTCGCATCCGCTCTAAACGGAAGCGCTCGAGATTCGAGAAGAACTGTAGGGAGACGAACGCGCATGGTCAGTCACAGAGTCCACGCATTCAGCAAATCACATATCCCATGTCTGAGGCTGTTCCAGAACCAGTGCACGGCCGGTGAGCGACGACCCATGGATACAGCATCAGCGGGACAGGGCCGGTCCGTGCCTCGGGAGGCACCACTCGATGCAGTGGGAGGATGGACTCCGCCACGAGTCTTGGACGTCGAGGTCCAGAGCACGCCTACTGCTGGAGTGGGCGTCTAGTGGGCATAGACAGTGGGGGGGATGGCAACGGTGCGTGTCGGGGTGGCGGATGAGGGGATGGCAGAAAATTGTGTGCCTGGCTCAGGGGCTCGCATGGTGGAGTCGCAAGCCAACAGACAAGCCATCACCAGCCCCAGGTCCCATTGGCAGTGAACAAGATTCTGCCAGGATCCTGCAGCTCAGCTTGCCCTGGCAGCGTGAAAGTGGACGAAGAATGGCAGCAGTGAGGCACAAAAAAAAAAGAAAAGAAAATACAAGAAAAGAACAACAGCCGTTCGTAGAGACCAGGCTCTTCAACCAGCACGCCCAAAAAGCAGCAGACTCGAAACAGAAGGTATCGACATCTAGGCAATAAAGATGAACAGGGGCTTGCAAATGGTCCATTGGTAGGCAGGCAGGGATTAAACGGCATTAAGATTCAATAGCAGCAGTCCCAAAACTGTGGCCACGGGGATTCATTTTTGAAGACGCGAGAAAACATCCGATAGACGTACCTTTCTCCTGACGGCGGGAGGAAGAGACTCGAAGTCCGCCTCATTGGGGTTTGCAAGGGTCTGCATTGCTTGCAAAGTTCGAGACTATCGACTCGTCTAGAGCCGGGACTTCCAACAGGGACGAAGAATTGGGAAGGTCGGAGAAAAAAGTAAATAATTAGATTGCCACGAGAACTTAGAAGGGCATAAATGAGGACATTAAATAATATAATAGTCCTTAAGTATACTCGAGAAGTAAAGAACAGGCAACAGGTCGACGAGCTGTTCAGTATAGCTGCGCTTAAGATCTAGCAGCTCGAGAAACCATTCGAAAACTCCAGGAAACAGCGTCGCAACGCCCGTTTAAACCGTTTGTGAGTCTAGCCCACCTCGAGAAGAAAAACGAAGGAAAAAGAAAAGAAAAAAAGAGGATTTAAAAAGGGTACCTCGTACACCGCACTCACCGAGTGAGGCTGTTGGATTCTGGATCCGCGATCATATTTAAGAGAGAGGAGGTACTAGTCGGAGTACTATAATTATAACTATTGCAATCCAGCGTCCAAGCTCCTTCTGTCCAAGTTCGAGAATACTCTCTATTGCCTGTCCTGGGCCACTTTGCTTGGTTGGCACGGCTGGTGGGAGGGCAGCTCATCTACCGACTGCCATGCTGGTCTGCGGTTTGCTGACGAACGATCCACCGTTGACGAGAGTCACAGGAGCTAGCCTTGATATGGTCTGCTGTTGACTGTTTACAGCAGGAAAACACTGCACACCGAAATCTCACCGCGCGACTATTGAAACGCGAGCAACGTGGACGAACGGTCGGCGGTGTGCCTCTCCAGGCCAATGACCCCCTCAAGCGTCGACTTCGGGGCCAAAGTGCGGACGGCACGCAAATCCGCCGGTTGATCCAGACTCCACTCGAAGATCGAGAATCGTCAAACGGAGGACGATCACAGATCAGCGAGGGCTGCTGGCTGCTGCAGATTCCAGGCGCTACTCCTGCGAGATTTCCGGATGCACGTCCGTGATTTGTTTTCGGCCATGCCGCCGTCACAGGCGTAAGCGCCGTCGGAAAAAAGCACACATGGATCTCTTCTTACTCGAAACAGCTGAAAGCCAACGCCCAACAGCAGGGTCATTTCCTCCCTACGGACTAGTGTGGTCGAACAACGGCCTGTCTCACTCTGCTCCGTCATCGCCAGCGACCCCACTGAATCCGCCCGGGGTTGGATTCGAATCCTGTTGAGCCGCCAGGTTACATGTCGATCAGTCTGGATCCGGTAAGACGACGTCACGGCGCCAAAAATTACCAGGTTACAAAATTCCGACACAAGCACGCGACAGAAGCCCTCCACGCGACAATAAAAATCCCTTCATCTGCCGAATCATACCGGCGCGATCGTACCGGCCACATTGGTGATGAGAAGGAGGATGAGGATGAGGATATGCCTGAAGGACTGAAGAAATCAACAAAGGATGATACGCACAGACAAGACTGAAGAGTCAGCTCAGGCCTCCAGTCCCTGGCGTGAAACTGTCGACGAACATGACTCGTGGTAGGCTCTCCTACCAATCGATCGATAACAATCTCCGCGCCATGTTTGCCGTGGTTTGCCAAATGCAGGCACGCCAGCAAGCACGCCAGTTTAGTGAGATCGGTTCGTCTACAGCCTATGATAAGGCTGTCGAGTCTTGTCATCTTCGTCTACGGAGTAGCTACCGAGCATTCTGTATGGTACTCCATATTGTCAGCCTCAAGCGGTCAGTAAGGCTCAGTACGGAGAACCCTGTCAGACGGGTTTAGAACTTGTTGGTTCGACTTGGCGGCAAGTTGCCTAGCGACTCGAGATCCCTGTCGTGGCAGCTGAGGTTATGCACCCAGGAAACAGCTACTATTTACAGATTCCTCTACTCCGTATAGGAAGCTTCAGTCTCATCTGTCATGGGTATATGGACAAGCGGGAAGAATCATCTACTCCGGAGTAGAGAATGGAGGACCGTTCCATCTTACCTTGGTAGGTATAGGTAGGCACCTAGGCAGTAGGGTACCTAGGCATCCCTACCCAATCCAGCATGATAACCGACTGTTGACAGCGTCAAATATGCAGAGTAGTATACTCTGATAGGTAGGTCCTTTAAATTAGCCCGACAAGTCCCGTGACAAGTCGATTAGACAGCTAGGTAATAATTAGCTGCATGATAAATCACGAACTACGGAGTACTCTGTACCTTGATACGCGAATTCTCCGATCGCGTGTTTCGGGATTTCGATTACTATTGGCGAGGGGAAAAAAAAACACGCGTGGATTTTATCTAACCCCTGCAGCGCTGCATGGAGGCGATGGCGCCCATGTGTCCGTGTCATCCGTGAGCGGGTAGACGGCTGGCTGGCGCGTGGCACAGTGGCACTTTTAGGCCATGTGATGTATTATGTGTACAGCATACCTAGTATAGTATGCATTATACGAGTTCGGACGGATTTATTATTTATTTATGCTTTATCCCTTCCCTTCCTTCCATTATTTTTTCCACCCCGTTTTTGATCAGGTTCATTTCTACCTAGGTAATAAATAAATAACTGTCTTGTAGAAGACGAGAGTTAAAAAAAAATAGAGACCAACAACAACTCCCTCAGCTAAGGTAGTAGGGATACGTGAGGGAATAAAGAAGTGAGGGGTAAAAACCGTAAATAAGCAAATCAACATGCAACAGGTATAGTACCTAAACTTCAAAGTTAAAACCTTATTTATCGTTATTGTTTATCAACAACGCAATCAATCGGTGATTTTTTAGATACAGCGCCGAGCTAGCTAGATAGATAGATCCAATGGATAGATAGATATACTCCGTATAAGTGGATACCACTCTACAGCGACAGACAAATTCGGAGTAATTGCAATGAATGAAGAAAGAAAGAAGGAAAATTCGTGCAGAAAGCATTTTTCTATTTTTTCCCCCCTTTCCTATTGCTAAGCAAAGGAGAGATGTAACAAGACGGAGAAGACCGCTTTCAATGGATGATTAATGATTCTGAATAAATAAGCCCTACTGGGGCTGTTCGCGGAGTATTAACTGAATAGCGAACACAGACAGGCAGTATGGATGGAGTATTAATTCTTACCCTGTCGAGCAGAATTAATTATTACAGCATGATTTGTGTTTTTTATTTTCTGGTAATAATTTCTTGCTTGCTTGTTTTTTTTTTTTGCTCTATATTTTACCACCCTCCGATATTCCGCCGCGTCTAGTAGTATAATTATAATAATAGCCCTGAGTGGAGTACAGTCTGTACGGTATATATTACTCTATAGATAATGCTATTGAGTACTCTGTTCAGAGCATGATCTTGAACCATCACACATTTACAGTGCAAGCAGTATTACAGCATGCATGCTTGCAGATCACTACAGGTCATTCCATCCTCACTTATTATTCACTTATTCACTCACTCGCTTATCGCTTGTCTGTGCTGTAGCCCGTATGGCAGTGAGTGATGTAGGTAGGTAGGGTTTCTTACCGAGTTATCCCGGAGAAAAAAAAATTCGCATGGCAAATTAGTACTCTGTACATAGTACTCTGTAATTGAGTCATTATTTCTCCCCCACCCCTATTGTTATCTATCTATGGCATCATTGACAATGACAGGTCTTGATTGATCCACTAACCGAGTGGGTTGGAGTTGGCGTGTTTCAAGATATGCATGTGTTGGCGGCCTGTCACTGTCACAGACAGTCAGACTAAGATAGTCCAGTCCAGTCAGGCATCTCTCACAAATCACTGTTCACTAGCCTCCTCTCTGGCTGATAGACTGTCACACGGGCTGAGCGGCAGCTAAACTGACTTGGGCAGCAAGAATAAATACGAAGTACGGAGTACTCTGTAGGTACCTAGGTAGCTGGTAGACAGGCCGTGGTTACAGCTGACCGCTCATTGGCATGATTGTTTGCTATTACGATTCGAGGACAGAAGCTGCACCATTCAAATCATATTGTATGTAGATCAATTGCTGCATGACACCAATCGTCTATGTCAAACATGAAGGGTATAACTGTACAGTACTCTGTACATGTAAAGCATGGCAGATATATCGATATTGATTGGAGACTTGGAGAGATTGATCAGGTGTATCCTCCTATAGAGCGTTCAACACCCCCTGCATCGCCACCGTGTTGGAATCCTCTCTCCTCAGCACGTAGGCCCGCACTTCCTGCACCGACAGGCCGACGCCTTTGCTGTCGGCGCCTCCGCTGCTGGCACCCGCGTTATTCCTGCCTGTCGTGCCGCCCGCTGCACCACCCCGGAGCTTCTCCCGCAGCGCTTCAGGGCCGACCACAAACAAACTGCCCACCTCCAGCAGCACGTCCAACGGGCCTCCCACTGCCTTGAGGTCCTCGTCGATCTGCCAGGACTTGAGCAACTCCACGTACCGCGTCATGTCCTTGGTGACCATCAGTCCACCCGGCGCGTTGACCGGGAAGCGCTTAAAGTGCTCCAGAAGCAGGCTGCGAACTCCCAGAGCAACTTCCGTCAGTAGACTTTGAATATTGGAGCCGCTCGACGGAAGAGACGTAAGAATAGTGTTGTGCAGCCGCGTCAAGAATGTGCAGATGGAGGCACATGTCTGAAAAAAATAATGTCAGCAACTTGCCCAGAAAGGAAACCTCAATAAGGTGAAAACTCACCGGTGTCTGCAACATCTCCAACCACGCCGATGAATCGCCCTCCCTCGGGCGGAAATCGTTCTTTTTCTGACCTCCCAGCAGCTTGTTGACCCACGCCAGCACCACGTCGATCGTCTTCTGTTCGATGGCATTGATCTTGTCTTCAATCCGATTGACAGTCAGATTCGTCTTCTTCTCCATCTCCCGCCGCGTCGTGATGCTGTTCGCCGCCAGCGGAATTAGCACCGTATCGATGCATGTCATCATCAGATGCGTGATGCTGACGGCGGCGCGAATACTGGCCAGGTACGAAAAGTCCGGTTCGGCCTTGGCCGATTCCTGTGAAGCCGCCGCATCGAGAGACGCTTCGAGTGCCACCTCCACGTAGTTTTCGGCCATCGTGGACAGGAGCAGGTTGAGAAGCGTGGCGACATCCTTGGGTGTCTCACTGCCCATACTCAGCTCCAGACTGCGGCCAACGCCTTCGGCCAACCATTTGATCATCCGTTTCGCAAACTCGACCGAGAGCTGGCCGTCTTGTTCGCTGAATTCCGACTCACTCTGCCTGGCCGAATCGCCAGGCTCCCTGAGCCCGGCAACCTTCAACAGCATCTGTCGCTGCGTCGGCGTAAAGTCGGACGATTCCAGCCGGGAGAGATATGCATCCTTCGCGGACGCCAGGAGTTCGCTGCTGCTCTTCGCTAGGGACGCCATGAAAGTGGTGGCGGCCTTCTTGCGACGCGAGTGGAATGCCGTAAACTTGAACAGCAGAGAGGTATACAATTCCTCCAGGTTCTTCTTCTCCCTCTCAATGTAGGAGGAACCCACAAAGTAGGGAACAAACAGATCCTCCAGCTGCTGATCGAGGATGATAGCCGTCTGCGAGGAGATGGCCTCGGGGTGTTCTGTCAGCCCGTGTGCCTTCAAATCATCCACCAGCTGACTGATGTAGTTCCTCGAACTCTGTAGAGACCGTAAGAAGGCTAGAGAGGATACACTGTTGGCCTTGTCCAAGACCATCTCCAGACGCTGCTGAATCGACTGCTGGAAGACCCGTTGTAGAAACCGCCCCAGGACCTCCTCGTAGTATGGAAAGGCGCGCCGGATGATGGCCGACTCTTCCTGGACCACCACCTTGACGTCGTCGATCAGCGATTGCAAACTAGGCTCAACGCCGGGGGGGTCGGCATCCGGGTCTGCCAGTTTCTCCCACGTCTCTGGATCACCACCCACTTCCTCCGTCACTAGCTGACTTCGGTCGATGAAGAACTGGTGCTGGTTGACGAACAGCGCAATGACACTGGCGCCTCCGTTGAAGTCGCGGAGAACGGTAGCACAATCTTTCATGCCCTCGAAGTTGGCTTTCCGGTAGAAGTCATCAAATTGCTTGAGCAGATCCTTCTCGAGCGTCTCTGAAAACTTCTCAATGATTTCTCTGGTATTCTTTCTGGGCTGGTTCTCTCCGCTGCTCCCACTTAACGCGGGAGACGAGGCACCGTTGGCCTGAGATCCGTTGGGTTTGGGACCGGTATCATCCCAGCTTTTCGGGTCGAGTCGTTGACTGATTCGCAGAAGCTGTTTGGCGATGTGGGCGGACCGTAATTTCCCCTCGCTGCTGCCAGACCGTCGAAGGTTCTCCAGGAGCGTGATTTCTCCCCGGTTGCTGACTTCGTCCCAGCACTCGATCAAGAAGTGCGCATCCAGCGCCCGCCGTCTCTGCCGGTCGAGTTCTTCCAGTTTCTTGCCCGTCTCCACCGCGATATTGCCATCGCCCGCGCCACCGAGCCCAGCTGCGTTGAGCGAGGTATCCAATTTCTGAAACTCCTCGATCGTCTGTTTCAGCTTGCGGCCGAGCGTGCTGAGGTTCTGCGCATGCTGGGCTTCCGCCCTCCGCACGGCTGCGGACAGCTCATTCTCTCGGATCTCCAGATCCCCCGACAGTTCGTTGAGGCGGCGCTGCGCATGCTCAAAGGCGCGGATCAGGGGTTTCGGGTCGAAGGGCTGGTTGGCGCTGGCGGAGGCGCCTGCGGCCGAGCGGCGCTGCTGGATTGCACTTTCGGAGAGGGACTCGATGAAATCTTTGACGATGAAGTCGCGACTCGAGAAATCTTCAAGGGTGAAATTGGGGCCCTGCGGGTATAGGGAGCGCGAAGGCTGGTTGGATTGAGAAGAGCTCATCGATGAGCTGTCGGGCATGTTGCGATCTGGGGAAGGCCCCGCAGCATGGGCAGGAAGACGAAGCGAAAACGTGGGCGACTGTACTCAGAGAGAATCAGTAGAAGAGCTTCCTAAAAGACGATGCCGTTTCTGTTTAATTTCAATATCCTGCCAACACGCAGATATCTGAGAGCTGTCTAGGAGGCGACGTGGAATCCGCAATGTACTCTGCACGTAGACTGTACCGACACTCCAATCCTCCCCGTATTTGGCTGGTCGAGGACACCGCCATCGTCACCGCCCTCGCCGCGCGATGACAAGACTCGAGAGCAGCACAAAGAACTGGCTAATTTCCTGGGATGAGTGATTGTGGATTAACTGATTCTTGCGTGGATTTGCATAATTGAATTTATTCCTGCAGTCAGGGCAGATGCAAAAGCAAAGACACAAATTCAACCGGCAGTATATGGCAAGATGCCTCAGGTATGTTACGATACGATGGCGATACGGTACTGTAAGTATCGTACCGTACAGAACAATGGCCGGTTATTTACCATAGTTCTGTGTGCAAGGAGTGTAGAACACAATTGCTTTGTCTGCTATTGATTGATGTATGCAGCTAGACTACTGAACTGGCGACAATAGAGTTATTTTGCCCATTATGATAATGATAGAGACAGCTGTCTCGAGTTATGCATTGCACTGCCCCGGATGACGCTGGATCACGGCAGGCGCAAGCGGCTCAACGTGGCAGAAATCCCAGCAGAATATCTTCTGCATCAGCCACATCGCTAATACGACTGCCGCTGCAAACTGCCTGCATCTAACTTTCCTCCTTTGATTACTTTTTTTTCTTTTTGGACTATTTTTGTTCAATCGATATTCCATGCACTGATGGTATCCTCCAAAGACACGAGCGTGTACCGCGAGGATGTCCGCCTCCGGGGGGGCAAGCTCTCTCCGGCCGACCGCGAGAAGCTCGTGAAGCCGTATCTCCCAGACCCTAGCTCGCTGTCGTCGCGACCGTCGCAGCGCCACAGGAAAACGGGCAGGAAGCAGAGGAAAACCAAGCCCATCCGGAATTTCCTCAAGTCGCAGCTCCATCAGCTCGTATACACACTCATCCATCTCTTTTTCGGGCTCTATGTCCGCCTGTCCCAGACGGCGTTCGCGGTGGTCGACCGGGTGCTGGCCATCGTCTATTACCACCATCGCACCCCGGAGCTAATCCAGAAAGATGTGCGGTCCCTGAATCGTATTCCGGAACATCTGAGTGTGGTTCTGAGGCTGCGCAAGGAGGAGGATGCGGTGCAGACATTGATGGACGAGGTTGCGGAGCTGGCGGCTTGGAGTGCATGTGCCGGAATTCCGACATTGAGTGTATATGAGAAGACAGGTTTGTACAATGGAACATTTCATTATAGAGTGGATGGACTGACCGGGTGAAGGGATCCTGAAATCGTGTATCCCGATTCTCTATCAAGTGGTCACCGACAAACTCTCGTCATATTACGGGTCTCCTTCACACCAGCCCAATCTGCGCGTGTTCGCCCCTCACCACAGCGTCTACTGTCCTTCCCTTTCAGAGTCGGCCACGAAGCGATCTAGCGGTTCACTAACAATTCTCCTGCTGTCGGCGTCGGATGGGCGGGAGACTCTGGTCGATCTGACCAAGACCCTGACGGAGATGTCGCAAAACGGCAAGCTGTCTCCGGCTGATATTAGCCTAGAACTCATCGACGCCGAAATCAGCGAGATCACCTCGCAGCCTTCCCAGTCGACGCCTGGAACGCTGAACGGGGCTACCGAGACGACCGACCCGGCGACGTCCAATCTCTTCCGTCCCGTCAAGCCGGAGCCTGACCTGTTGATCATCTTTGGCCCTTATGTGAATCTGGACGGGTATCCGCCGTGGCAGATCCGTCTGACGGAGATTTTCTGCACGGGGGACCGGGGCAGCAGCATCACGGGCGGCAATGACTTTGAGGCAGTCGAGTACCAGGGATTCCTGCGGGGATTATGGCGGTATGCACGAGCACAGATGAGGTTTGGACGGTAGAGCAGTATCTATCTGCTGTAATATAGACATATAAAGCATATAGTATAAAAAGCATATAGTATAAGAAGTCGTATGTTTTTATTCATTGAATTCAAGTCCAAAAAAAAAAGTATTTGTCTCGTTTCATTTCATTTCATTCCTTCCCTTCCTATCCATGGTATCATATAGCATGGCATAGCATAGTATACATAGAACATACATTATAAAAAAAGAAAGCTATGGGTATATATAGTCCAATCTCCATCGCATCGCATCGCATCACCTCGCCATACCAAGTAAGGAAGTAAGTATGTATGCAAGGAAAATTGCCCTTTCATTTCATTGCATTTCATTTCATTTCATTTCATTCCGTCCGTCTGTCCGTCCATCTCCATCCCATCTCATTCTCGCAGTCATTATAAAATAAAATAAAAAGTTTCCATTATATGAGAACACCAGGCAGGAACAACAAAACAAAGAAACGTCGTTGGTGGGGGAGTCACTCCCACGACGGATACCGTCCTCGAACGCAGTCCAAACACCAGACGATCTCGTCTCCGGTTTCGGTTAGTCCTTCGACGGCGCAGCAGGAGCAGATTTTTCGTTGGCGGTGTTGGCCTTGCTGCTCCTGCTGTTGTTGTTGATCCTGTCGTGCGTAGAGATAGCCGTTTTTGATTGTGATTTCTCCTCCGCTACTGCCTCCGCCGCCTCCTCCTCCTCCCCCTCCTCCTTCAGGGGTTGTTGGTCCTGACCATGTTGCTGCTGTTGCTGACGATGACGTCGACCCGCATCCGACCGCATTGCATTCCCGCAGACAGATATAGCACGCTCGTTCGCCACAGAGCTCGCAGTCTGCATACGCGTCGAGCATCACGCGGGTCGTCGGCCGTCGGTGACAGATGTGGCACGGACGGAGGAGCGGCGGGGGCAGTGGCGAGACCGTCCGGGGGGAGACCTCGGGACTGGCTTTCAAAGCGGCTGAGTTAGAGGAGGTGTAGGAGGGGGGGATGAGTAGGGAAGGAGGCTGAGGCTTTCTGCTCTGGCCGTTTGGAAGCGGTGGTGGTGACGGTGATCGCGAGGAAGGATTAGGGGATTGTTGCTGCTGCTGCTGCTGCTGCGATGGTTGTAGAATCCGGTCGTTTTTTCGGGGGGATCGGCTGCAATCGCGGCCGGGAGTCGAGATCTGTTGTTGTCGTTGTTGTTGTCGTCGGGAGAAAGCACGGCGCTGGCATTGGCACCGGACTCAGGTTCAGGTCCATATCGTGATCGACATCGTGATGGCAGTCCAGCTGACCCTGATGGATCATGAAGCCGGTGCTGCAGCAGTCAGTTAGAGTGCCTTTTCTTTTTTTTTTTAAAAAAAAAAAGAGAAAAAGAAAGAAAAAGAAAACAAAAGAAAATACTATGGCAAGACTTACTGCTCCGTCGACAGATTCTCATTATTCCACGTCGTCCCATCCCTTTTGCGCTTTTTCAGAGTAGAGGTAGGTGTGGCGAACGGACTGGGATCGTTCGGATGCATTTTTTTTCAGCAGTTCTCCTTGGAACTCTCTCCTGAGAAGAGAGAGGAGAGAAGACCAAGGAGACAGAATGGAGGAGAGATGTCTGTTTGTTTTCGTTGATTCCTCTCTGTTTGTATTTCCGGCTGTCTGGTTTTCTTTCTCCTTTTTCAATTGAGGTATGTAGGAAGGTGGTAGGAGGTAAGTCCGAAGAAGATCGATCAATCAATCAACAGGTCAATGGACGGACGGACTGACTGACTGACTGAGTGATGGATTCTGGATAATACAATACAACATACGAGGTGTTACTGCTGTGCCTGTGCAGGTCAGGTGCTTCGCTGTTTGTTCCGACCAAGACCAAGCCAGGCACCGCAGCATTATTTAGGCAATTAATTGGCCAACCACATGCCGCCCCGACACGCCAGTCCCGGTCCGCCGCGCCGCTGAGTTTGATTGGCCCAGCGAATGCCAGCGGAGCGGGCCGCTAAGGCATCCAATCAATCAGTAACCATACGAAGTGTCTACAGGATTAGGATTGTAGAGGGCTCTCTTCGTTACTGTAAGTCGATTGGAAAGATAATTAATTCTGCCAGTGGCAAGGTGCCGGCTCTGTTTAGCTACTTCGTGCTGATATTAAGACAAGAACAGAATGAGAGATCCCTGATCATTAACGTTGACGTTGACGTAGATGGACGTAATATATATCATGCCTACCTCGCGCATATACGAATGAAGTCTATCCCACACAGCTCGTAACCCATTTAATATTCGAGTTGAAGATACTCCGTAGTAGGTTCGTCCTAGAAAGTCCGGTCGAGTCTCGCCTGGATGGTCCTCTCGTCCAGCGGCCCATCCTCTCCTACATAGTTGCGCAACACCTCCTGCATCATCAGTCGCCGCGGCGCTTTCCGTCCCGTCATCAGCTCAAACTGCGCAAAGCCCTGCTCCGCCACCACCTCCAGCCCGTCGACCAGCACCCACGGCTGTCCCGTCTCGCTCCGGATGCGACGCATCTGCTTGAGAAGCGGCGTGTCCAGGGGTTTGTAGGCCAGCTGCGAATGAAGTCAGTATTAATCAAAATGACAGGAACGAACGGGGGGGGGGGGGGAAGTATGTCCGCCTCACCTCCAGAATGACTCCTCCTGTCGGACTGCCCAGCCACTGCAACGGCATCTCAAAGTTCGCGGGCGGCTCATCCCCCACGCGCGACTCGGGCACGCAGGACGCAATCATGGACGGAGGCGCGAAATCCGCCGGCCAGGGCTCCTGCGCCGACCGCAGCACCCGCACCACCGTGCCCGATTCCGGCTGCGAGGACGCCATCCACGAGTTGAAGTGCTTGGCCACCTCCTCCGCGCGCGAGATCGTCCGGTTCAGAATAAAGATCTTGCGACATCCCAGCTGCAGCATGGCGTAGATGGCCGCGCGCGCCATCCCGCCCGCGCCAATCACCAGCCCCGTCGTCTTCCGACTGATGGCGTTCCGGGGCGACAGGTTGCGACGGAAGCAGACCAGGATACTGATCCAGTCCGTATTCTCCCCCCACCAGGCCGCCACGCGCCCGGCTTGGTTGCGCCGGCTCGCCTGCTCCGGGAGCGGGTACATATTCCCATCGGCGCTCGCCCGCAGCGGCATCACCGTGTTGACGGCCCCAATGGCCTCGACATGGCGGCTTTTGTATTTCAGTTGCTGGGCCACCGTCACTCGCCATGGCTGGACGACACTGGTGCCGCCAAAATTCGGATCGTGGCACCACCGGTCCAGCTCCGCCAGGGACGGCGACTCGGGGATGCTGTAGACGTGGTTCAGGCCACAGCTGCGGTAGGCAGCATTGTGCATCGCGGGCGAGATGCTATAGGCGACGCTGGCGCCGAGAATGTAAAACCGCAGCGGATCCAGCATGTAGCTCTGAAACAGCGCCCGAATGGCATCTTGCGATGTGATGTGGGGGTCTCGTTCGCTGCGGGCCGGCCGCTTGACGGCCGGGTGAGTGACGGAGGTCAAGATGGGGTTGAAGACTTGGGAGCTGCGGCCGATCAGACCGAGGTTGTACGCAATAATGGGCGGGTGCGTCCCGGGAAGGGATCGCACGCGGTCCACGAGCTTGCGGACCGCCTCATTGTCTTCTCTGGTGGTCGCCACGCGCAAGATGCGCACAAGCTGGCAGCCCAGTCGCTCAGCTTCCAGATAGAGAGAGAAACAGGCGTCGTCCTCCCACGACACGCCGGAGGAGGGCTCCAGGACATAATGGCCGATGATCTTGGTCATGCCCCGACTGCGCACGATCTGTGTTAACCGGTCGTGATCTTGCCCCAGATCGACGGCCAAGTACTCGACCCCCAGTCGCAGACCGTGCTCGAGGATGTGAAAGTAGAGATCGCGAAGGTGTTGGGAATGCCCGTTGTGAGGATCGATGCCCAGCGCCAGGATGTCGACCGAGTAGATGATGGGGACCTTGGCAATCCGTCGGAGGAGAGAAACCTGCTTGCTCACCAGGCTGACGACGTCTGGACTCCACACGTCCACGCAGAGCTCGATGGCATCCCCGCCAGACTCCAGTTCCGGCAGGTCCACGAACCCGTCTATCAGATCCGACAATCGAATGAAGACGGCGTGAGTATACGACTTCCTTTCCGGAGGCGTCTCCAGCAGCACGAAGGGCGAGTCAAAGCCGGGATCGGTGGCCGTCGCACCGGTGATGAACCGGACAAAGCGGGTGAAATCCTCCTTGGCATCCTTCAGTTTGAAAGAGTAGTTTTCGGACCGTCGATCCGGGGTGCCTTCGTCCCCGGTCAGGGATGGAGGCGGCCGTTCTTCGAGATTGTAGAACTCGAAATTGGAGCAGGTCCGGTGGGATGGGCCGCCATGGACAAGACGCCTCGCGGACTGGTCCTCCAGGCGCAGCAACCGTTGGATCTGCTCCATATCGCGCAGCAGGTAGACGACGGGGTTGGTCATGGAATACTGGCGCAGATGGTCCTGGATATCGCGGGTGAGGCTGCCCAGGCCGCACTCGATCACGCAGCGCGTGCGATGGTTGTCGAGCATCATCTTGAGCACCTCGATATCGCGGCGCTGGAACTCATGGCTGCCGAACTTCTGGAGGAATTCATGGCGGGTGTAGCCGGTCACCTCTTTGAAGTAGAAATCTTCGGTGATGAAACGGCGGTTCAAGGCCGTGGCGGCGATGAAGCCCAACGACCGTTTGCCAGACCCCCGGATCCCGACCAGCACCAGGGAGGCGTCGGGGTCGAAATTCCGCCTGGACGGACCTGGGGTCGAATAGTGCATGTTGGCTGAGGTCTTGTCTGGCAGACGCAACGGAGACATCAATTGGGACGCGGGGTCGCAAGGACAGGCTATATCGTTGTTGAAAAGCCGGGAATGACCAGCATTCCAGACGCTATCTTATCTATCCTCTTCTCAAGACCAATCGCAGACAGGATCAATATGCGCTGACGTTGCGGAATGGATATGGATCTCCTGGGGTGCTTCCGGAGGCGGAGGGAAAGCCAGATCAAGATGGAGTCCCGACGGCGGCCAGAAGGGGGCCCATCGCAGCTCTCCGCATTGATTCTGCCGGACAGTCTATGTGATATACCTTTTTCCCAGCTGGGAGGTATTCGTGAGTGTTGATTAAATCGAACTGCCGCCAGCAGAGATGCAACGCAGGCCGTTCTGGCGGCTGGTCAGCCAATGGGCGCGCAGACGGGAAAAGGCTTATCCGGCAGTCACGGGGCGGATTGCTGTGGGAGAACAACTGAAGAACAACGGCCTTGCAGCGTGTTTGGACGGCCAGGCGACAGAGGAACTGTAGCTAGAAGATCACCGGACTTAGTAATGAATAGCCAGTCCATTCATCAGTCTGGATTGGAGAAATACTATGAAGTATTAGCCTTTTGGTGGTCAATTCGGGTATGGTGGATAATCACGTAGAAGAAAGCGAGAGAACGGCGCTGTAGCCGCTGTAGAGGTGCAAGACTGCCTCAATCCAAGGATTATTCCATGCTCATTGCCCACATGCACAGCAGATCCAGCAATTGCTGTGTTTGCGGGGAAAGGAGGAACCGGACGTCTGCTCGGCGCCGTTCCGAATCGGGCGGCTCTGTGCCCCTATCTCGCGTCAAGAATCAGTCCATCACACGCTCTGCCGTTCTCGCTGTCATCCACAACTCACGCCATCGACGGCCTTGCAACCAGTCTGCCGGTCGCTGCTGATTTGCGGCCGTTGCTTCGCGATTGACGACCTTTTTGCATCTCGACAGCCGCGGGCTCGTGCCGGCGCGTTGGCCCCGTCTCCGCTCTGCATCCGTCCCGGGACAGGGCGATCCGTGCTATTTTGGCGACATTTGGCTCTCTTTTATCGATATTGACTCCGATATCGATACCGCTCACGCTGTGCGGTCGTCCAGACGCATTCGCCGCCTCGAGGGCGTCCTCTACCCCGGTATCCGCTTTTGCGCGTTGACGTGCTTGCCTCGTATCCGCTGTGCACGACTGCCGTCGCCCCATCTCGACTGCCCTGCCATGCAGCTGGTCTCCTAGGTAGCCCTCCATGAATGAGGGATTGGATTCCAAGGCCCCTCGCCGGAAGAGGGTCTCGCGCGCCTGCGATCGCTGTCGCAGCAAGAAAGACAAATGTGATGGAATCCGTCCAACCTGTTCCGCCTGCCAGGCCTCGGGCCAGACCTGTTCCTACGATCCCAATGCCAAAAAGCGCGGCCTCCCGGAGGGCTACGTCCGTGGCCTGGAGAAGCTATGGGCCCTCTCCATGTGCAACATCGAAGGCCTGGAGGATATGATGTTAACCCTCCTGGGTGCGACCGCTGAATCCGCCGGGAGACGGGAACGACTGCTGAAGTTATGGACGGACGATAGCGCGTCGGACAGTCTTCATGAGGTGTGGAAGACGAGTCGACTCTGGGGAGGCGCTGGAGAAGATGCTGTCTCACTCGGACCCGGATCCAGGGCAGTCGCCTCAAAAACGGCCGAGAGAGGAGGATGATGATACTTCTCCAGGCGCCTCCAGTCAATGGGGGTTTCGCGTTGGACGAGGGCCGGCACCGTCAGGCATTGATGCGCCACGGGTGGTCGGCCCTCATTCGTCTCCCGGTGTGAAGAGGGCAAGACTGTCGTCGTCGTCGTCGTCGTCGTCGTCGTCGTCAAGCGCAAGCACCGATGCTAGCAGCTTGCAGCTTCCGCCGCATGCGCCTCGACTGTTGGAGGCCTATTTCTCCAGGACTCATCCCTGGTTTCCGATCATTGCCAAACATAGCATTCTACGGGCATTCCATCTATACGGCAACGGGCCCCTCCTCATGGGTAAATCATCCCCCGGTTCGGGAGACCATGCAGCGCTGTGGGCGATATTGAGTTATACCACGGCCCAAGGTCCATCCGACTCGTCCGAAAATGGGTCTGGCATCCAAGACGGGAGCGGTGGCGCTTTGGCTCAGGCAAAGGAGTTCTACGCAATTGCTCGAGGCTTGATCCCATCCGAGAAAGAACGGTTCGACCTGGGACATATCCAGGCCCTGCTGCTGCTCACCCTGGTCAACGTGGGCCTGGAGGATTGGACGGCAGCGTGGCTGCTGAGTGGGCAGAGTGCGCGTATGGTGGAAGCCATGGACCTTGGCAAGCTCACCGACACGCGGCGTTCGGACGAGTTGCAGCAGCAGAAAGCAGTTTTCTTGGGATGCTTCATCGTCGACGCGCTCCTTTCTGTCCGGCTGTCTCGGTTCCCGTGTATGCGGGCGGAAAGTCTGGCGCTGGTCGGACGGCTGGAAGAAGACGGCCTGGAGGAATGGAATCCATGGATGGATGTTCTCCCTGCGAACCTGTCTCCGCAGGGGAGCAATCCTCCGCACCGGGGCCCTCTGCTGGCCCTGAGTTGCTTCAATCGCCTGGTCGAGCTGGCAGGAGTTCTCAATAAGATCGGCCGGGACTTCTCGCAGGCGGCCAATGCGCATGTTTTTGCGCAGCAGATCCTGGTCGACCTTAGGCCATGGGATGACCGCCTCCCTCCGGGCTGCCGTCTGATCGGTCCGGAGAGTCATCACTACCCCGACCGGCATCCGGCCTTGCTCCCTCATCAGACCTATCTTTATCTTACATATGCGGCAACCTTATTATTCCTCTATACGCGGCAGCTGGGTCAGGAGCAGACCCTGCACGGCGCCCCCCGGACGGCGTTGGATGGCACCAAGAAGATTCTCTTTCGCACGCTGGCCGTGCTGTCGCAGCATGTGGAGAATTTCCGTGCGTGCGGGATTCCTCCGCTGTTCGAGTTTGCTCTGCGGTCGATTTTCGAGTCGGTCTCCACGGCGCGGCAAAGACTAGAATCGGACGGCTTTTCGGTGGCCCAGTGGGTGGGAATGTTTTCCCGGAAGCTCACCGAGTTTGGGTCTAGCTGGCCTGTCTTTGGTTCCTTGACCGCGGCCGTTGAGAATAGTGTCTTTACGTCTGCAGCATCCTCATTCCTGCACCAAATCCCACGCAAGAGCTCGGTCTCCGCAGCGAGTTCGAGTCTGACAGGGGGGACCTACACGCCGAAACCAATGACCTTTGCCGCAGATCGCGCGGGGAGGAATACAACGGATGCTCAGGTAAGTTGGCGGTCTGATCCTGTGTCTGTCAATGACATGGAGCCTAATTATGCTTCCAAGGTTCGTGGTCTTCCGATCCCAGCTGATGGCTTTTACGCGACGCCCCAAGCGTCGGCCGAAGCAAGCGGTCTGTCGAATAGGGGCAATTCGGAGCGGTCCGCCGGGACGTCAACGATTCTGCTGGATAAGCTTTTGTCAAGCAAAGGATCTGCCGACTCTAATATAGTGATGCAGCAGCAGCAGCAGCAACAACATCGTCATCAACCACAAACACCCGAATCAGCAATGTCGAGTGCGATGCTGCAATCGGGCGCCTCGAATTCTGCAGAGCGATTTACCAATCATGCAGGCGAGAATCTGCAGCTGAATGTTGGACGAAACTACGTGCCTGATGCGTCGCCGTCTTCTTCCAATGACATCGACTCCATTTTCAAGGAGCTGGCATATTTGGACACGTACGAATGGACGAACACCCGGGAAGAGGGGTTGCGCGAGTTTGGCTTTATCGACGATAATACGTTCCAGGCGTTTTGCCACGATCCGGATCGCCTGATGGGATCGCAGCCGCTGGTGCCTCCAACGACGTCGATTGCGGATATCTGGCCGCCGCCGGGGTTTTTCCCGGAGACATTCCAGACGAAGGAGAGTGCGGCTGATTAGGCCTTAACTCCGCTGAGGCTCAGCGTTTATAGCGGGGACCATTTCGGAGCCATATAATTTATAAGTTAGTGGATAGACATGTAATGACAGGTGTCGATGGACACTATACGTGCAGCTGATGTATACGTTAGGGATATGTAATGTAATGTTAGTGTTCTATACGTATACGTGTACGTATGTATAGCTACGACGGCCAACCTTGTGTCGGGAAGATATGAACAGCCTGTCCAGTCAGGTAATCAAATAAAATAAAACAATCCGAAATTCAACCGAAAACAAATAAGCAAAACAGTTACTCTAAAATATCCATCCCCCTACCAACGCAACTTGGACGCTTAAGAATGCCCTATAATGGAGGAGATGGAGCAATCCAGTACAGCACTTGGCCATGAAATCGTACATACATACATGTATGTATACATTACTGCTACCAATTGATTCTTTTGTTTTCTAACCAGGCGAGTAGTAAGTATGCAGTATGTGAATAGTTCATCCATCCATTATTCATTCATCTATGTATTCATTAATTAATCCCGCCGAGGACTTTAGAGCAGACGGACAATTCATGTCCTCAGAATGATATATATATGACCGGCGACGCTACTTGAGGAGATGGATGCACTGCGACAAGAAGGAAGGAAGGAAGGAAGGAAGGAAGACATTGCTCAGCAGACATATACATGTATACATAGGTAAGATATGTTATGTTACGCGTGCCTTACCTATCAAAGAGCTAGCTATTTCTACATATCTACCTGTGTATGTACCTACTTTATGAGGTAGTTTAGTACCTAGTCATACAGAAAGCAAAAGACGATCAGGATCAGATCAGATCCATCAGGTCGAAAGCCGATTGAAGAAGAGCAGTGGCCTATGATGGTAGGTAGGCTTGCTCAAGGACTTTGAGAAAACAACTTATGATGAAATAGATTATGACAAATTGAGTAAATTACTGTTTTGTTTAATTTAATTTAAGGATGAGAAGAAACTATGGCTTTTAATCAATTTCATATAATGTCCCTATCTATACTATAATCCTATTATAATGAGTCAAGAATATTTATTTATTAAAAAGTTAAAAAAATTTCCAGGTGGACGTCGACCGAGATGACTGGTATTTCTCTGTATATGTATATATATCGGTTGATTATATCTGGAATGATATCTCTGCAATAGGTAGGTAATCACTCAGTATGTATGTACTGTACGGAGTAAGTAGAAGTAGATTTGTAAGAGTTGCTAGGTCATGTATGCATGTACTGTACTTACTGTACATACTTTCGTTGCTTGCAATAATCGTACGTACAGTACGTTATTCGTGGCTATTTTGGTTTATTTAGCTGCTGCTGCTATTTTTATTTATTTTATATTTATATTCGGGGAAACGTTTCTATGTAAATTCAACGACTTCTCTTGTCCCGGAGCACATCAAATTCCGACTGAAGAATTGGCGTAAAAGCCCGGGGAAAGTCGCTCGTTCTTGGATTTTCTTTTTCTTTTTCTTTTTTTTAAAGTTATTATTTAATTAATCTCACAATATTCCGATTCATTCATTCATTCATCCATCCATTCATTCATTATCAAACTGATTGCATAATTATCTATCTCCTCGGGAGGAGCCTTCAGCCTTCGAGGGGTTGATTTCTCTGATCTGATCAGGCTAGGCTAAAATTAAATGACCGACTTAACTACCTAACTACCTACCTACCTACCTGGTCTTAATTGATTAAAAGCAGGACATTAAGCAAGACCTTGTGAGTAATGACGGCAGGTGGGGTAGGATTGCATCATTGGATCATGGAGACTGGATTTGTCTTTCAAATTGATCGATGATCAGATTGGGATTGGTGAAAATCCCCCGTTTCCTCTCAATGGAATGAATATGAATGATTTGTCTGGAAGGAGTGGGTGCTTGTCTGATCTGGAACTGTCGCTCATTTCCTGTTTTTTTTTGTCTTGCTGTTCTGTTTGCGTTTTCTATTCATCTAAAGATGTACTAAGATGTAGTATGATTGTCATGAGTTTATTTATTTATCATTTAGCTGGGTAATTGCTGCATACTGGCCCTTTATTTTTATTTTTTTGTTTTACTTGTATTGAGGATAGTCAACTTTATCCATAATGGCGAGCATATACTCCAGCTTTAGCATTTATATTAGATAGAGTAATGCCTTTTATTTTTTATTTTTTTGTTTCATGGAATGAAAGTCCGATGTTGCACCTACGTAACTTTCATAATAAGCTGAAATCGAGGATTTATTCCAGCACTTCCATTGGTCTGAAATTTAAATGCTCCTTTCTTTCACAAGATGATCTATCAGAAGTGTAATAAGAGAAACAATCACAAATAATTTGGTATGTGGAGCATCCTCTTCTTCCTCCTCTCCTCTTCTGGTGGGATATTCCAGGTGGGTCTCATAGAAACTGACTTAAGTATAGAATTTCATTATTTATGCCGAGTCAGACTCTAGGGAGTGCAGATCATGGATGACGCCATGTGTAGTGGGGGAGATCCCAATGTGGGCATTAATAACACTGCAGCTCCTATTTTGTCTGCTGTTGGATCCAAAGTCAAGGTTATTATTTTGATGGACGATCCTTGCTATATGCCTGGTGTACTGTATATGTGGGCATGTCGAATGCGTCTGGCCGTGCTGTCTCTAGTAGTACTGATGCTGACTGTAATAATGTAGTTTGACCCTGTCTTAGTGGCCAGATCTGCACTGTATATGCTAGTATCATTCAGTTGTACTGTGATGTGGCAGTCCATCAAGACATGGCCAGGCTGCACTCAACTTGTCAATATCCATCTTTCTGTGTGATGAGGGTAGGTAGTGTCTATTAAAGGTTCTTATGTAAAATAAATACGGAGTACCTGCCTAGTAACCTTAATCTAGGACTGACTCCCTTGTTTAGAGTAGTATTGCATGTTGCTACCTCGGGCCATAATAATATGATTGAGATGCAATATCTGCATGGTTTATAAATAACTAGCTTGCCGTAGATGTACAAGGTATCGACTGGACAGCCTTGATAATGTACTGTACTGTACATCATCCCATTTGCCTAGGTAGGTGAGAAGTTAGGTACTTACTGACCTGTAGTACGCTGAAGGCTGAGAAATTACCGCGTAGGTATGTATGTATAGTATTGTAGAATATTCCGATATCCATTTCAACGATTGGTCCATCTCCAACCTAAATCTCCCCCTAAACGATCGGACAATCGATCTTCATCCGATCCGACTGTCCCATGGGGTATCCCGTGGGGGCCAAGAAAAATCGGGGGAACTCCGTCGTCGTTGACTCGTTGCTAATGGATCAATACGAAAATACTCGATAGTAGTCACTGGGGGCTGGCTGGGGATGGACGTCCAGATCGGGAAATTAACCAGTCGATCAGTGGCCATGCTGTCCCGCCGCGGAATTGATGCCGGCAAACATCTCGGTTTGAGACTTGCTCGATATACCTTTCTCAGAAAGATTGAGAGGATGTCCGGGTAAGTTCATGTACTGTACGCTTCCACCTGGCAGACAAGATTCGATGGATTGCACAGTAGGAGGTTAGTGTAAGAAAATGTGGATTTCATGACAAAACGAGACAAAATAGAGAAAATAGCTCAGAATGCAATGTATCCTTGCCTGTATTTAATGTATATGGGTGGTATGAATGTAACCTAGCGGTTTATCACATCTAAAAAAAGGAATAATAGAAGACAATAGCCTGGCGAAGTATATATAGATATGTCCGTTTTACGCTTATGCCAAATATTAGTCCTGTATGGCCGACCTATATATTAATAGCAATGTTTGCTCGTTTCCTCTCTCTCTGAGGCAGTAACCTGACTGCGTCCTCGGAGGAAGTAGTAAACTCCTTAGTACTCCTAGTAGCAGTCGGTATTCCGGTTCTGGACTAAGTCAACATGTGCAACAACTCTTCATGGTCATCCCATCCACAGATAGTATGAAAAGAGAAATGATTGATACTCATAGCTGTATATATTGTAGCACCCCTTATCTATCATTACACCACAGTGGCTTGCTCCAGTCACTCGGGTAGACGTCCTGAGGTATAACTAGGGCCTCTTCTGGTTATATAAAGGAGGATGATGTGTATTGCTGCTCTTGAAGAGAATGCCAAGGATGACCTTTTTTTTTGGTGGATGGATTTTCTTTGTAAACTCTACCAGCACATCATATGGTGTAGTAACTTTGTCTGAGACTGGGAAACTATTACTATATCTCCCCAGTTGACGTGGGTGAAATTTACCTGGCTGATTAAGATTCCTTTCCCGTCATGAATCTCAACTGGTTTATCCTGCGTCCATGAATGTTCGTAGACCTTGGATCACGCATGTCCCCGGTGGTCCAGTGGAGCGGTCTTTGTTGTCTTGGGTCCAAGGGCTGTCTTCTCTGATGTCTGACTTACTAGAGGCAGCTACAAAATGGACCTTTTTCACTCTACCTTCACTTGGAAGACGGCTGATGGGTGCTAGTTTTTGCGGTAGAGATTGACACGAGGCATTCTTGTTGTCTGTCTTAAATAGGTAGTGTACAATTCAGAAGTACCTCCTATATAGCACAACATACTAGTGAAGGCCAATCCTCAACCCAGACCTATATAGCAGCCTATTAAAGGCCGCAAAAAGTCTCAAGGAATCTAAGGATCAACCGCCCATGGATCTGGGCTAACCAGCACATAGTCAATCACTTGGATGGGAGAATCAGGCAGCAGTTCCCTGATCAGACTCTCTATTTGGCTGATTTAACCGGGTATTTTATCTTAGGAGGTCTGTTGTAGTATACATCAGTATAACGATGATGCTTTGGGGGTTGTTTCTGGATGAACCATCCTCTGTATCATTTGTCAGATGGCATCAGGGTCCCCCAGCTGTGTGTGGCATCTGGTCAAATGTGCAGCGACTATTTAACATGCCCAAAAATCCCTAGTGAATTGATCTTGATCGGATATCTAATTACTGTTGGTGCTCTGTATGGTAACGCTCTGAACGTCCCGAAATGGGATATCCAGAACTCTTGCTTGGACATGATGATATTAGATGTGCAGCCGTAGAGGTTGACATGACCGGACTTTGGACAATAATTTATCAGCAGGAAAGACAATACTGCTGGTACGCCTGCTATGTACTGTACGTTGTTTGGCAGGGTGAAACTTCCATGAGGAACAATATCTAGGTAGCTTGTCAGAGCTCCCTAAATAGCAATTGTAGCACATTACGGAGTATTGTTATTGTCATAATCTGGAGGTCCCGGCAATCTACATTTAGTAAGATTTTCAGGATTATGAGATTTATTTCTAATTAAAGAGGGAAAGCTTTATTTCTTTATCCCTGAAGAATCTAAGGGAGGTACATCATCGTGAAAAGGCAATATATCAATTAATTGTTGGGTCTAGGCCGTCAAGACCGGAAGAGTATTTTTTTTCTTTTGAACAACCATTATAAGACAAAGGAGAACCAGGAGGAGGGGTAAGCAGGTTGGAATTTATACTTAGCACAATAATTTGCAGAACAGTTAAATGCAGAACAGACGAGCAACTAACTGCTGCTACATACAAGCCTTGTTGGTGGGTTACTGCAGGTCGTTTTGCAAATTAACAGTTAAATAAAGCAGGTGTATGTACAGTACAGTACAAGGGCTGGTCGATGAGATCAACGACGCTGGAGCTCTGTCTCTTGGATATGGATGAACTTTTAGTCGTGGGAGAACGGTCGTGGTCAAGCCTAGTGTCTCTTTGGAGGTATTTGGAGTTGATTTATAGTCGATCTGTCTGTATTGGATTACTGCTGTTACAGGGATTGCTCTAGCTGAGAGAATACACCTGTGATTGTATATCCTTGAGCTTGGCACTAATGCTCTTTATAGCAGCTGGACCTTACTTTCTGTACTATGGATAGCCCCTCAATGGTTGACCTAATTGTTCTAACGTTGTTTGCCATATAGTACACCGTATCAAGAATCGAACCCAGTAAATTGTAGCACCTTCTACTGCTGCAAGGTTGCCACCGGATCCAGGACATCCTACCCAAGGCTGGCTATGATCTTGGCTGCTGTGGGATGGTACCTTGGATGGCATGCAGAGCAGCAGTGGCTTCAGGCAGCTGAGGGTGGTCTGCCCACGATTTGATTACGGGGAGAATGCACACTACCTGGGCTGAGAAGGAACTGGTGCTCGCCAATACTCCAGTGCCTGTTGGATTGATGGTTGTGGTCACGGCAGAGGCCGAAGGCATGGGGTTTGCAATGGCGCCCCTGCTAACACCGGCACAAGTCGAGTGGAATGGCCGTAGTCGACTGAGCTGGCACGAGAGCTGAGCTTCCTTGCTCTGTGTTCTGGGCAGTAGCCGTTGACGAGCTGTTCGACTTGAGAGGAGAGAAGAGACCGATTCCACTGCTGGCTAGCTGGGTGAGGATCTGTGGTCGTGTTGTGATGTGCTGATATATTTATATACTTATATGCAAGTTGTTATATTAAAGTCTTTGTTCATATATTCGTAGTTAGTATTCCCCTCCATAGTCAACAAGACCAGCCAGTTCCAGCGCGCTCCGTATATTTACACATGCATTGACTGTATTTGAGGGCAATAAATATACAGGAGTCAGTCAACAGACAGACAATGGCAAGGGAGAATGCAAGGCGTCACTCGTCACTTCGTCCGACCTGACCTGGCGCACCTGAGCGATGGATGCAATCGCGTTTACACTTGCACCAGGCCTGTCTTCCTCCTCCTCCTCTGCATCAGCAAAACNGGGACGATTGTCAGAATGATGCCGGCCACCACCACCGCGGCCTGCACGCCAAACACGACTCCCACCCCGTCGCGCGCGATCCACGACGCCTGGAAGTACGCGACCGAGAAGCCGCCGCAGGTGCGCCACATGTTGATAATGGCGCTGACGGTGGTCGAGTACTGGGGGTATTTCTCCAGCGCGTAAGCGGTGATGGCACTGAAGCAGAACAAACATCAGTTAGCGTTTCGCACGTTACCGTAGGTTAGCTAGGGCTGGGCTATACATACACCGTACTCGCAATCATCCCCAGATTGACCATCACCCATCCGAACGCGAGCCCGATCCAGTGCTGACTGAAATTCAGCGTCAGGCCGTACGTCAACAGCCCGCAGGCCATGCTGCCGATCGGGAACCACACGCCGTGGAGTCGGTATTCGGGTCGCCAGGAGTCGGCGTCGGTGTCGCTGCTGGTGCTGCTGTTGCCGCTGGCATCTTCGCGGTCGTGTCTGCTAGGACGTTTATGGTGGTGGTTGAAGATCCATTCGTTGAATAAGTAGCCGAAGATGTATCCTATGCGACGTGCATGATCAGTTAGGATTGAATCGGAAGTAATGATTGCATAGGTCATACCACACAGAGCGCCAATGACGCCCGCGAAACGCATCGACGATGCCTGCACGGTATTGAACATGTACGGCGGTGCACGGAGGAAGGTGTCGACAGTGGTGCTGATGCCTTTTGTCTGTCAGCAACTGCAGTACACAAAGATACGCAGCTTGGTCAACATAAACGAGCATACCAATAGGCCAGCAAAAGTTGATCATCGTCGCGATGCCTAGAGATTGAATCAGCACTGTTATCACGCCCATTCGTAGCTGGTTTTATGACCAACCTGGAAGCAAGAGCGGAGGCTTGAAGATCAACTCGACCAGCTTCCGGGACTGCACGGCCAAGGTGGCGCCTTTCGGGAGGTGCGTGTTTCCAACGCCAAAGAAAGAGCGGACTCTAGCTCGGAAAGGAGAAGAAGAAGTCGTCGCTCGCTGTCCCTGTCCTCTGGCATAGTAGGTCTCGTGTCCGAACAGAAGGATCAGGAACGTGGAGACGCCGTAGAGGGCGGTCAGGACGCCAAAGGAGATGTCCCACTGGTTTTTGCTGCCGTCCAGGATGTATCCTGCCAGAGCAGGGCCCAGGAAGGGTCCGACGAGGAAGGTCGTGGCCCTATAGAGAAGTTAGAATGAGTTGTGCATGGTCGTGATGGCGAGTAGGTATAATACCAGATATTGATCATCCGGGGCCAGTCTACACCATGTTAGCAGCTTTTCACAGCAAGAAGGGAGGAAAGAGGACTACCTTCTGGGTCGTACATGTCGTGGATGATCGGCAGACCTACGACCTGAGGCACTGTGCCAAAGAGACCCTGCAGAGATCGAAACAGAGTAAACGTGCCCAAGCTGGTGGACAGCGTGGCGCCGAGGACCATGAACATGGTGATGACCTGGGTCCAGAACCAGACGGGGAGTCTTTTTCGACGGTCGGCGTCTCGTCTTCTAGCTGAAAAAGAAAAAAAAAATAAAAGGCTCACTTACCTCCCATACGCCTCGATCAACGGCACCGCGAAGACGCCGCCAAACCCCTGCAGCAGGATGCCGTAGTTCATGCTGGTCGCGGAGTGCGTCACGCTGGTCTTCCAGTCCATCGCCTGGGTGACGATCAGCGTCGCGCCCCATGTCATTGCTCTATGCTACGAGTTAGTCTTCGCAAGAATATACCACAGACCGAGCATGCTACCGCTTACCCGTCCGCGAGAAGGGAGCTTGAGATCAGGGCTGTGAACAACAGCCCTTTCTTGACAGGGCCCCAGTTTCGGGGATCCTGCGTGTCATTCAGATCCCGTTCCTTGAACAGTTGGGCAGGGTCATGTTCTTCCTGCATGGCTGGGACGGGTTGGGTGTTTTCGAAGTTTTTGGTCTCGGAGATCTCGTAGGAAGTCATATCGCGTGAACAGTAATTGAACAGAACAGAACAGAACAGAAAATAATCAGCTTATGTGCTAGAACAACGACATCGAATGAATGCAATATATACAACGAAAAGGGTCTGTTTGTCGACGCTCGAAGCAGTGTCGTGACTTGTTACACAACAGGGCTGGAACTGATATAACCCTGAACAGGAAAAAGAGGGACAAAGAAGAAGACGAGCAACGCAGCAAATCAAGACCAGTAGCAGATGATAACGAGAGAAGTGCTTGCTTGCAGCAGCAGTACAAACTGCCCAGTGATCAGCACTTCTCTGTATTTATGTCCGGGTCAACGACTCAACAGCACGTCAAACCCAAACCACATGGCTCACTGCACGAAAGCCAAAACCCCATGGCTTGATAAGACTTTTTTTTCCCGATGATAGGAGATCCAATCGCGTCGATTAGCCGTGGAGGAAGAGGCTCCGACGGGGAAGTCGGTCGTATTGACGCGGGTGGGAGCAGGATGTATAAAAGTGACAGAGATTAATTATATTCCGCCAGAAGCACTCGTCCTTAGTACGTATGTCATTATGGAGTACTGCATCGTCTGGTTCCCTGAACGGGCTCCACGCATGGAGACCAGACCGGAGAGAAACCTGGTCTGTCCGCCATGACTGGTCCGTGGCCAGGGCGGACCAGAAGAGGGCCACAAAAAATGAGATGAGACGAAAAACGGGCTTGCTGCCTATGCCATTGTCCGTTAGTATCTATCCTCGACTCGGACTGATCTTGCTAGGGCTCGGTAGCTTGACAGCGACGTCGAGTCGGATCCTGAGTCGTCGCTCGCCAGTGGACCGCAGCACCGCCCAGGCTTGTGTCTTGGCACCACGCTTGAACCTGCGTTTGCATTCTCCAAAAAAGAGTCCCGGCATGGCGTGCAAGCGTGGCGAGTGGTGAGTGACGAGTGCCGGCAGGGATGAAGCCGGAGCGTGTTGTGATAGATAACTTTGGCGGTGGAGCCATGATAGCGCTAAGCGCTATGCTTCTAGCCCCTGAATAGCAATCAGAGAGCATCCATGACTCGTAGCTTTCCAAGCGCAGGAATCCCAGATCCAGGGATGCGGCGCGCAACGTATCACATTGTCGTGATCTGCAGCCTCCCCACTCCGCCGAAGCTTCTCCGCACCGCTGGATCCTAGCCAAGCATTGCTAGTTTCCAGTCTAACAATACCTGTCACTGTGGTGTTGTCTGCCGTCAGAATGGCTTCAATGGCGGATGTGATGGACGGCTTAGCTCCATGCCCTAAACATGCCCTAAGCATATACGGATGACAGACGACCGCTGCGCCTGGCCAGATTAGGAACACAACAGCGTCGTCTGCAAGACACTATTTTTGGCTCGACCCAGTGGGCAGATCTATCCCTTGCGTCCTGCGTATCGCTTCAAACTGCCCGTGATTGACAACCGCATGGTTGCCCGATATATCCGATTCCCCAGCATTTCTGACGAAGTTTAAAGGACCGCTATGGACAGCCAGGACAGGCCTTCTCGTGGTGACACCAACTGCCAAAATGCGTGCACCACCTCCAGGAATTACGCTTGCCGCCACAGTCACCTCGGTAGGCAAGACTTCTCGAGCCATCAGGTTCGTGGCTGACGACCTGTAGCCAGCAGCCCTGGGCTTCGTGCCCGTGGCCATTTATTTTGATCTCTTAGCGACTCTCGTGCGGATTGGCAAGCCGGCGACGTCGGAGCAGATCACGAACGCGTGCAACGAGAGGCGCAGTGAGGAGGAGAAGCAAAAGGCACCGCTATGTAAGTGCCGTCGGACTTGAGGACATGTATCTCCGATGACTGATTCATTTCTAGGTCCTCAATTAACCCGTATGATGTACCGTATGAGTTAGATGTGTGCTTTTACTGACTGAAAAGACGACACGCTCTACGCCATGGCCGGCTTGGGCTTCGTCGAGCTCGTGGAAGACGACGTGTACGAGGCCAACAACATCACACGCCACATGGTCAATATGCCATCTGCGCAACACGGAGCGCTTCACTTGTGCGGCCCACCGTGACCGAGATGATCAGATAGATCTCCGGCTGACTGATCGCTAGTACCACGGAGCCTCTGCTGGCAGGGGCGTTTCTGATGCGCAAGCTGGTGGCGACCAACTTTGAGTACCCCTTCCGAGATGTAGACACCCCCACGCAGTACGCCTACAAACTCATGGGCGAGCAGGAGCTCGCCAAGGAGCACACCTACTCGATCATGGCCCGGCAGGGCCGCATGGACAGCTTCAACCGGTTCATGGAAGGCAAGTTTGGCAAATTCGGCCGCATGCCGGAGCGCGTCAAATCCTTTGGCTACGACCTGGACGCCGCCATCTCGGGGACGGAGAGCCCGGTCGTCATGGTCGACATCGGCGGCGGTCGCGGCGAGATGCTCCTGGAGCTCAAGGAAGCCTACCCGCACCTGCAGCCGGCGAATCTGGTGCTGCAGGAGTTCAACCCGGACATCGGCAGCGTGCCGCAGGTCACCCAGATGGAGTGGAACTTCAAGGACGGCAGCCCGCAGCCGGTGCAGGGGGCGCTGAACTACTCGCTCACGCACATCTTTCACAACCTGCCCGACCTGGACGCGCTGGAGCTGATGCAGAAGATCTCGCGGGCCATGGCGCCGTATTCGCGGTTACTGATTCAGGAATTCACCAAGAACAAGAACTACGGCAAGATGCATGCGACCATGATCACGCTGTACGGGGGGAGACTGCGCAGCAGCGCCGAATGGAAGCGTCTGGCGGCGCTGTGCGGGTTGAAGGTCACTTTTGAGGCCTATCCTGAGGCGGGCGAGGGGTTGATCGAGATGAGGAAGCTGTAGACGTCGAGTTGGACAGGGACTCTCCCATAGATAGGAATAGATAGGAACATGTAGCTAGCTGATAAGAATGCGAATCTTGTGATAACATTTCAGACGAGGTTCCGGGAGAAAGCATGGTGCACATGACAGCTGTCTGGTATTCGTTCTCCCCATCAATCCGATTGGTAGTAGGATTTATGCACAACGAAGAACAGCAGCAAGAATGCCGATAATCCAGGTCTGACAAATCGCGAATTGTGACACGTCCAGCTGGATCGTCGGCGGACGTCGATCTGCAAGGATCGCCCCACCGGACCAATAGTCGGCGCTTACTGTGGCTTGGCGGGGTTCCGCGCCAATCGGAATCCGGGATTGCTGTCGACTCCGCTGGGAGGGAACGATCCGCCGCGCATCCCTTGCGTTGGGAGCTGCTTGCAGACGTCGAGTGGACACAAAGGAAATATAAATATGAATTATCGAACTTTAACAGCGATGCACAGAGCCTAATCAGGATTATGCTCTCGATGGTCCATTCTTTTGGCTGGCGATCGACGATCGATCATCATCTTCTCCACATTCATCACTCCAGACGCCCTTGCTTCGAATGACGTCCCTTGCTGCAGCCACCCAGTCGGCGCATACCGAGTCGCATTTTGGTTCTGGATATGGAATGATCCTCGCAGAGTATGTCTCGCTTGGCGTCGACTGTGCCTGTCACGTCAGCCGAAAGAGCTTCCAATCCAGCCATGAATGAACACGCGAAACCCCGCTCGCGCCATGCGAATAATCATGGTGCGGAATGCCCCTTCCCCGCGCGCTGGTTCTTCACCTGCGTTGACCATATCAGGCGTGTCAGATGGAGATCTCTCTCATATCGAGTTTCTCTGTCGAATCAGCCTGGACGGAGACCTCGGCTGACGCAAAAGGCCATCTGAGCCATCGATACTGTTAACAGATCGATAGTGGCTGACAAGTAACTTTTTGTCTCTTCTGCAGCCAATTACATGGGCCTTTGATCTAATCAGAGCTGGTTATCATCAATCCTATCCTATCCCCCGCTGTGAGCCAAACATCAAGCGTATGTCCATGCGACATCCCGCACCTTGTTCCTGGATCCTTAAGGTTTACTCCTAGAAGAAGGCGTCGGCCATGTCGATATTATTCATGCAGCATTTGTAAACCATCACAAACCCTGTTTCTCCGAGTCTGTTGGCTCAATTCTTGGGCTCAATGCTTGAGGGGCTGGCTCTGCAGGCCATGAAATAAGACCGCCATCCTTTCCCTCTCAGATCAACAGATCTGTCTCCGGAGCAGCCGCAATTGACGACAACTTCTTGCTATCAATATGGACATCCCACAGCCAGATGAAGGCGATGTCAACATCGGTGAGCTGCTTCCGCTATCGAAGACGGAGCGTATCCATTCATTGTGCTGACCTTGATAGGAACCGACACCTTTCGCGCCTGTTGGGTATGCACCGTGGATCCAGCTTCTTGATCACTTCTAACGTGCTCACTAGGCCTTGACTGGTGTCGTCGGCCTTGTTCTGATCTTCAGATTGGGTATGAAGGCATGGGTGCGCTGGTCACTGCCCCAGGTGTCTGCCCCGGAGCGAGTATGGGGCTTGGAAGATTTCATATTCCTCTTTGCCTATTCGGTTGATATCGCTCATATGACGCTCATCGAGCTCAGGTACGCAACCACAAACGGGTGGCTATACATTCGACGCTGATATCGCTTTCCAGTTATCACTGGGGACTCGGCCGACATTTCTACTACCTGAGCCCCGAGGAGAGGGTCCAGGCTCTACGATACGACTATGCTTCACAGCCTGCTGGTATGTCCAACCAGGTGGAGTTGGCATGGGAATCGGCACTAAGACAATGAATCCAGCCGTTGCTGCGGCCATGATTTCTCGAACCGGAATGATGTGGTTCCTTTATCAATGCTTTGCCAACAGCAACTGGAGGTTGCGAATGAGCATTGTCGTCTGCATGATCATTCAGATTGTCGTCAATTCCGTGACCATTGTACAGATCGTGGTGCAGTGTGGACCGTACCCTTACCGTCCGGTAATTGCCAACCAGGTACTACGACTTGGAGGTTTTTCTCTGACACATCCTTTACAGGCTGATCGCACTAAATACTTCCACTACATGTGGGATCCTCTTCCTGCCGATGGATCCGTCAGGTGTCAAAGTCCTTCTGTACAGACGACTGTCGGATTTGTGCAAGGAGGTAAGTTATATGCCTTGTCGATACTTGGTCATCCACTCATGCAGGCAGGGTTCAACACGGTGATCGATCTTTCGTTGGCGGGCCTCGCCACTTTTGAACTATGGCAGTTCTTTATCCAAACGCTTCAACGGAACCCCGGGGTGTCTGTTTGGACGCAGTTTCGCAAGATCAACAGCAGCGTGCGGTCCCGTCGGATATGGCAGACGATAACCCTGGGCGGGCCCTTGGTTCTGTCGGGAGTTGCCTCGATCGTAAAGACCTATGTATGTGCTGCGGTCTGGATGCGAGTCGATCAACATCAACTAACCCTGCTTAGCTTCTGAAGTCTCTGGGAGACAGATCAGATTTTACCTGTGAGTGAACACCCAATGTTCCGGCAGAGTATATTAATGCTGACGCAACCCAGACAACATTGTCTCGTTCATCCTTTGGGTCAAGTGTGTTGGTGGAATTTATTTGAATTCGGCGTCTGCTAATCTTTTGTAGGATTGAGAACTACAGCATTCTCATTGCAACCTGTGCGCCGGTCATCCGCCTTTTTATGCGGGCTTTTGTCCATCAGCGTCGTGAAGGCCGGTATCCCGGATATCCGTGGTCGCGCTCCCACTCCAGCAACACCCAAGGGCATGAGATGAAACGTCGACAGTCATCTGCAACGTCAGGAATGGAACAGAAAGTCCCAAGTGACGCGCTGTTGACTTCTCTTTCGGGCGGCAGCCACGGCCACAAGAATGAGCACAAAGGAAGCAATTGGGGTCAATGTTCCAGCTGCTCGAATGTTCCACCACCGCCACCGCCAGCGCTGCCTCCTACTGGCAGCGGCCATGTGACTGTCCAGACGGATATTGTCGTCGAGGTCGGCGAGCCGGGTCCTTCAACTGTCGAGGACGATACGGATGGCAGTGTCCATGGCGCATTGTCGATCGGCGAAAGAGGCCGGGTGGAGCGGCATGCGGGAGCTTTTGCATGGATGGGGAAGAATGATACCCATGATTTTGTATGAGTAGTTACTTTTACTGGTCATGGTTGGATTTTTGTGTCAGTAATCGTTATGACGTGATGACTCAAGAAACGTTGATACATATATGGGTAGGGAAAGTTACGTGAAATATGTCATGAAGCGAAAAAAGCCGATAGGAATGACTTGGTTCTCCAGTAATTGGCCTAACATAGTAGAATTTTGCGTCTGCGTTCATTGTCTGCTATCCAATGTTCTCTGCATGAACTCACTTGGGGTTGATCCCCCTGGCTGATCCCCCACATCCGATGCTGCAGACGATAAACGAAATTGCCTGATTAGGTTTATACCTACGTACGATGCATAGTAAATACCAGATAGAAAAAAACATTGATATCGGCTGTAGACCATTTATTAATCATATACATCAGATTGAATGGATCCATTCTTTTGGTTAAGTATCTGTCATATGCTATTCGCAGGCATGTTGCAGGCTTTGATCAATCGCCTTCGGATCTCTCCCAGCTCAGTTCAATTCAATATTTCAATTCCACCAGCCAAACTGACTGACACCAGATTCCAATTCAGCCCCACTGAATATCCTGCGGGGCAGGAGTGGGATTGAATTATGCATGTATGTACATACTGTCACCGCTAAAGCAGCTAGCTAGCTGAGCTGAGCTGGTTTGGTTTCGGATCGATGCTTGCTCCTCGTCTTATCGGATGCTGCACGCCGGCTTGCATTGTGCCATGCAACGCTCCTCAATGCTCTGCAGTCTTACAGACTGTCTTCTCATGCGTTATCACTGTTTTAAACATTGGTGGGGCTGTTGAGACCCCACGGTCAGGACTCAGCAGGTTACATTACACGTGGTCGATTGACGAGAATCGAGAAAAATGCGTTGTATGTATGTGCGTTATGTATACAGTGCACCTACTGTATCTCTGGCTTTTGCAATGAAAGCGATCAGTTATGGCGATTTTATCTGTTGTACGTTTTCAGGTCGATATCCCCAGACAGCTTGCTGAAAGGACATAAAGTCTAGATTGAAGTCCAGATGAAGACTTCCACTCGCGACTCGTGGGGCTTTTCTTTTCTGAACCTGGTGCTTGACACGTGGGAAGCGTTGATCCTGTTCAGCAGATCAAACAGTCGATCAGACGTAGATCTCCTGACCCCACGGGGCTCCAGGTCGATGTGATTGCTGGGGCGAGGTCTATATCTGCTTCACCATTGCAGCAATCTCGGCAGCCTCAGTTGTGAAGAATTACTTGTACCGTACAACAATGGCATCACCTGCGCAGCGCAAAGACGAGATCTTGATCATGGGCGGCGGCCCATCCGGCTTGCTGTTCGCCCACGAGCTCCTTCGCCGTCGCGTCCCTGTCCGGGTTATCGAGAAACGCCAGCCGCGCGATGACGATTCATGCCCGTTCGATGGAGATGTTCGACCACATGGGGCTGGCCAACCGGCTCGAGGAGATTTGTCTCGAGTGTCCTGGCGATATCTATTACTTTCCGCATCTGCCGGAGGAGCAATGTCCGCGGACGGATTACTGGTATGATGTCCTAGAAATTGAATTCGTGTTCTCCTGCTAATACTGCCCAGAGTCCTCCCCACAAGATCAGCCAGAACGATTTCGAGCAGGCCCTGTGTGAGCTCATCTTCTCCAAGTACTCGACCGGCCCCGAGTATCGGACGGAGCTGGAGGCGTTGGAGCAGGACGACCAAGGCGTCACGGCCTCCATCCGGCTCCCTGACGGCGCAGTCGAGAAGAGTGTCTATCCGTGGGTGGTTGGTTGTGATGGCGTCCACAGCTTTGTTCGCAAGGCAGCTGGAATCAAGTTTGACGGAGGCAAGGTTGCCGTGATGAGTGCGTCGCTCTGCCATAGTAGACTAGTTTTGCCTAGCTTAGACTAATAATGTCAGGCATGATGGATGTCCCATTGACGTGAGTGAATTTCTACCCCGAAGCCAGCGAGTTTTCTGACAGACCAGAAACGTCACCTTTGACGACATGGATGAACTACTATTTCAACAAGGACCTCTTCATGAACTGCACCAAGATGCCCGGCAAGTACTGGCGCATCTACATGAGCGAGCCCACCGGCGAATACTTCTTTGCCCCGGACCAGCAAAAGGCCTACCAGGAGGTGGCCGACAAGCTGGGGATTGGCTTCAAGGTCGGCAAGCCGCACTGGCAGACGGCGTGGGATGTGCGCAACAATATCGCGGAGAAGTACCGGAATAGTCGGTTGATTATTTGTGGGGATGCGTCGCATGTAGCTCTCCTTTCCTTTCCTTTTGTTTTTTTTCTTAAAACCCTTTTTGACCATCCTGACATGGCAGGTCCACTCCCCATCTGGCGGCCAGGACATGAACGGCTGCATGCAGGATGCCTTCAACCTGGGCTGGAAGCTCGCAGCCGTATTCAAAGGCCAGGCGAACGACTCGATTCTGGACAGCTACGAGAAGGAACGAAAACCGATCGGCAGCCAGATCAGCAAGGGGGCCATGGCCACACACGAGATCGTTATGGGCTTCGGCATTCCGCCTGAAGAGCGGCTGCATCTCACCCAGGAGTCAGACTGGGAATGGCGGACGATCAACCTCGTCAGCGGCCTGTCCCATAACTATCGGGACGTGGTCAATGTGCCCGTTGGGCTGACGCCGGTGCCGGGTCCTCAGGCGGGCGAACGAGCCCCCCGATGCGCGTCTCCTCGTCGAGCCGAAACGGCGTCTGTATGACGTCTTCCGACGGCCGCAGTTCACCTTGCTGGTAGCCCCGGGGACGACAGCACCAGACGAGGTGATTGATATCGGCGCCCAAGTCCGCGACCAGCTGGACCAGCTGTTCCCAGGCCAAGTGTCGACGTACCTCGTCTCGAAGCGGGCCGATCACGATCACGATCCCCGATTCGACTTTGATCACCAGTCGCAAGACGAGCTGGACGAGTTCACGAAGCGGTACGAGATCGGGCCAGAGGGGCGCCTTATCCTGGTACGGCCGGATCTGTATATCGGCATGGCCTGTCTGCCGAGAGAGTGGGAGGCGGTTGCAAAGTATCTGTCGCAGTGGTTTGTGCGGAGGGACGTAAATGGGCAGGCTGAGGTTGCATGATGGATTGATTGTTTGTATTTGGTTTAGTTGTATATAGCTGTAGACGACTTATTGAGTAAATACCACCTCATCGAGTAAATAATATGATGGGCTTGTTGTGAGATCTTTGGAACAGCTTGATTTCACCGGCCGAAACTAAGAAAGATGCCTGTGAAGGTAGTGAGACCTAACTCCAATATCTCCCCTCTGTTAACAGGCAAGCAAGCAATCTGAAGCTTTTCATATTTCCTAATTAGGCAATTTTCTATTGTACTGTACAGAATATTCCTACAAAGATAGCTAGCTGCCTTTCCTAGTTAAGGCTGTCATCTCTGCTTTCCACGTTTTGAATTGATTTTGTGTTCTATTCTACCAATTATATATATGAGGTCTCAAAATGGGTGTAATTGCGAAATCTTTATCGTCAGAAAAGGTGTGTAATATTATTGTTGGCATCGCCAGAAGAGGAGCTGTATTAATATCCAAGGGGATGTTCCATATGGAATAAAAAAATCGGCATTGCCTTTAGTAGTTTCTACAGCCATTTTCGATTGCTGTTTTTAGCTTCGTACATCTCGTCCGCATATTCTGGCAGATCCAGTTTCTCCACAAGTTTTGTTTGCATCTAGCTGTTTGACCAGCCACATGCCAATTTTCATCACATCTTCTTTCTCCCATAAGCTATATTTTGTCCAGCTGGCGCCGCTGCCGATGCTGGAAAAAAAAGGTCGAAAACGGCACAGTTAATGTATGACATCGCCTGAGCATAGTCGCTGCATTTGCCAGCCAGTCAGCCGGCGTGCTTTGTCCAGTTTTAAGCAGTCTTGAACTGGAGGAAGCGAACACCGTTCTGATTGTTACTTACACGCAAAAATACTAGAGATTGCTTCTTCTCCTGCAATGCGGAGTGTTGCAATTGCATCTGGTGTGATACGAAGCTCTTCGTCTCCCGGCCCCATGCAGTTGTGACCTTCTTCCGTGCCTGCTCGCCAGCGCAGCGGGTTTTCTCAACATTGTTGACAGCCTTTTCCATAGTCCCCCAGATCTGCTGGTATGCGTTGGAGCACTTGTAATTTCGAAAATCTGGCCGTGTCTCGAGTGCAAGCTCGTAAAGGTCAACAAGCAAGCAGCTCGTCAAAACCGCTTTGCGCATTCATAACAGCATCTGAGAGCTTAGTTAGATGCTGCTTCATCGAGGATTGTATTGTAGGCCTGGGGGTTCATTTCCGTCGACCGCTAGCGAAGTTGAGAGTGATTTAGTCCAGGTGGAGGAATGGACGAATCTATCTATCAACGCGTCCAAATCTTCCATTTAGAGCGAAGAACTAGTTAGGAACTAGTTAAGGAAGGACTTACTTTTGTTGACACCTTTACAGGCGTCACAAGGGATTGAGTATCCCATCTCCCTAACCACCTCACGCATAGCCACAATGGCGTGCTATCTTCCATGACGTGTATAGTTCACGGATCCTTTGAGCTTCTCAAAACCCTCGAGGCTGATTACTGCGTCAGCTGGGACACCGTCGATTCGATTCAGGTGAGAGTCGAGCGAAATTTGACAATCTCAGGTGCGCGTTACACTGCGGATCTGCGCTTATTTTGACATTTGAAATGATGAAGCCTTTCTGAGGGGTTTGAAGCGCATGTTCGTCTTCAAAAAAGCACCCTGGGCCATAATATGGGGACTTGATGGAAGGTTGTAATGGCTTGATTCTCTCTATCTCGGTGCTGCGGCAGAAACTAGGATGACGGTGTAATTTCATCGTGGTAGTTCCGTGCGCTTTCGACGTGGACCGCGTTGTCGGGCTCTGAGCGGCGGCTTCGGAATGCACGGTGCGCACAGTGCCAGAAAGCGTCAGGATCACATGCTGAGGTGTCTGGACAGGATCCTCAGGAACGCCTGGCAAAGCTGGCGGAGGAGGCCGTGTCAGATGCTGGCCGGCGAGAATAAGAAGGCCATCTAGACCAATATCAAGATTAAACTGTGCTAGCTTAGCAGCTAATAATAGTAGAGAATCCTTTTTATAGAGCTCAATAGCATAGATCAAATCTATGCTACTAATCTCAAAGGACCAGCTGGCCCTGCTGCTGATATATAAAAAGCAATCAAAGATAGCCCAATTAATATAAGCTATTGCCTAGGTGTACTTACTGCACTTAGCAGCAAGGCACCCAGCATGCTTTGTCTAGTTCTGTGCTGTATTAAACTGCAGAAAATGTACGCCATCATCTCCCCAAGCAGCGATCACCTTCTCCTGAGCGTTGCCTTGGTGAGCTTGGCAGCAGTATTATCGAGGATCGCGTTGAGGTGAAGGCAGTTTCTTCTCAGTCCAGCGGCAGAGCTGGTTAAGAGGTCCTGGATAGAGCGGAAAATGTGCCCCAGACCTTAATGGTCCCACTGACACGGGCGCTGGATGGCGATAGGTGCTGGAGGCCGCCTATCAACCAATCTGAATTACATGGGACAAGCTCATGAGAGTCACTGGAAAGGCCGTGGTGTTAGTAAGGCAGGCCATATTCAGGTAAGATGGAATACAGTGGTGAATCGTTTTTGTAGGAAACATGGAGAGGAGAGCATACCCCATGGTGCTGGACATTGGATTCACACCTTTGCAAGATATTTCTTGATACATGTATTTATTCATTCGGGTTCCGCTCACACTGTTTCGTTCTGGATTCTGAATTTGGCCTACACCAAATACTGTGTCTTCGTCCGAAGAGAAGGTCGTTTGCACAAGATGATGTCCCCATACTGTCCAAGGGGATTTTGCACGCGCCTGGTGAGCCAAGAGGATCAGCACGTGGACCAACGACATTCTCCTCTGCTGCCAAGGAAGAAGGGGGGCTTACAATGGTTATCTTGTCATTATACTCCTTCATGAAGGAGTCCGGCGCAAAGTGACGAGCAGAGTAGTCGTGCGCCAACGACAAGAGCCAATTCCACAATGGATTCTGGAAGAGATCTTGGTATGCCTGGATGTATTCACTAGTCCATTCTGCGGGATCCCTAGGTAGTTTTGAGGCCTAGTAGCATGTATCAGTACAAAGAAACAATCCAATGGCAATGGCAACCTGAGAGCCAAAGATCCTCACACTGGTGAAAGCATTCTCGAAATAATAATAATAATAATAAAAAGGCCCACTGCTGCTGCTGCAACATTTATTGCTCATATGACCATGAATGCCGCTCGACAGATGCATTATTCGATCGAACTTTCAAAAGCACTCCAGAGAAACTTCCATTGCCACCACGTCTCGTCCAGATTCGGAGACTCCGATTCCTTGTTAGGGCCAGAGATTGCTAGGGGGAAACATTCGCAGATCATGAACAATCTCCCAAACGTCTTGACGCGACTCGAGCATCTGCGGACCGTAACGGTCGATGCATCATCCGGTACGGTTGTATTTGGATCAGAAATGTCGTTTGCGGGCTATCAAACAGGTCTCGACATTCTGCAGTTTGACGCAGAGGTTCGTCAACAGACCGTAATCTTCCACGCTCCTTTTTTTAATCCTACTCGTTTCACGTCTTCCTCCTGAGGGCCGATATCTATGACCTGGGCCTCCAGTTGAGCCAGCTTAAGTCGATTGCGGTGAATGAAATGCTGTTGGGCGGTCTTCTACCCAACTGACGGCGTCATCAGCATATGGGAGGTTGATGACTGGACAGCTTCAGCAAGGATCTCCTGCTTCTAGACCTTCTTAGCGTGAGCGCGCTCTGCTGCGGCCAGCTTGTGGGCCGCCTCCTGCTTGACAAGCTGCTTCTCCAACCACTCTTTGGACTGCTTCTTGTCAAACCGGGATTTCATAAGATCCCTGATGCAGCTAATAGTCACGCTCGACATTGTCGCTTGACTACTGAAACGGGACTTGCGCGGGAAAGTGATAATTTGCTGCGCAGAAATACAGATATTAATCGAGAGCAATCCGACAGTTCTACACCTGATACCCAGTCCTCAACTCTGGATCCGTCGACCGAGGCGAATTTTCGATTCGTTGAACAGGCCGTATATTGCCGTCGTCTGTAGGTGTTTCTAAAAGCGTTTGAATGCAGCCCGTCGTGTACGAGGCGTCCTCAATACTTGGTTTCTTGCATGATGGCGTAGTGTTCAATTATTAAGAGTTATATTCATGAAGCACCCCGATGAGTCGTCTTCGGAATTCGTGTGTCAATATTGATGCCGCCATTGCCGCCACCGCCGGATCTATCTGGACCGAGTGGTGGCTTTATATAAAGTGAGCAGATGGCGAGGTCATCATTAGCGGTCTTGCCGATCCAAAACGTTACGTCCCTGGACCGTACGACCTTGATACCGCGCATTCCTGCCCATTGACCGCAATATGAAGCAGTCGGAAACCTTCCAAGAATGGTGCCTCGTAGTTCTGCTTCGGATGACTGTTGGAAGGCATGGAATTGCATTTTTTAGGTAGTCACATGTTGTTGAAGTGAATGCTTTCTGGATAGCATGTGACGTCTTTCCAAAGTGCGGTGGTATAACAAGCTGTCAGTGGATTCAGATTCCCAGGTATATATGTATCAGATCTCGCCAACTTCTGAAGAAAAGATGGTCGAGTGAAGAAAAGATGGCCAGCTGAAGAGAAAAAAAATAATGACTGAAGAAAAGATGGTAGAAGAGGATCGCCTTAGGAGGGGAGGGAAGTAACAATGGAAGTAACTCGGGCTAGTAGGTGTTGGTGATAAATCCAGCTTCTCAACAATCTTCGAATCAAGCTGTTTGATGAGCCACATTCCAATTTTTCAATGAAATTTTCCGCCATAAGGCGTACTTTGGATGGTTTGCTTCTGCTCGGTCGACAGTCGAATCAATAAGGCTGTCAAGATCCTCCATTTTTAGAGTCTTCTTCACATAGATACTCCAAGCCGTAAAATTAACGGCTCTCTTGAGTTTCTCAGGCAAAGGTTCCAGACTGATGACTGCGTCTGCAGGCACGCCATCGATTTGTGTCTGAGACGCCATATCGACGGTCTCTGATACGCATTACCCGCATACGAATTCGGGGCAATGAAGTGAAGTAATCGGAGTGTGAGATTTTGACAAAGTAAAGAAAATTTTAGAGCTTGGGTAAAATCAGTGAATATTTGAGGGTCACAACTATCGTGGCGAGTGCTGATAAAGGAGCTCGCTTGGACAGGACTTGTATATGCTATTTTTTTTCATGCGCTGGCTGACTGTTGGGTGACTGTGCTGCAGGTTGAATGTAGACTACCTCGCCTCTGATTCGTGATGAAGTTGCTTCTGCGGTCTCTGAAGCATTTTGTATAGATATCTAGCTGTGCCAACAGCTGCGATGCCGACGCAAATAACTGATAGACAGTCGGTGATTGGATCTTATGGTTATTCATTTTGAGAGGCCAGTACCTGTATACAGTGAATGAAAGTAAGTATCCAATTAAAAACGGTTATGTAGTTTCTACTTACTATTGTGTCCGAGTGTCTTCCATGATATATACCTCCCAGACCACTTGCTGCAGCTCTCGCATGATAAAACATGCATTCTTGTGAATTTAGAGTTGTCGTCCCTCGATGTCGATCGGCTCGTCCAGGAGGGTCCTCTCTGGCTCGTCAGGAGTGTCTATAATCTGGTCTTCGGTCATCCCAAACGCGTTGTCGCCATGCAGCTGGTCTGGATCAAACTCGTCCGGTACGGGGAAAAGAGCTTGACTGTCTGCAGGCCGAGTCGCGGCACTGGGTGGCTGTTTATTACCTCGACCTCCTCGAACGAGACGTGAATACGGTTGTTACCGAAGATCTTGTCAAACCAGTCATTAATTTTTTCCCACTCTTGGATGAACCACTGGTAAGACATGGTCAGCTAGCGGTCATCACAACTTCCTCATAAGGAAGTTAACGCAGGTTTAAGAATCAATGAAAACTCACATAGTCGATGATATGTAGTTCCCTTGTAGACGTTGCCGATGCTGAACTTGATTCGACCGTATGGCATCTCAACAAACCGAGACGCCTCTGCGAAGATGCCCCGGGTCTGAACCACCGGGTGCCATTTATCGTCGGTGCTCGCGCCTCCGATGATCTTCAACAGCTTCTCGAATTCAGCGGAACTCTGCTTGTAGGAGTTGCGTTCTGCATTGGGGAGTTTTTTTTTTCCACGTACCGATGAACAGGCTAAACCGGTACCCGTGCGAATTGGTCTTGTAGATGATGGCCTGGTTCGCACGAAACGCTGTCTGGCTGAGGACGTTCTTAAAGTTATTGCGACTGGGTGCTTGACTCGTCGACTTCCTCTTTTCTCGATGCAGCGATAATAGCATCGTCGACGTAGATGATTGCAAATGACGTGGTGCTGTGTTTAATGATAGGCGACCCCTTACTCCATGAACCGGTCAAAGGTATTGGCTGTGGCAAGGATCCAGATGTGCTGAATGATCAGCTGTCCGAGCTGATGCACAGGTCTGATGACCTGCAGGGCCACATTGATGGAGAAGGGCAGTTCGACCATGACGATGTCGGAACACTCGATGTTCATGTTGAGGCTATTTTAGGTGGCAAATGTCACACTCATGACCTGGGATGGCTGGCTGGCATCGTTGAACTTGGCAGAGAGCTCAGCCGGTTCGATCATGTTCATGCCCGCGCGAAAGCTCAGGAAGCCCTCGACGTGGAATTGTACCATTGGGGACGGAGAAAAGATTATGAGTTTTAGTTTACGTCCGTTTATGCACTGTCGCTGGAGCCATCAATGGAGCTGCTGTCATCGGAGATCACATAACAACAACAGCCATCTCCTACAGGGTGACCTCCAAAACGCGCAATGTCCTCCTCGAGATCCTCGATTTTCTTTTCGATTTCATCCTTATTAGGATGGACGTTGTACCCACGATATCTAACTGTCGCTTTGACATTCTCAGATTCAAATTCTTTATCAGAAGAGGTATCGCCATCATTATCAGAAGAAAGAAGGTCAATTGCCATGAAAGGGCTAGGATTTTAATCCATTGATGGCATTTCCGCTGGTTCTCCGCCATTCACAACCGTCAGAGCAAACTGAACAAGTTCCTTTGTTTTCCCCTTCTCTTTTTCCAGTCTAGCTTGCGCCCACTTCTCTTGGGCCTTTGTTACTTTCATTGGGGTGTTAGGGGACTTCAAGCCCGCAAGATGACCAGATTCTTCAAGAATTCTGAGGACAAGACAGGTATCGTCAGGACGAACAGTGACGCAATTAGCGCGCTTTGCAAGCAGTTTGCCACCTTTTTTCTGGTTAGCAAAAAAAAAAAAATACTATCTTGTTACCAAGGATTGTTACTTACAAGCGAATAGAGCTTGTCCTGCAGGACGACCTTCTGAACAATCTTCAAGAGCGTGCGGTACTTGATCGTACGTGGTCAGGAAGCCATACAGGGCTGGAGTTTTGTAGTCGTCAAACTCGAGCAGCCTATATGCATCCCTTGTGAATCGATTGACTGAGTTATACCACACAGAAGACTTTTGAGCGCTGGCTGACAACCTTGGGGGGCGCTGCTATGCCATGTCGTCCCAGGGGTTCGAGGCACTATCTTGAGCCTGGTTTATGGCAACATCGTCGCTATTGTTTGCATCAGAGGACTTTCCAAGATGCTTCCGAACATTCTGGCGGCGAAACACTTTGGTCTCGATCTCAGATACACTCCAGACCAAGCAGTATGTAAAGGTGCGCGGGTTCTTCTGACTCAGCCGTCGGATACGGCCATATGCTTGCTGCTCGACGTTGGGGATACTCTGAGGTTCCATCACAACCATGCGGGAGGCACAAGTGCAAGTGGCACTGCACATTGTTCGGCAGTATCTCTATAACCCATCCGTTCAGGATGTGGCTCACGCTCCCTACCTTGGTCGATGGCTTTTTCGCAGAGCTCTAAAAGCTCCATCTCCGTCATCTTACCAGGTTCAGCCCGCTTGCTAATATTGTATTTGATTGTAGTCACCCACATGGGCAACTTGTTCTGAATTCCACGTAGCATAAGCAATGCTGCCGCACGCGGTTGAATTTGCGTCCCGTCAATGCGGTTCGCGTTTCTTACAGCCTGGCGAAAAGCGTTGATATATTGGTCCATTGTTCCAAAATCTAACTAAGTCGGGGGTACAGCTTCAGCGCTGTTGAGTTTGCGAACAGTTGTCATATCGAGCTTCTGTTTGTCCAGACCCGCATCCAAGCCCCGTGCCTCCGCCTCTGAAACGAATACATTATCGTTCCTCGTGCTAGTGCTAAAATTCGATGCCTTCGGCGGTCTCGGTAAGCGAATTGATGAGCTTGAGAGCGTGTGTGTCTACCTGGCTGCCTGACCTGTTCACTTGATCAGTGACAATTCAGCTGTCAGGTAAACGAACATACCAAGAACATTGGCAAACTCCGAGGGCCATGTGGCCATCTTGTCAAGAAAGAAACCGGGCCATCTGTCTAGGGCGGTTGATTCGAAATCCGGTCAGTGGAGCAGGTGCAAGAAACCCTCAAGATTAAGAGGCCGGTTGATCATCGGCGTCGCTGTCACAATCCAGTGACTTTGGCAGTCAATGCAGGCAAACGGCCTGGTAAATCTTTGTGGCGAGGGTCTTTGCTGCGTGGCCTTCATCCAGGATGATGCGCTCCTACTGCATCTTCGAAAGAGGCACAGGGCAATCAGATGGACCGTCTATCGTCAAGGGCTCTTCGGCTGATGGCTCTTCTTCCTCTAGCAGCGCCTATTTGTCTATATCACTGTCGTCTTGTTCTGACCCAGGTGGAGGAGCTAATTGGTCCACGTGAGATAGGATAACACGACGACGATTATTGTTGTGTCAGGATACGCCTCGTCAATATTCTCCATGATCGACTGAAGTTGCTTGGTAGACACAATATATCGCTTGGTCCGGGGTTCCGAAACCCCGCTACCACCGACCGTACTGTATAAGCACGGGAGTCGAACCCGATCACTGGAGATACACTGCTGCAGATACACTGCTGCGAGCGGCATAGGACAGGCTCAAGACCTCATGCACTACCATCCCGTCTTCTCTATGTTTTGGATGCCTAGCTCCTCTGGTGACGGATCTGGTAAGAAGGAAAGTAGAGAACAAGGCTGCGGGTAGTATGCACTGGGTCCACTATGCAGTTGCTCCACAACGTTTGGAAAGCCTCATCCTGCACATCTGACCCTTCTCGACCCCACGAGGGGTAGTGATTGCAGAACTGGTAGGTGTCGCTCAATGGAGATGTCCCGGAGCTCGATGGCTCAACTCCTCAGTGAGGAAGCTAAAGGCTACGGCACGCAACGTTTACATTGAGAACATGATAAGAGGTAGGGGTTTTAAAGCTTCCTACACCGCAGCAACAAGCAAGTCCGCTCCTGCGACCTTAAGTCGCTGTGGAGTCGCGCTACTGACGCGGGATGTACTGCGTTCCTTACCGTGAGGACTGCGCACAGCGTAGCAAAGGAGGTGTCGGACATCAACAGCTTCCAATAGCGCGATGCCTCGACGAAGAGGTAGGTGTTACCCTCGCTAGAGGCGAGGTACCCCTTCCCCGACAAGAAGAAGTCCGGGGCCCTCGAGAGAGAGCTGGTCGGAGGGTATGATATCGTAGCTGAGCTCGCTTTCTTCCACTTGTCTTTTGCTTTCTCGCAGGTTTCGCGTATGGCATGAGGAAATCCTTCTGGATACGTCGCCAGTGACTCCCGGAGAAAGACTGGCCCAGGTAGAAATATTCCGCGTTGCCTCGCACATGGAGATTATGGGCGGTGGATCTCGTCTTGTATTGCTTGATGACTTGAGAATGCATGTGCAACTTGACAATCTGCAAGATGGAGGATGTAGACATATGCACTGTATGCTGATTGCTGGGTTAAGTCATTGGGCTATGAGGCGTTCTCCGACTCGAGTTGAGTAATCCGACTCTTCAAGCGCTCCAACTGCTGACGCTGAGTGTCTGAGAAACCCATGTCATGGATTTACTCCCAGAAGCGACGAGAAGATGCCCCAGCACTGTTGCAGGAATTCATCGGCGCCATCCTCCAGAGCTTCAGTGTCGAGTGACGGTTGCTCTTCGCCATCCCCGTCAGATGGAAGACATGGAGCTGGTGCGCGTTACCACGGTGCGCAATTTCGAGATCAGAAGCTGGGCGGATGATAAGTAAGTGGCTGCCCAGTCTTCATCGATTCCTAGAGAAGTAGGAGCAAATTATCTGAAGTGATGAACAGCTCCTCTGGGACATGATCAACAATATCCGCAGGAACGCGGGAGATGCTATCGTCGCCGTTGCGTACCCAGTGCCCTAAATCCACTTCTTTGGTCTCCTGATTCAAGAAGGATACAACAGGCTACAGAGCCGGACAGACAGTAGTTGTGGTTGTTGCAGCACTTGGGGTAGGGTTCATACCATATGTGTTTACCGAGTAAGATGCAATTAACACGATGCATTCATTGCCTTTGGTGGTGAAGTCATCCTGAGCTGGTCACTCTCAGAAGTTTTGAGCTCTGAATGAAAGATCCGCACATCAATCCCACACGACACCAGCGCTGTTGCAAATAGATGGCTCCTTCACCGGAAACATGGTCCAGACTAGGGCCTTTTCTTTCGGATACAAACATGATAGGGGATAATTGGTGTGAATGACCTTGGCTTTGGTGACCAATGGTCCAGAGGTCGATGGGCAAGACGTGTAGAGAGTTTGGAGAATCGCGGAGAGGCTGGTCAGGAAGACTTGTCGATAGCGAAAACCAGGTCTGTACTATGATCACTTTAAGGCGGCCAAATATAATCTGTCAAGCTGGAGCTTAGACAGTGTCAGACGCTTGTCTCGCGGATTTCAGAAGATATCGACATACTAAAGATGAATCCTTACAAAAACAGGCGAACCAATGTTCTCAAGGTCAAGGATGTGGTTGGCATTGCTGCTGCTAGAACAGTCATATGTCCTCGAAATGCGGTTATCCGTTGCCTGCAAATATTGGCCTCGGTTTTGGACATTGATTGGAAAACTACCTGCAGACAAGAAGCTACATCGTGAACGGCCGAGGGAGAAACATGCATTTCCAGATCGTCTTCAGTGAAAATGCGCGCAGGCTGTGCAGTACTGGTATGATTGGACATCTTCTATATTGTAGTTAGCTTGGTCTGGCACAGGCTGCAATATACTGGCACTGCTAGGAACGCCTAGGTTGCGACACTCAAACACCGTCGGATACATGGGAATGTCAACGTACCCATCGCTGTCCTGTGTCTGAGAGACAACCAAAGTTTTGACGATCCCTTGATGCGTAGCTCAATAGATGGACCGCAGATACAAGAATCTGGCGACTAGGTACTGCGTGCGATATTCAGTTGAAGAACAGAGCAATGGCCGAGTTGACTAGGGCTCTCGCCTCGAACGATCTGGGATTTGCATGTCAGCCCATGTCAATCGGAAGACCGGCATGAAGCGCACTATTTTTTTCCCTCCTAATTCCTCCACGTGAACAACGAACAGTACAGGCAGTTGTTTTATTTCTAGCCATAGCCACCAGAATGAAATGCATGCTGTGACGGGGAGTCGAAAATCCAGAGCCTGCATTCCGAACACTCCCATAAAATTCCGGTCATGTCAAAAGTCGAACGAAGTTCATCTGGGGGTCTGCTTCGAATTTCATAGCTGTTATATATAGAGTAGACAAAATATTTCTTTCTGATCATTGAAATGCCATTGTTGTGTCGTTTCGGTCATCTAGTAACTTTCATCCTGGCGTCAGTAGTAGAAATGAGATATTCACCTAACCCTAACCCTAACCATTGTTAGTGTCTTCCCCATTCCTGGTTCGTCGCAGAGAAAGCCACCATGACAATCAGTGCGTTCATTGCACAGCATCCAATAGGCCGCATATGCTTGGTATGGGTAGAGATAACGATTGGGCTTCAGACCTTTCAGAGGGATCTTATCATTTGGTTTCTGGGTGGCACCTTTCTTCTTGAGCTTGAAAAATGCTAGGAACCAAGGCCAGATAGAGTCCATGGACTCCTCGCCCATCTGCTCACATCGCAGGCTGTCCTGGAAGACACACATGTAGTACTCACACTGTTCCGACTTGTTGAAGTCATCTACCTGAAGGTCATCATTGTCCTCGCTATTGTCTGCATTGGGCAGGGTAGCAATCACATAAGTAGTATCACCTTCCAAGTCGCCCATAACTGTCTCTTGACCACCACTCTTGGGATCTGAAAGGTCAGAATTATTGTTGTCTGAATCCTGGTCTTCGGCGCTCAGGTCAATGACTTTTGTGGAACCCTTGTCTGTTCTGGCTTTATATATGGTATGATGGCGTGTTGACTGGCCCCCGAGTGAGGATTACAACGATTGATTGTCTTTGAACCAGCTTTGGCAGCACTACCACCTGATCCTCTACCTCCAGAGCCAGACTCAGAGCCTTATTCAGGCTGTCAGATAAGAAAATAAAGAAAGTTATGGGGGAGTTGAACTTACACATTGACGACAAAGTCGTAGACAGCACCGGCAACGAGAGCATCCCTGACGGGTTCATTCAAGCCACCAACGTGGTGCATATTGTTCTCGTCGAAGAGTCTCGTCGTAGTCTTCTTTCTGTTCTACACCACATTTGGTTCAAATATTTGTCCAGCAATGGGAGGTCACACCGAAATCCTGCGGGGCACAAATCAACTCCCCTCGTAAAGTTTCTGCAGCAGTGCGACCTCGGCCTTACCGCTTCGCAGGTATTCGTAGATGCCAATGCATAACTTAAGCGCGCCGGGTCTCTCTGCAATCAACATCAGGTCAAACCACTTAAATGGTAGCAACGATTATTGACACAAGAATCGTCATTGCTGCCCAAGGTGCCCATCTTTGACTGCACCCAGTCTTGGCCAGACTGCACCATATTGGGCTTCATGAGAGAAAGGATCCGCAACGTGGATAGAGGCTTTGCCATTGCCCGCTTCACTGAGGAGTTCGACGAGTTCACAGGTATGCAACGCCGTATTGGCACCGCGTCATCCTGGTGTCGCCGTTTCGAGTTTGCCTTGGGGAATCTATCATACGTTAATCTCACAGTATTCTGTTATTCTGACAATGTTTGGATCCCTACCTCTGGCTGGTCGGCGCTTCATGCACCACGCGCAGGCCACGCCCTCCCTGGACGAATTGCTGCGCCGTCCTGCTCATTCTCATGGCCGGGAAACAACGCTGGCAAGGGGCCACAAGACCGACATGAGCTCCTTTGCAGGTTCTTCAGCTGTATATACATGTCAAGTTGCTCTGTTTCGAGAAGGCTGGCTACGAGCCCAGCCATTCTTCCTAGACCAACATGGGCTGAGCAACCATCGATTACGAACACGACTCTGTCGTAGAATGCATTCTTGGATTCTCGAGGTCGGAAGTTTGTTGAAGTTTGTTCACCGTTGTAGGATCTTCAGCAGTGTCGGATATTTGGGCGTACCCCTCTCCATGAGACAATCCATGTGTGGTCTGGTGGCAGCAGGGAATCTGCTGGTCGACGAGGGACCAGCTGAGCAGCCATTGCAGACCACCGCCAAGTTGAGCCCTCCACCGGGCGATGTCGGTTGCGAGGTTGCCTTCGTGCTTGACCCGAGTTGCGCGGTACAGGTAATCAAGGGAGAAGGAGAACGACGCATGCCAAAGTCGGCGGTAGACAACCATATCGAAGCGTCCTCTTCCTTCCCCAGACACATTTCATCGGCCAGAAACCCGCCATGTCAACAGAACAGTGTCATCTGTTCTGCAAAGGCGGGCCATACATGGGTTTTGATTTCCCAACATGTCCTCCCGGGAGGGTAGACAAATCAGGCGGAGATGATAACGCCGCTGGCGAAGGGCCTCCGCTAGAGTTCCGGATTGAGGATATGCAGATGGTCAGGAGCCGCGTCCTTGTACACTTGGAGGGAGGAAGGGTTGTCCTTAGCGTAGTCAGGTGCGGTAGACTCAATTCGGGTTTATGCAGAAGGTAGAGGAACCCTTTCAGGTTGAAGGGCGATTGATCATTGGTGTTTCAGTAATGATCCAACTGTGTTCAGATGGTTTTCACGTCAGCGTCATTGCAAGTGCTGCGTCAGGTTCAAGCACCGTCGGGGCATTTTCTCGTCATGCGTCAAACTGATCGCGTTCCAGATATCAGAACTATGCTTGGTTAGATTCAATAAGATAATTAATCCAGGGTACTTACATCCAAACGGTATGCAGACGAGTATCATGCCTGCCATAGACCACCAAAAAACATAATCTATACATAAGGAGGTGCCGATAGAAATTGCAGAAGCCCAGGAACGATTGCACTCCTTTAAGGACATGCTCCTGATGCTCAAGTTCGTCATTGCTAATGATCACGAGGTTGTCGACAAATGCTGGCAGGAAGCTGTCAAGGTAGTCGATGAAGATGTCATTGATGAAACGCTGAAAGGTCATGGGTGCTGCTCAGGCGTAGTGTGAATTCCCCGGATTGAGTCATCGTGAATACAATCCCAGGAATAAGAGAGAATATAAAGATGATGAGAATGAGCATCAGAATGGTGAAAGAAGGAATGGGAATTGTACATAGATATAATCATATATAATTAAATAAGATATACGATATATGGTAATAGAAGAGTGTGGAAGAAAAAGAAGAACGCACTAGAGCGAGAAGTTTTTATAGGCAAGGCGGCAGCAGAGACTGAGAAGGTAGATACTGGCCTCTCCGGCTGGCAGATGTTAGCAATACCCGGGGACAAAGAGCATATCTGCAGGATATCTCTGTAGCATATTGACCAGGGAGAGGAAGCAGAAAGAACTCTGCAGGCAAGTCACAGCGATCTCCGGTCAGACAATCAATTTTTCAGCTTGATCGGTCCTCGCCGCAGTCGACTTTGAAATCTCGGGATTATACGGCTGATTCCACGGAATATCCATGAAGAAAGACGCGGACTTTCTGAAAGGGATCCCAATCAGGGCTAATTGATACAACATCTTTTCTCTGGTACCTTCTTTGTAGCTTCAACCTTCCGCCGGCGAAACTTTGCTTTGCCTTCACCTTTAGTTTTATGATTATTCTCTGATTCTTAGTATATTCGGGATGTTCGCTGCCTGATGTCTTGGATAGCTGCAGGAACACAGCAAACAAAACAAGACTGTCCCGCTTGCTTGCATTGTGCTGCTGAGTGATGGCATCCTGCAGGGCTTTTCAAAGCAGAGAAAGCTCTCTAGATTGGGAAGTACGAAAGGTATTCACTCTAGCAAACCAGCGACACTATGAATGGCCCCAGAAATTTGCAGTGACGGCGACTCTGCTGAAATGCTGGTTAATTAGGTTTGCTCTGTAAATTCCTCCCAGTTTTCGCATCTATATCATTCCTCCACCATCCTTCTCAATCTCAGACTTTTGCATCTTCTTCTTTTCTTTTCCCCCCTCTCATTATATATTGACTGTCCATATAGAGACAATCTGCTTGACTATAGTTATTTCTCATCCTGCCTTATCTGCTTGTATTATCATACTCTCTCTCTCGAACCACTGGCTGCGGTCGGAGACCCTATATACCTGTTTCAGTATATGACAGTCCAGCTTTGAGACATGACCGTCTTGGTTTAACTGAGATCATTCTACTTTATTATGCTAACCGAAATCCAAGGACGTGGATCAGGGAATGCTACCTTCATCTTGGAGTAATATATTTAGGCGAGTTCTCCGTCTAGTTGATGGTGGTAGATGCAGTTCTAACAACCCCAAGTTTTGACAGACGCAGAGAAGCTAGAAGAGGCACCAGATCGGAGATCAACTTAAGGCTGGAGTGGCATGGTCCTAATCTCTGTCATTGCAAGATCCTGGTTATCAGCCTGCATGGAATCAAACTGAAGGAACGGTATATACTGCCTTCCGACAATAAACTGGCGGCTTGTGATCTGCTGTGAGTATTACGCGGCGCAACCGTTCGAGAAGAGACTCAGACGCTTACACCTAGCTCCTGGAAGGACAGGTATCCGGATTTGAAGGACATTCTCTGTTTATTCCCATTAACAGGGAATTTTATCATCCGACCACAGGAGAGAAATGCCTGTGTCTTTTCAGCCTCGTGGCCAGGCCCGCGAATTCGTCCGGAAGCTACAGTGTGGGAAACTTGCAAAAATCTGGATCAAGAAAGCCCTCACAGTGGAACGAGCCATATACCAGCGGAAGATCGACGAGGCTAAAAAGGAAGGTCAACCATATGAACACCTCGAGCGAACGATGCCTGTTGTTCCTGCGAAGTGGGAGGATATCTCGGATCATTGCATTGGGAGATGCGGTGTCCTCTGACCTCCTCGAGCCCATGGAAGTACACCAGGATCGGGCACCCTCAGCAGAGCCGTTGGTAGAGGAGAAACAGGAGCAAGCACTCTTCTCGATTCTGTCCGACAAGATCAGAAAGGTTGCTGGAGTCATCTTGGCATTCGTATTACGGGCCGATGACGGTCTCTAAGGGGTTGCGACCCCGAGAGGTCGGCCTCGCCCACGCGCGGACCAGGTCGAGCAGTTGGGACTCGCAAAGCGCTTCTCCCATATCGAGTTTTGCCGAACCTGGATGTACAATGCGTTCTTTGCCTGCTCCATCGTATGAGCTCGCTGTGCCATATCGAAGATAATGCATCTACCGGAGGAAGCTTGGAAAAGTCAGAACAATGCCAGGAGTCGTCCCTTTTCTTCTCATGGCTTGCCAGTCGACTTGGACATGATCAAGGTAGCAAGTTTCACTTATGACACTCATAATCTGGCCTGCATTCTTCTCTGACCATTCGGTGCACGGCAACCATATTCTAGACACCAATACTTCTGCAGAAGTACCTGAACATAACCAGCTCCTCCTGAAAGGGTCCAGTTGGTGAAATTCTTCTACGAAGCCATTCGACGACAAAATCGACATCAGCTTCAGAAAACTTCCAGTTGGTAGCTGGCATATCTGGGAACGTGGGGCCCCCTGATTGACACGACAATGACTATGGAGATGGATCTGAGGCAGAAATATCTTGCTCATTGCAACACCAGCATTCGGCCAGATTCAAGAGGACCGATGCGTCTGCCGTTTGTTCTTTCTTTAGATAATGACGGGGCCTACAATCGATGTGCACGGCATCAGAACGAACGAGTCCGATCCAGCTGATAAACTGACACTAGACGAATGCTGATGCGCTCACTGAAAGAATTCGACCATTGGAACCGTCTGATCGACCTACATTGATCAAGAGGGCGAGTTTGGCGTTCTATACCTGAATAATGAGCTCTTGGATCGTGTGGAAGTTGCAGAGTTCATTCAGCGGGCGATGAACGGACTCGAAAGCATAGGGCCAGCACAGAAGGTCGAACTGAGTCAGATGAAGAGATTAGGGACACATCAACAGCCGCTGACCAGACCCGGGATCATGACGGAAGCCCTATGCTTTCTTTTCCAGGGCATCCAGGTAATGACTGCTTTCACTTGCTCTGCTTCCCTTGGTACTATTTTCTGTACTCTCTGTCTTGAAAATCTGTTTGCTCTACTGAAGAAGATCCAGAAGAGCTCTCTGAGAATCATTCTCATTTGCGGTGAGAATGCAAAGAAAATTCTCCTACCTCGTGATATGCACTCAATCATCCTCAAGCTGCATGACGGGGAAAGAATAAGCATTGGTGATCAGATCCCCCGTACGAGATCAAGACCGTGGAGTATCGCATGGACGCGAAGCAGCTGTGTCAATACCGACAGATCTACGACAGCCGAGCAGCAAACCACCAACGAAGAAGTTAGTGGCTGCTTCGACATGGTGATATATTGCCAACTCAGGTATGACTCGTTCTCATATACCTCTACTGGGCGACTCGGGTAAAGAGCGAAGGTAACCTAGGAAGTGGTTGGATCCGAAAGGGGTACTCGGCACAGTTCATACCAAACGATCAAGACAAGCTACCTGAATACACTTATGGCACCGCTGACGTGGCGTTGACATTCAAGCTCGAAGGAAATCCCGTGGACTTGAAATTCAAGTTCATCGTTACCGTCGACCCTCCTCTAAAGTCGACCGACGCCGAGCCAGTAAGCGCTGATCATTTTGGCAGCACGCAGGATTATGCGCTGTTAGAATTTAGCGTCATGGAAAAGAGGGAGTTTTCACTGCTGGAGTGGACTGACAAATTGATTGAAAACGAAGGTTCCACTGAAGAAGACATGCCAGAAGCTACCAAGCAAAGCTACTGCTGTGTGGACCCTCTTTTCTGACTTCCATACAGCACGCAAGTATAACCGGACAACCTGCAATGCCTTATTCAGCTCTTGGACAGTCAACTGGGTGGCGCACCCTAATAATGAGTGGGAAAACGACGAATGGCATGTTTGGGCCGCGGCTTTAATTAAATGTACACGACGACTTACTACAAGACTTTCAAACGTATGTATTTTCCTTCCATTCTTTTTTACCTTTGTTCTTTTCCTCTCTCTCTGTGTGTGTCTTTCGTGCTCAAACCAAGCTAACTATAATATTAGATGTCTGATCACTCTGCTTCCGCTCCTCCATGCACCTTCTCTGAGGATGACCTCGAATTGCTCACCTCCCCCTCCGCCAGAAGTGACGTCTTGAGCTATGCTTGAGTTCCGCCGGCTGCTTGATGGCATCAATCCTCTCTTGATTGGCCCACTAGGGGGGATGGGACACAGCTAATAATGCTGCTACCGTCTCCAGACAGACAGAAACCTACGTGGGAAAAGTTGGCAGTTGATGTGAATAAATTCTTCCTCCTGTTTTTTTTTGTGCCATCTAAAAACTACACAATATGGCCAAGTACTGACATAACTGGATGAATAGCGGACAAACAAGATTGTGCGAGTAAATGCGCCGCAGACTATCAATGACTGCTGGTTCATCCACGGTAGTGAAACAGATACTGCTGGATATCCGGTCAAGATTCTGCACAGGCCGTACATCATGCTACCTCTGAGATTCCTGGCTATACCTTCGCAATATTAATCACAACATGCACCAAACCCCTGCCGCCTTCCAGGATGCGATCGGGGGCTGTAACCGCATGAAGCAGATCTTAGACTACTGGGCGGAGAGAAGTCACCAGGTCATCCATGACGTCCTCAACATCAATTTTGGGCCAATTGCAGGTTAAAAACGATTTTACGCCAGATACCTCCATGGGCGATTTTGCCAACGGCATATCCGAAGACGTTCTCGACTCACTCGCCCGTACTGTGGCCAACCGCTTTCGATAGCGGCTATCACGAACATGAACGTGTTCAGGGCGGCAACCCGAGCTCTCCGCGACGATGTGCTGGCGCGTGCAGATGTGGTGGTGACGACGCTATTTTCGACAAGTGAGACCAGTCTGCGATGCAACCCCCAGCCGATCCTGATTGCTGTCGACGAGGCCGCAAAGATCGCCGAGCCAGAACTCTGGCCGGTTCTCGCATTCTATCATCCCAGAGCGTGGCTCTTGGTGGGTGACCAGTTGCAGCTTCGACCGACCATCCCATCCTCTCCCGACACGAGGACAACTCTCACAGCAACCAGCTGCGCGTATCGCTCTTTGCCCGGTTGATTGAGACCGGTCTCATGGACGTCTCCCTGACAATGCAACACCGCATGTGTGCAACCATATCCCGCCAGGTCAACGGCGTGTTCTACGAAGATCGTCTGGAAGATGCGCCGGCGGTACAGAGGCTAAATGAGATTACGCGGGCTGTCATGCGCTACAACGGTCGGTTTTTCAGAAAGAATCAGTGACGAACAATCCGATACTTCCCTCCTAACTTCCAGATTGACCAACGAGCTTGAATTGCTTCTCATTGTAGATGTCCCGAACAGCTTGGCGGAACAGGATACCAGCAGTCCTTCGCTGGTCAACCTCTAGCACGTCACCGTGATCCGGCTTTCTCTGCAGCGTCACACGCAAGTCTTTGCACCTACAGATGGCGCTAGCAGAATGACAATTAATACACAAATTCCAGAAACGGTCCATCGCATCCGCGCAGTCCGCATCATCCTCATATGTCATTTCCGGCCGTATCTTTTACTCGTACACTGACATCAAACCTGATCCGACCTGTGTCAGCGAATGCACTCTGTTGGCATCATGAACTCCATCCTCATGGCTGTTCCCATGATGGAGTCAACGGGACCTTGAGGATGGAAGATTTGGACAGCCTAATCAACTCGTCTATTCAAATCCAACGTCAGATCACCCAAAATACGCCGTATGGCGCAGGACTTTGATAAAAATCAGTATGTGGCTTGTAAAGCAGCTCGAGGCCAACTTTATCGAGAAGATAGATTTGTCGCCTACGCCAACAGATTATACAGATGAAACCTACCTATGATGCAATCAAGCGCATGGTTATTCGTCGCCGTTTGGAAGACATCAGCAATAGCTATTTGCTAGCAACATCTATAGAGAAAGAACACTACGGCTCTATGGAGCAATATATCAATGCCTTTCGACAAGCCGTTTTCCACGTCCAGTCAAGCTCATCATGTCTTTTGGTCTCCGGATATGAAGTGCTACGTAACTGGGATAACTGCAGACGGCACCCTCATTTTCTCTGCTATCTTCTATCTCAGAGCCTATGGCTCATTCGGCGCAGAGCAGAGTACAGAGGCCCGTGAAGCTCCTGCTGCCACTGCAAGGGAGATGTATGCAAAATTTAATGATGACCAGCGCCGTGTCTTTGAAAATTACGATCACCTTAATGAGAAGCCGGAATTTACACATTTTTATTTGCAGGGCCCTGGCAGCACCGGCAAGACCTTTCTCTACGGAGCCCTCTATGCCGATGTCCGTAGAAATGGTCGAACAGTTTACAGCAGGATGTTATCGATGTGATTGTCAGCGCCCAGATCCCCCAGATTACTGGAACAGCGCGTGCTCCTGTCTCTGTACCTGCAACCGCCCTCACAAGATACACCACACTGTTGTCGAAATTGGAGCTGCGCGAAGCAATCAATAAAGGGCGAAAAAACCGCGACGATTTCTTGAACGTCCAGCAGCAAAAAGTGAACATTCAAAAGGAAGAACGCCCTGCACCTGTCAACTTCCTGGCACTTAACATTTTCCCTGCTCCTCTCGATTTGTTTTCTTGTTCTTCTTAATATCGACATTGAATCTTCCAAGCATATGCTAGAACAAGCACAATGTCGTACACGCGTGCAAGCTTTGATAACCCGGAGGTACTCAATGCACCAAACGTGTCACTGTTTGGGTTTCATCATGGCAAGTATCTGTTGGAATCATGCCATGTATATGTGCTGATCACAAGCAGGGCTCATCCAGAATCCAAACCCTGGCTGGATCCCACTGTCCTATCAAACAGCAAGGAACATGGGACACATCCATATACAAAAGTGTTGGCGTAGGCCCTACCGGGCTTAGTTTGGCTCGTTTACGCAAAGAAGGCGCACTCAGCCTCCCTGTGCTAGTGACGTCGGCGTTAGGAAAGAAAGGAAATGAACAAATAATGCCTGATGTATACGTAGGCTTTCTTTCCTTCGTTTTCAACCGATCGATCATTGATTTGAGTCTATTTGTTAATTCAGCATGTTTCCTTTTTGTTTTGTAGTATTGCATGTGACACCATGGTGCTACCAGCAGAAGAGGTGATCTGTATCATGATTACGAGGGAGATATGACTACGAGGTGGAAGTCGAAACGAAAGTCCAATATTGTACACATGTATATATGTACATACAATCAGGCTGTAGCTTCAGACTCGTTCAATCTTACAGTATCGATCACGTCGAGCTCCCCCCTGCAATGACTCCTTCAAGACAAGCCCCTTTCTCACCCCATGCTCGACGCCCACTCGCGTCAAGCACTCCAGAACCCAGTCAATTCTGTCCAGGTCCGACAAGGAGGCTTGGCCGATTACATTCAATGTCCAGGCGCAAAGGACATCCTCGACAGCCGGTGCTCCATCGTGTCTGTCTCGCGTCTCTTCACTCGCGAATTCGCCCAGGAGATAGGGGACCGTGGCAGAAAGGTCGTCTACGACAGTCCTTAGAGAGTGAGTCAACCCTGCAGATTCTCCAGGATACATGTATGTAAGCAAAGGAAAGGCACTCAGAGCGTCTGACATGGCTTGCAGCAGATGCAGGCGTCCATTCCACAGACGGAGCCAGAAAACGGCATACAGAATGCTGTGGAAGGTGTAGGCATGTGGAGGAGCTCCACGATAGCTGTAGGGACGTGAGCTAGCAATCCCGTACTCGGGGTGCGAGGATGCCATGCGCTGCCATGCAAGAAGGTCGTCATCCACACGCAGGGCAGATGCCAAGACATCGGCCATAGGATAATGATTTACCCCTGCTGTCGAGGATGATTCCCAGATCAGGTTGCGGATCTCACTGCTGATGTTGCTCACATTCAGAAGGAGAGTGAAAAGATGGGAGGTAGCGCGAGAAGGGAACAGCGTCTCGATCTCAGCACCGGAATACGTGCGAGGAGCCAGCTGCAGGGTCAAGAGGCTCATCTGCTGTCTCGTGCGGACGATCCGGCAGAGACTTTGGCCAGCTGAGCTCCGGCAGTAAAGTGGTCCCACGGCATCGACAAGACGCTCCTGAGCGTCGTTGTGCGGTAGATGGGAGGAGGGCTCCTCTGAGGCCATAATCTGTAACACGTTAGTTATATACTTGAAATGGTTATCGAAGGCGATAGTATACTTCGTAGAGCGAGAGAAGGAAAATTGCAGCCAGGGCCTCATCACTCTTCATGGCCATCTCATCCTGGAGGATTTCTGCCGTCAGACGCAGCGCATTTCCATAAGCCTGGCCAGCTCGGTAGATCAAATCCGGCATGCGGGCATGTCGTCCATACACGTAGAGCGAAACCGCAGCGACAGACTCCCTCAGTTGGCGATGGACGCAACTGGCCCTGAGCATCGCAGGTAGAAAGCAGAGGTATCCTTCCGACAATGCCGGATTGGGGGACTGCACGACGAAATTCGCGAAGAAATAGCACAGACCTTCCTGCTCCCAATTTCTCGAGATAATAGGCCCTGTCATAGGGCGTCTTCGTGGAGGACCACCGTCATCTCGTTTCACTCCCAGGGCGCGCCGTCTCGAAATCTCATTCATGGACCTGAACACCGGATCTGGGTATCCGGGACATTCTCTCTCGTTCTTGATGCATCGACCACAAGCAGGTCGCTCGCCATCGCACTGCCTGGATGAGTCTATATACAGTAGATTGGCGAATTGCCAGCTGACCGACCTTGAGTCTGACCAGTCGACACGCGTAACAGCGGGTTTTCATGAGTTGTCTGCATTGATATATATTATTCTTCTTGGCAGATGGAACTGATATGTATTAATTTTGTTGTTGATAGCTGGTGCGTTGCTAAGAATGGAAGCATCACGTGCGTCGCGATGGCGTGATCGTTGCTCTTCGCGATCGGCGATCGTGATAACTTTCGAGAGACGTCAACTGCACACTTCAGTCGTATGTGGACATTGAGTATGGCGTCTGCAGTGGTATGCAGGATCAAAGAACTATTATCCAGTCTGCACAGATGGAATCACACTCCGAGATGGGTCATACATTTTCGAAACTACGGCTGTTACAGATGACCAGGCATCCTGATGGTAAGTTTCTTTCGTTCATTGCTACTCGTCAATTAAGGCTATTTCTGATAATGACTAAGGCGATAGAACTACCCGTCTGATTTCATCTGAATATGTACCAATCTGCGCTGCGACCTGCGCTACATTAACATATTCGCTCATGAAGAAATTGCATTATCCGTCACGGTAAGATGGCTGCTTAGAGAGCCGCTACCATGGCCAAGATGGCGCCGATGATACTCCCTGAAGTCCCCAGAGCGGCCGCGCCACCAGCGAAAACCGAAGGGCCGCTCGAGGTTGGGGGTGGAGGCACCGCACTCGAGCCAGTCGGGCCTGATCCAGATCCAGATCCTGCCGGCGCCGTGGAGTTGCTGCCGGGCGAGGAGCCCCCAGTCGCAGTCGAAGAAGGTCCACTGGGCGTGGAAGACTTTGCAGTCGTGGTGCTCTCGCCAGTGGTGGAGGAGCCTCCGCTGGAAGAGCTTCCACTAGCGGACGAACCTCCACCAGAGGTGCTCGAGGTGCTCGAGGTACTCGACGTGCCCGTGCCGGTGCTGGTGGTGGTAGTGGTGGTGGTCGTCGACGTACCGGTTGACTGCGGTGTCGACGACGGAGTGGGCGCGGGCGACGCCGTCGAGGTGTCAGTCGACGAAGCAGGTGAAGTCGCCGTCGCGCTGGCGCTGGTCGCCGTTGCAGCGGACGAGACACAAGAGCAGACTGCTTCGGCCGAGGACTGCACGGCCAGGGCTTGACCACCGCAGGCGCTGATAACGCAGGCCGCAGCCCGGCTCTGAATGGCCGCAGACTGCGAGCTGCTGCACTGGCAGGCAAAGTCGGTATAGGCGCAACCGACGGCAGAGCCGGCGGACGTCAGACACGAAGTCTGCAGCGGTCAGTTTTCACAATGTGATACACGCCAGGCGACGACGTACTCCACACGATGGGATTGCTTGCGCGACTGACAAGCACTGGGACTGAGCGTGGGCCAGGGCGGCCATGGCCGTGCTCAGGAGGATGGTGGAAGTCTTCATCTTCAAACGAGCGATACTCAGACCAGTTTATCTGGGTGATTCTTAATGCGATGTTTAAAGACAACAAACGAGTGTCGAAGCGAGGGTGCAACTAGTCGAAGAATCGATCCATCCTAGGGAGGCAACCTTCTGGATTATATATCTCCATGCGGCAGGGAACGTGGGCTGCACTAACAATCTCACATGGTCGCACCACGGCTCCTTTGTCTGGGGTAGGCTGTCTTATTGGCCTGTGCTGACATGAAGATCCGAATTGCCAGCGTCGTTGTCTCCCCGTACGGCTTGGCCAGGCTGACCGTCCCTGGATGTGCCGTCGGATTGGCGTTGGAGTGCATCATGCGACCTTAGCATTGACCTGAACAGGACTGGACCAGCCCAATAAGCTCGAATTGATTTCGACGGGATCAAACGTTGCAACTCTCCGTATCATTTGAAGACACCCTCAGCTATGAACCTAACCAGTCGCATGAAAGTGTATTATTTTGAGACCGTCAGCTCGAGGCCAACTCCTGACTCATTCCGACTTGCACATAATATCCCGTGTAATATCGCAGGAGCCCAAGCCGAGCCAAAGTGAGACATCCTCCAGGTACCTATTGGGCAGGAAGAACAAGTCTCGAGTCTAACAGAGTCGTTGGCGCCATCCCCGCAATTTGCTTTTAGCCTGCAGCCATGCCAAGACGACTAAAAGCATGCCTCGTTCGGTAAATCAGGCACTCTGTCGGCAATCCTGTCCGTGCGTGCTGACTTGATATTCGGATCAAAGCCTGCGTTTATTGGCCTGGTCTCATAATAATATTTCTTTCCAACTGCAACCGTCATGACGATCATCTGGTACTTACTCCGTACTGTTGGATTATTTGGATGCAAGTCACTACGTGTATATACCCAAGTACCGGCAGGACATTCCGTCCAACGAAGTACGGGGTACAGCATACAATGTGACATTGCACAGCCGCAGGCAATTGTCATGATCGACTGCGGGGAGTGACATTATCCTACCGGGGTAGATAGACACATATACTGGCCGGTACATGTATGTATGTATATACATCCACGATCTTACTTTTTTTTTATCATGTGAGCAATTTACTTTTGGTAACAGCGCCGAAGATCCACGGAAAACGAAGAGACAGTGCAAGAATTCTCCGTATGGCCTGCACTGCCCTACCCTGCCCTGTGCTGCTGTGGCTTAGTGTCGTGTAGTGTATCCATGGATCGACCTTCCCCGCATTTTTCTTTCCCCATAGAGTTCTATGTCAATGATTTCCCGATTGTTACTATTCTTTGATTTTTTTTTATCTTTTATGCTTACAAACAAAGCACAGAGCGACTTGATGAATAAATGAACAAATGGATGAATGGCAAATGGATGAATGGATAGTCAAACAAGTTAGCATCGAACAGAATTAATTGCTCATGGAAGGAATACACATGTAACATTAGTCATAGATTAATCATGAATACTCCGTGGTCGAGGAGTTGAATTAAAATGTACAAATGTAAAGAAAAAAAAATCTCGATACATAGATATATATAAAAGGGAATGAGTGAATAAATTCTATATTTGTACAGTACAAACTATAAATCAAATTGAGGATGGTGATCTTTGAAGCATTTTTTTCTCCATAGCGAAGTTGAAAAGCGAAGTTGAAAAATTAAGACAAAAAAAAAAAAAGAAAACAAACTAGAGACAAAATAAACTGCTGGCAGTGATCAACAGTGACTAATGGCCAGAAGTGAACTAAATGACTGTATTCACTACAACTTGTATACAAGAGGAGGAGTGGAGGCGAATATGATATAAAATACTGCTGGAACTATCTATATTGCTTGCTCTGTTAGCAAGGATTGATCTATTTGTCTATCTATCATGGATATATTAGCTAACTTATTTGCTTCACACCTTTGTTATTATTTATGCATTCGTTCTATTAATCTACCTGATCAATCACCTGGCTTATATATAACAATATAATGAAATAGGCATCGTAAGGATAGCATTGTCTGTTCGAGATATTCTATCTCGTAGTGGATCCATTTCTTTCCTTTTCTCTACTCTTGTAAAGATTATACCACCCTATTTGGAACATCCTTCCCCTCCAGCACCGCCAGCAGCGTCTCAACCACCGCCACGCCGCTGCGACTCTGATTCTCCACCGTCGACGCCCCAACATGCGGCGTCATGATCACATTCGGACACGCTAGCAGTCCTTCGCCATACGCCTCCGTCGTCGGCGGCTCGACGTCCATCGCGTCCAGCGCGGCACCAAAGATAGTCCTCTTCTGCAGCGCCTCCAGCAGCGCTTTCTCGTCGACAATCCCCCCTCGCGCGCAGTTGATCAGGATGGCCTCCTTCTTCATCAGCGCCAGGTGCTCGCGCCCGATCAGCCCGCGCGTCTGCTCCGTCAGCGGCACATGCAGCGTCACGACGTCCGCCTTGCGCAGCAGCTCCGCCAGCTCCGTGACGCGCTCGTGCGGGATATCGCTCCAGGCGCCGTCGGCAACGAACGGGTCGTACGCGACGATAGAGCCCTCCATGGCGCCGATCCACTTGCGCGCCACGACGCGCCCGATGTTGCCCATCCCGACGATGCCCACCGTCTTGCGGAACAGGCTCCGGCCGAGCATCTCGCTGCGGACGACCGTCTGGCCCTGCCGGATGAGGCGGTCGAGCTCGCAGACGCGGCGCGCGACGGCCAGCGCGAGCGAGATCGTCAGCTCGGCGACAGCTTCGCTGTTGAGCGCGGGGGTGTTGCACACGACGATGCCGCGGCTGCGGGCGGCGTCGAGGTCGATGTTGTCGACGCCAACGCCCTGTTTCACAATGACCTTGAGCTTCTCAGCGCGCTGGAAGTCGTCGGCGCGGATTTTCGTCTCGGACCGCACCAGCAGGGCCGTGGCGTGTTGGTGCCACGACGCCTTGGCTGGGTCGGAGGGCAGCACGTAGCGGATGTTGGGCGTGGAGGTTAATCGGGCGATGGCATCGGGGTGGTAGGGATCGAGGACGTAGACGGTGGGCAGGTCGGCCATATTGGCAGATAGATAGAACTTCTATAATAACTTCTATTCATCAGAAGTAATAGAGAAAGCTGTACAGCACGGAGTACAATGGAGGGACATCGGTGATGTCATGTGATCGGAGATATTCCGATCAATCTGCAAGAAATCAAATTAAATAATCTTTTATTATTAGTAGAAAAGAAATCTTCTAAATCATGCGGATGAATCCTCTGCCGGAAAGTAATACTCCGAATTATTTATCGACTGTGGGGACTCCACACGTTGATTCTTCTCTGTTGTCTTTCGGCTAAATATTCCGACGACATATGATTAACTTTGAAGGATTTTACGGAGTATTGTCTGTTATGCTTAAATTGTATTACTCTGGTGAAAAAAAAATAAGACAAAAAAAATAAGAGAGAAAAAGGTAAAAGGGGAAAATAATTAAAAAAATTAAAAAAATAAAAAAACAAAAACAAAAAATAAAAATAAAAGAAAAGAAAAAGGATAGAAAACACATAAAAAATTTATATAAATATATTTACAATACATTCTTAAGGCTTGATCAACCTCAATGTAACAAATTAAAGCTACCTACGTATAGCAATTTTGTGCAGTATATAGTTCTCCACACGTTATTATTTCCTTAGAAAATGCTTCTTGTGGCATCTTTATAGGCTCGTATCATGGATATCATTAATTAACGACCAGTTTACCACCATGAGCTTTTTACACCTGTTCTTGGAATTACACGCTTGTGATCATAATCTGACTGTGGCATACAGACTACAGACTTGACAAGCCTAATATCAACCTTCCCTTTTTTACTGAAACAAACGTCTCTATCAGTCTTACAGCTCCACAAACTCCCTCCTCAACAACTCATCTTCCCGTATTCTCTCCAGATAATCCACCACCTTGCCCGTCAGCACATCAATCTCATACCCAAAGAACTTGTACGCCGCCTTCCCCGGCAGACTGTGTCCAAACCGCTTCAGACAAATCCCCGCGTCCGCATACCGCTCCCATCCGTTCGGGGTGTAAGGCTCAATCACGACCGCCGGGATGCCGCGGTGTCGCTGCAGCGTCTCCCGCCTGTACTCGACGGGCTGTTGCTCAAACAGACGCTGGCAGGGGAAGCTCACGACGCGGGCTGCGATGTTCCTCTTCTTCAGCTGCTGCGCGACTTCGACCGCGAAGGAAAGCTCCGCCCCGACGCCGATCAGCGTCACGTCCGCTCTCTTGTCGGCGACTTCTTCCAGCACATAGGCGCCTCGGGCGACGCCCTCCCGTCGCGTCTGCTTGAGCTGCGGCACCGCATGTCGCGACGTCGAGATGATGGTGGGCGTGCGCTTCGCCTCGATGGCGACGATCCACGCGCCGGCCGTTTCCTCGCTGTCGCCGGGCCGGATGTACAGCAGATTGGGCATGGAGCGGAACAGACTGGCCAGCTCGATGGGCTGGTGCGTGGGCCCGTCCTCGCCCATGCCGATGGAGTCGTGTGTCGCGGCGTGGATGATCTGGAGCTGCTGTAGCGCGCCCATCCGCACGGCGGGAGCAGCGTACAGATAGAACATGAAGAAGGAGGATGTGACGGGGATGATGGTGTTGGGGGCAAACGCCGCCAGACCGTTGGCAATCGCGCACATGGCATGCTCGCGCACGCCGTAGTGGATGTATCGCCCGGAGTAGTTGCCGTTGAGGCCGCAGGTCGTTCGCAGGTCGGGCTGTATCAGTCAGACTGCTGATCTGGAAAGCAAGGAATGTATATATATGTATATATCTCGGCTTACATGCTGGAAGTCCACCTTGCCAGGCCAGGCCATATTCACCGACGGCGACAGATCGGCCGTCCCCACGACGAAGGAATTGATCTCCTTTGCGACGGGATTGAACACGAGTCCGGACGACGCGCGCGAAGGAGTCGGTTTGTCGGGGAAGCTGGTCGGAATCAAGTCCTTCCAGTTGGCAGGGAGCTCTCCGCGTATGCGTCTGCGGAACTCGGCGCCCAGGTCGGGGTATTTCGCCGAGTATTCATCGACCAGCTTGTTCCATTCCTGCACCAGAGCCTCTCCCCGGGCAGGGAGGTCGGCGAAGAACTCGCGCACGGTGTCGGAAATGACAAACAACTCGTCCGGGTTGAATCCGTAGGCCTTCTTCTGCGCAGCGACGTCTTCGGCCTCAAAGGCCACTCCGTGGGCATCAGCTGTGCCTGCGACTTTGCTCCCCAGGCCGATGATCGTCCGGACGTTGATGAACGTCGGCTTGTCGCTCGATGCGCGCGCCTGCTCCAAAGCCTGGACAATTCCTTCGACGTCGAAGCATCCGTCTTCAACATCGATCACGTCCCAGCCGCAAGCGCGCATCTTGGCGTTGACATCCTCGGTGTTGGTCAGGTCGACGGAGCCGTCGCAGGTGATCTGGTTGTTGTCGTAGATGACAGTCAGGTTGTTCAGGCGGAGATGACCAGCGAAAGAGATGGCCTCCAGCGCGACGCCTTCCTGCAGGCAGGCATCGCCGACCATGCACCACGTGTGGTTGGAGACGACCTCGTAGCCCGGCCGGTTGTATGTCGCCGTGAGGTGTTTCGTGGCCATGGCCAGGCCGACAGCGTTGGCGACGCCCTGGCCGAGAGGGCCGGTCGTCACTTCGATACCTTCGTGCTCGATCTCCGGGTGTCCGGGACAGAGGGCATCGACGCGGTCCGAGTGGTAGGACTTGAGCTGGTCGAAGGTCATGGCCTTGTAGCCGGTGAGGTGGAGGAAGACGTACTGGAAGAGGCATGCATGGCCTGGACAGTCAGAATGCAAACAACACATTTAACTACATGTATATATGTATGTAATGTACTCACCATTCGACAGCACAAACCGATCGCGATTAAAGTAATCCGGCGTATGCGGCGCGTATCGCATCACATACCTCCACAAGGCCACCCCGATGGCCGCCATGCCAATTGCTCCGCTGGAAAAAAGAAAAGAAAATACATATTTAGCATTCCCTCCTGCATGTATATTAATCCCATGATCAAGCGTACCCAGGATGCCCCCCATTGAACTGCTGGCACAGATCCGCGACGAGCAGGCGGAATGTCTTGAGGACCAGATCGTGGTCTTTGGACAGCTTTTTTACGAGAGGAAGGGCGGAGCTGGAAACCTGATTGGTGCCATCGTTTTCAGCTGTAGAGCCGTTTAAATGGGCTTGTTCGATGGTCATTGGGACTGACGCTATCACACTCTCTGAGTCTTTCTCGCAGTGTTCAAGCAACGATGGGATGTGAGTACCGCAATGAGAGATAAATAAATCGTCAGCGAGATATTGACAAACAGACACAAAGACATAAGTAAGCAAGACAGCTAGCTACATAAAACATTGATTGCTACCGAGGGGCAAGAGAGCTCTGCGTTGGTCTGGACGCTTTCCGTATAGGGCAACTGGAGGCACCGATTACCGCAAAGGGTAATTTGACGTGGTCCTGCATGACGGAGAATAATTAACAACCAGCCTAATTAATTAATTGGAATTAGCTCTGGACAGGTGGAATAAGAGAGTCCGCTGGTTCTAGAATCCACTCCCTGTGTCGGCACTCCTACCTTGCCGAATGCCACGGCTGATTATCTTATTACTCGTGTTGATATATAGCATAGCATACAAACTGGATAACCTGCATAGCAGTACTACCTCCTAAGGATTCAACAAAATGGCCCCTTCAGTCCTTGTCGAACAGCCCTCCAGCAACAGCGACCCTGACAGCGACAGCGTCCCCGTCAAGCAATCCACCACCGCCAACATCATCCAGACACCCCTCCCCAACCCATCCCTACAGGTCACCGCCAACCACAACATCAAGCAGGTCGACGCTCCGGTCTATGCGCCTGGACGGGGAGAAGTCCTCCTCCAGATCAAGGCGACTGGGATATGCGGGTATGAAGGAGCATCCTGAGAGAGAACAGTCCAGACAGCATGTAGTGTACTGTACATACTTACTAGTAGTCGAGCAGATCCGATATCCACTTCTGGAAAACCGGACGCATTGGCTCGCTCGTCTTTGAAGGAGACTGTATTATCGGCCATGAGGCGGCGGGTGTGGTCTTGAAGTGCGGCGAGGGAGTGAGCAATCTGAAGCCTGGTAAACACCACTATCTCAGGGTATACTTGTATTAGATGCTGATTTTTAACAGGAGACCGCGTGGCTATCGAGCCCGGTGTGCCCTGTGGAGAATGCTTCCTCTGCAATGACGGCCGATATAATCTCTGTCAAGATGTTCAGTTCGCTGGCGTCTATCCTTACCATGGAACGATGCAGCGATACAAGGTCCACCCGGCGAAGTGGTTGCACAAGTTGTACCCCATCTTTTTTGTTTATTTTCTCAGGCTGACCTTATTCAGACTCCCAGACAACATCAGCTTCGCCGAAGGCGCCCTGATAGAGCCCCTCTCCGTCGTGATGAACGGCATCAGGACTGCCAGACTCAGTCTTGGACGAGGCGTGCTAGTCTGCGGCGCTGGACCGATCGGTCTGATCGCGCTGGCAGCAGCGCGCGCCTCGGGCGCTCATCCGATCGTCATCACGGACCTAGAACCCAGTCGCCTAGCCTTTGCGAAGGAATTCGTGCCCAGCTGCATCCCCTACCAGATCGACGGGTCCCTCGACGCAGGGGGCAACGCCAAAGCCATCCGCGCGCTGTTCGGCACAGACGAGTATTTCGCCCCGGAGACGGTGCTGGAATGTACCGGCGTCGAAAGCAGTATCTGCACAGCGGCGTATGCGGCGCGACGAGGCGGCACTGTTGTCGTGATTGGCGTGGGCAAGTCGACCATCAACAATCTCCCGTTTATGCACCTGTCGCTGGCGGAGGTAATCATCCTTTTTTTTTCTCCGGTGCTGTTTGCACACTGTCTAACTGATGACTGCAGATCGACCTGAAATTCATCAACCGCTACCACGACACCTGGCCTCCGGCCATCGCCTGTCTGAGCGGGGGAATCCTCGACCTGAAGAAACTGGTGACGCATGTGTATCCGCTGGAACGGGCGGTGGAGGCGATGCAGCTGTGTTCGGATCCGCGGAATGGGAGCATCAAGGTGCTTGTCGTGGATGATGTGGATGCGACTGTATAGTAGACATTAGTAGACATTCCATGGGATAATCTGAGGGTATTCTCAGTAATTTATCAGAACTATTTCAGTGTAAGGAATAAGCAAGAAATGAGATGGCGAAGTAAGTAGGTACATACAAACGCAAATTCTAACCACGACAGCCCATAAAAAAAACCATCACCAGGGTAGAAGATTCAAAAGACCTTTTTTGTGCTATGCTGATATTTTCTTTTCTTTTCAAAGCAAAAAAAAAAAAGAAAAAAAAGAAAGTTGTTCGACCTCAAGTCGTGATTACTCTGCAAATAGTTTTTTCTTTCTTGTTTCAATTTTTCTTTTGAAATCAGTAATCAATTTAAACTCGAGAGTTGCTTGCCTGAGAGAAAAGATCATTTTTAAAAACAGATGAATCTCCCGAATCAGGGAGACAGGTTCTTCTATGAACTGGGTCACTTACTCCGTACTAAGATTAGGGATAACTGCTAAAATTCTGTGGCTAAATTTGAGGTTAGATATGTAGGATTTATAGGGGAGGTCAGATATCTGTGGATATCTAATATTATGTGACATTTTGCAAAATTTTGTGAGGTTGGATATATAAACATACGACTTGGTGTTGCACTTCGGGTCCTAGTATAGTATATATTACGAAGGCTAGACAGTAGAAGAATAGGATTGGAACACTGTCTTCTTCAAGTGTTTGCTTCGGGAAATTCTTTTTGATATTGGACAATGAGGGTTAGGGGAACTTACTTTCATATTCTAGAGTAACCTTCTTAGCTTATTCTGTCGGGGGCGCATAGACAAAGTCCTCCAGCTCCTTGTATGCCTTTTCAAAATCGTCGTTGACAATGATCTTGTCATGCACTCCGTCTTGGCGAACTCAAGCTCCAGCTTCGCCTGCGCGAGCCTCTTCTGGATGCTCTCCTCCGTCTCGGTACCCCGTCCCCGCAAACGCTTTTCGAGCTCCTCCTCGGACGGCGGCGCAATGAAGACGTATCGCGCCTTGATAGCTGACTTTTTGACCTGTTTGACGCCCTCCATTTCGATGTCTAGCACTACTATGTATATTTGTACTGGATAAGAGGACGAAATCATGCTGGACAGTGGAAAATTCAAAAGATGCACCTGGAAAAAGAATTGTCTTTACAGAGGTAATGATTGATACTTAGATTCATAGCACATACATACATACTACATCATACATGAAAAGAAGTATTGATAATGATGCTTTTATTCATAATTACGGTAATGGCTTGTTGCTTCTGACAGATTCGGCAGGTTTTGCGAGCGGGTTATATTAATTAAGCTTCTTCCCCACATGTTTATTTTTATACTCGTTTATATTCGTCTTTATCTCCAACCCCGGATTTCTTCCTATCGACCTAATAGTATCTATATCTTATCTATCAATGCCCAGGACAAATACAAATGTTCGCTCTCGAACAATATCAGCATCAGCAACAACCACTCAGCAAACGGCAAAGACTGCAATCGCATGATGTCAGCGTCAATGTCGATATCAACGTCAACGCCAGCGACTCTCATCATGACTGGGAGGAGCCATCACTCGTCCCTCCTCCTCCTCCTTTATGTCAATGCCAATGTCAATGCCAATGGAGCCCCCCAGGCGCAAACCCTCAGTTTCACGATTCCCACTCCCACTCCCCCCTCAGCTCCGCCAGCTGGTATATGTACCACGACGGCTTCTCGCACAACCCGGGCTATCTCGCCTCGCAGGAAGAGCTGCGATGTATGCTCTTCACCATTGCGCAGTCGGCGGCGCCTACGCGGGCGGGGAGTCCTGTGGTGGGCGCTGGGGCGGAGGAGGATGATAATCGCCATGAGATGCTCTCGTCGCGAGCTACTACTAATGCTATGTCGGCGATGAAGTCGTCGTCGGCTCTGTCGAATAGCAAGCGGATTCGGTATTTGCAGAATTATGTTGGTCAGGTGGCGCCCTGGGTATGTATATACTACATAAAACTCTATAATTCAGTATAATTCCCTTTTACAACTAGAATATACAACTCTTCTACATCTGACTGATCTCCTCCAGCTCGACATGTTCGACAGCCAATGCACCTTCGGCATCCAACTGCCCGCGCTGGCACGCGACTTCCCCGCCCTCTCCTACGCCATCCTCGCCATCTCCGCCCGCCAGATGGAGCGCAAGCAGGGCATCCGCGACTCCTTCGACAGCCTCGTGCTCTACCAGGAGGCCATTCGCCTGCTGAGCCCGCTGCTGCTGCAGGGCCGCGACCCCAAGGTCGTTGCCGCCTGCGTGCTGCTGTGCTGCTTGGAGATGATGTCCGCGCGCGCACAAGACTGGCGCCGTCATCTCGAGGGGTGTGCGGCGCTGTTTGATGCGTTTGGTATCCATGGGTTTAGTAGGGGGGTGCTGCAGGCTGTTTTTTGGTGTTACGCGAGGATGGGTATGTCGATATAAATGTAGACTTTTTTTTGGAATGTGCTGACGAGTTCAGATGTATGCGGTGCACTCATATCTGATGGCACTCAGTGCACCCTTCTGAAGCCAGCGAAATGGCTTTCTCCTGGCTGTCAGCACGAAGACGCCCGTCGGCTGTTCCAAGAGGCAAAGTCTCCGGATATGCATGCCAACTACGCCGTGTATCTCTGCGCAAAGGCATGCGAACTGGTCGCTGACCGCACCAAATTCACCGAACTAGGCGAGGACAACGGCTGCACGGGCGAGGTCTTTCACAAGTGCTGGCTGCAGCTGTGGGAAGACCTGCAAAACTGGCTCGCCGAGCGACCCAGCGAGCTGCTCCCAGTAAAGATGACCAACACGAAGCCCTTTCCACGCATTTTCTTCGTCCATTGGGCGGCCATCTCATCGAACCAGCTCTACCACACCTCATGCATCCTCCTGCTGGACATCATGCCCAAGAGCATCAAATTCCGGCCCGAGCCGTCGACTTCGACGTTGTGGCACGCCCGTCGCATCTGCGGCATCTCCCTGGCGAACCCGCACCAGGGCTGCTTGAACAACGCCATCCAGCCGCTGTGGATTGCAGGGAGGCATTTCAGTCATCCAGCCGAGCACGAGGCGATCGTCAACCTGATCCGGAGTATCGAGGCGACTACGGGATGGGGGGCATGCTGGCGGATCAGAGATCTGGAGATTGCGTGGGGGTATAAAGTTGGAAGAGAACGTGTGGAGAATCCGCAGCAGTATTTTCTGGCTGACTGAAAGAGCTCATTGTGCCCTGGTTATACTACATGCAGCAGAAACCCCCAATCGAGTACTGGATGGTCACTGAGTAGGGCTAGGTACCGTCCAACCATTCCCGTCGCAAATCATCCAGATACTCGCCAACGTCCCATCCCGTGAGGGCTTTTATGCGGGCAAACCCATGCAATATCTCCTGATGCTGGGACTCATGCGTCATGCGTTTTGCTGCGACAAGGAAGGAAGCCAGCAAGCTCAAGTCCCAGCACTCGCGGCGATCATTGTGCAACGCAATGCTACAGATGCGCTGGGCATGCCACAGCGGAGACATGACCGAGGGCTGGAAACGCGAGTCCGCAAGCCGCGCTGTTCGCGGCCTGTGCTGCAGCAGCAGCAGCATGGCTGTATGATACAGCTGATTGCCAAAGATACCCGCGCCGTTGGTGAACAGGACAACGGGGAAGTTGCCCGCGTCGAGCTCCAGCATGGGTTGGAATTCCTGCGGACGCGTGCGGTACCATCTCTCGAGCTCGTCGACGAGCTGCATCCAGCTGTCGAGGGGTGTGCCGGCGGAGTCGGTGTCGGCATTGCACCAGAGCAGGGCATGGGCGCAGAGAAGCAGTGGGAGATGCGTGAAGTGGAAGAGTCTTGCGTAGATGTCTTCTATATAATCAAGTGATGGACTTAAGGGGAAAGACATTGGAAGGGGGACTTTCACGGGAGTATTGCTGGCGAGAGCAACGCTGACGTCTAAAGAAGTGGCCATTAGCAGAAATAAACCCGTTGCCATTGTCCAAGCTAGCTGAATGAATACCCTAGGTGTAGAAGATAGGAACAACATACCCAATCTCAAAAAAAGCCAATACACCGCCGACGCAATATCCCTCCTACCGGACGACGCATGCATCGCCAGGGCATCCATCAGCTTTGCATTATACCCTGGATCTGCACCTGCATCTGCAGTTGCATCCGCAGTTGCATCTGCACGCCTCCAAAAACGCGGGATATCAGCAATGAAAGACTGCACTTTCCTTAGGGCCGTAAGGAGTACTGCTGTCGCTATGTTATTATCCATGGTCATGGTCATGTCAGTATCAGTGTTTATAGCTGGATCTGTATTCAGGCCTGCGGTGGAGCGGTAGTCGTCGTTATTGTTGTTAGGATTCAAGAGGGTATCGTTCCCGAGTGTATCTGTAACTGTGCCGGTGGAACAGGGATCTAATGTCCCATAGCCAGTGGCAGAGCCAGAAGTACGATTTTCGTGAGCGCCAGGACCAGAGACGGCAACAGCATGATCATGAAGCAGATTGAGCGATGTCTCCGAGAGGACTAGCAGGCTGGCAAGAATTGCGTTTGAGTTCGCCTTCGAGGTCGAGATTGAGAACCCTGTGCCAGTGGTAGTGGTAGTGGCAGTGGCAGTAGCACTGGTTGTATCCATGGCGATCTGCACGGCCGTGATGCCGAATGTGTGCGAGAGGTCGCATATATCGAGCTGCAAGTTATTATCATCAGTCAGTAGCAAGCAAGCAAGCAAATAGGGAAGCAAACAGGAAGCAAACAAGGAAGCAGACAAGGAAGCAAACAGCAAGCAAAAATTGAGATCCTATCTTCGAGCTTTCATCGTTTTCTCCCTCTCCATCTTTCGTCTTTCATCTTTCATCCTTTACCGAACACGTCCACACCTAACTAGCTACATCTATCCATCCAGCAAGCAACCCACTACCAAACCAGCCTCTTACTCAGCAGAGTTAACAGTAAATAAGTTGAAACTTACCCAAGGAGCAACCTCATATCTGTAATGTCTGAGAAGGTCCAGCGTCCTGGATTCTCTTTTCTGGGAGATGGTTACATTGTTGTTGTTGGTGGTGGTGCTGCTGTTGAGATCATTGCTCAGATTGGTGGAAGTGGTTGCAGGAGCAGGACTGAGAGGGAAGTTGCTGTTGTCTCTGCTACTCCTATTTGCTTTTTCTTGTTGAGATTGATCTTTGTGCTGTTTTTGCTGCTGCTGCTGCTGCTGCTGGTATACACCCCTCCCACTTCTGTCATTACCTGCAGACGACGACGAGTCGATCCTGTGGCTTGATTGAGAACCCATCATCATCGAACTCTGTGTTCGAGTCTCGGCTTGAGTTTCCATCATCCCAGTAGTACCCAAGGCAAGCAGTCCGCGGACGGCAAATTCATCTCTATCACTGAACGCGGTAGTAGAATGGTAATGATGACTGGTCGTCCGAGGAGTGTTCTGCGTGTCAGAATGGCCTTTTTCCGGGCCTTTTTCTGCGACGCTGTCCTCATTGGTATCAGGTATCCAAAGGGGGATGCTGGTCGTAGTCGTGGTAGTTGTGTCATAGTGAAGATTGTCTCTTCTCTCTTGCGGATCTAGATCTGGATTCTGGTCCTGATTCTGATGCTGATGTTGATTCTTGTTCTGGCTTGAGTGCTCCCTGCTTACCCTGCTCCTATCGCTGCCATCTGCTACGGGCGTAGTCGTTGCCTTGTCAGATGGATCACCACGATCCAGTTGAGAACTACATGTCCCACCAGTCTCACTGGGAGACAACGACTCCACAGCATCCAGCGAATACCGCTTTTGGGGATCCTCGCTGACAAACTGCATCAACAAGTCGTCAGTCAGGTCCTACAAAATAATCCATATATTCCTAGTAGATATATATACTCCTGCTCACCCGAATAACATCATACACCGCCCTCGCAGAAGAAGCCCCCGAACTCTGGATCTCAGCCGGCGCAACTGTATGCGCATTCTTCGTGAGAAACGTCACCTGCGGACCGTATTCGCAGTGGAAGTTTTTCTCGATGCAGTTCCGACAGCGGGGTTTGGCTTCGTCGCCTGCAGTTGTCAGCAGGATATATCAAAAAGAAGAAAAATAAAGACAAAGAGAGAGAGACTGCTACATTTCCGCCGTCGAATACGACATCGTCGACAGCCGGTCCTACATCTTGTCGATCGCGTCTGGGTCTGATCCTGCGTCTGAGTCTGCGTCTGGGGTCGGTCCGTAGACGAAGGGGAGGGAGTCATCTATTCCTTTACAAATACAGGTACAAGGAGCTGTTGAGCAGGCAATTGAAGGAATGGCAGCACTGCTCACGAAGCATTACTCGTCCTACTACAACATGACAGCTACTTCCCCGCGTCTGCTTCTGGATCAGGCAAGTCTAGCGCACGGCTGCCCGAATAGGCTACTTAGCCGGACTGCCCTCGACGAATCGGGAAATTGTAGGCACACATTCCTGATTAGGACAGCAACAGCATAGCTGTGATTGTCAAAGAAAGCTGCTATGAGCCATTAACCAAGTAATACATACATTCATATATCTATCCTATTACATATCAGATAAAGGCCATAAATCTGAATAGGCATAGAAGAGCCCGCACGGCCTTTGCATCGAGTGTAAATTTACGAATTGTTTGTATATACTCCGTAGATAGATAGATTCACTGTATATACACTTGACACTTAGATTCACAACCAGTGAATCGAAGTACCTTCCCTACCTCGGTAGCTTCCATCCAGAAAAAGATCGGGAAAGTACTCATTCCAGGAATTAATCGTTGATATTCCGGACAAAGAGCTGCACATATATGTATGTAGACACATACGCAGGACTAGTTCTGGGTCCCGGGGTTCCAAGTACCCAAAAAAAAAAAAACAAAAACGTCTAAAAAATAGCAATTTGATGGTCTTTTATTACAAAATGTTAGATTTTGGCACCACGAAACTATGGCTCATAATATCTCTTAACCACAACCCCAGCTGGGGATTTAGATAGCTTATGTAGACAGCCTAGTTAAATTAGTGTAGAAATAATTAAAATAAAAACCTCATTTTCTTCTTGAAAAGTAGAAAAGAAGCTGTGGTTTGAATCTATCCAGCCTTTGTCAAATAAAAAAAAATGCTTTGTTGTAGAAAAAATTAGTGGTTTAAAAGTAAAAGTAATTTGTAGTTACCTTAAATTAATATTAAGATATAAATAATTATTACACGTTGGGCTGACTTAAGTCACCGATACTTAACGTTGGTGGTTAGGGAAGGTTCACAGATCCAATCCAGGATCCCACGCAGTGATCAACTCCAAGTAGGTGATTGATAGATAAGTAATCGGGGTCTTGAATAACGAGAACACAAGTGACTAGGCCAGGGCAACGCCTACGAAAGCTATACCAAAGGTATACCAATGGTAGTAAGATGTCTTACTGACCCTCCAAGTAAGTATCTCAGTAACTGATTGTGAAATTGAGCGCGATCTAGAAAGACTAGATACATGAGTGAGAGTGATCTTCCTTTTATATCCCTTCATTTCGTCCATCCTGTCGTCCCTTCTTGTGGACGAGATATGACGGTCGATGTCGTCCTTGTTGTCGTCCATCCCCACGGTCGATGATGTGGACGATGATCACGTGACTTCCCTGTGCCTGATTGTTGCCTTTGCAGGGTATTGTTTCATTCTGCATTGCTGTGTTGGACAGCGCCTCATTCTGTTGGTCCGTAACAATAGGATATTATTATATAGGTAATATAGAAGGTAATAATAGTTTTACTAGGCAGTATTTCTAATATTTCCTTCCTACTAACCTCTAACCCCTCTTTCTCTCTCTTTCCTTCCCTTCCCTAGCTTGGTCTCTTATAGTTTAACTGCCTCAAACTACTTAGATAGGAATGAGATTGGGTTCTGTCACAAAGAAAAAGAAGAAAAGGAAGAAGACACGAATAAATACATATAAATAAATTAATACTATTTTTAGGTAACTTCAAGCATAAACAGCCTAATTAATTAATTATCACATACCTATATGTACATACAGGACAGGACAGGAACTATCTCTTAACACATAAGCGGTATTACCTAGAAAATTCATACTGTACAGATACTTCTAACAAAGACCATATATGATATTATCGTCCTGCTAGTAGCAGCTTAATAAATAATACATACATACCCACTAATAGGTACTCCCTATCATTTCCATCTTCATGCTGGTCTTCTCTTCTCCTTCTGCTGGACTAGACTGGACTGGACTATATATACTAATCTAATCTAATAGTAATCCTCCGGAATATAGTACTGTACTGTACATACATACATGTACTGAGGAGAGATGATGAATGGAAACGCTTCCATAAATAAATAAATAAATACACACGTAATCTGCTGGTTAAATAATATGCAAGTAAGCAAGTAAGTAAACTAAGAGCTTCCTTCCTGTATGCTTGCTGTCTGTCTGACAACTCACTCACTCACTCACTCAATTTACAGCCAACAATGACTGACTGCAATTCGAAGCGTTGAGCAGGCCTCCTGATTAACATACGTACGTACGTACGTATGTATGTATGGACATACATACCTATTGTAATTATAATATTCTACCTATGACGTGACGTGCGGATAAACCCCCCGAACGGAGCAACCCTCCGACGGAAGTGGAAGACTGGTCAACAAGGTTCGATCGACAGAAACTATATCTAGAATATTAATATTAATATATCGATACACAACACACCTGTCTTCTCCCCCAGCCAGCTAGTACAGCATGGGCATCAAAATCCTCGACCACAAAGGCCACCCCGTCGAGCATCGACGCCGGCGTCTGTCAACGGGTGTGCGTCTACACTACTACACTGCTGGCGCTGGGCCAGCGGTGCTTCTTCAGCATGGGGTATATACACCATCCCCCCCCTACATCCCCCCTGCATCCCTCATAACATGACTACAAGTCTAATAAGGGCTGGCAGATCCCCAAAACAAGCTACCACTGGCGCAAAGTCATCCCGTTCCTAACGCCCTCCTTCACCGTCGTCGTCCCCGACATGCGCGGCATCGGCGACAGCGACCACCCCGCTAACGGCTACGATATGGCTACTGTGGCCGACGACCTGGCCGAGCTGATGACGACCTTGGGCCACGAGACGTTCCACGCGTGCGGCGAGGACTGGGGCGGTGCGGCGCTGTACCAGCTGGCGGTGCGGCATCCCTCGCGCGTGAAAAGCCTCATCTTCCAGGAGATGATGCTCCCCGGGTTCGGGCTTGAGGACTGGGCGAAGTTCGATCCCAACCGTCCGGGCCCGCATCTCTGGCAGGTTGGCTTCTATGCTGTGCCGGACGTCCCCGAGCTGCTGCTGCGCGGCCGCGAGCCCGAGTACTTCAGCTGGTTTATCAAGAACGAAGCCGCGGATCCGGCCAGTATCGACGACGACGCTGTCGACGAGTATGTGCGGACATACTCGCAACCGGGCGCCCTTCGCAGCATGTGCAGCTTTTTCCGCGCGAGGGCGACCATCCAGCAGAACCACGAGGCGGCAGCGCGGACGAAGCTGACGGTGCCCGTGCTGGCGATCGGAGCCGAGAGCTTCATCGGCAGGGAGGTCAAGCGGCAGATGGAGCGCGTGGCGCAGAATGTGCAGTATGCAGAGTTTGACTATGGCCATCAGCTGGCGGAGGAGTGTCCGGAGATGCTTAGCCAGCGGTATCTGTCGTTTCTCAATCAGATTAAATAATAGCCCAGATGAAGAATTCACTCGTACTTGGGACTAAGATTCTAGCAATATT